CTCATCCTCCTTGCTGCGGTCAACGTGCTTCATCTCGTACAGTATAGCACCAGGGCAAGATTGTAGCTGGCGAAGCTCAATTGCAGCAAGTGATTCACAGGTGGAGCAAACGTCGCCAAAGGCACCACGGCAGGATTGCCTGACCGGCCGAGACTGGGGTCCAAAGACTCTTTTCTTCACCGAACTCCATTCCGCAGTGAATTTACCGTGCGGCGCAATGAGGGTCGTGTGTCCAATCCCGCAAGAAGCATTGAGCGCCCATTGTTGAATCCTGGCGGCATCTCAGTGACACTGCGGTTGGGTTGTCGACGTCTGCAGATCAGAAGTACACACGATGAGATGCGATACGATACCAGTACGACTGGCAACCCTCATCTGGTCAACACCATGCAGCAGGGAGGTGAATGATAGTTTAGGCTAACAGACGACACCGAAACGCCCGTTTGGTTCTGCCTGGTCGCTAGGTAGCTGCAGCCGCCTACTCCTCTCTGCATCTTCGTGACACAGTCGTGCATGTTACACCTATCTACCATTATGAGTCGTGCATGTTACACCCATCTGCCAGCACGGGTCGGACTGACTTCTTCAGCAAAGCAACCGGTCACTAAAACCGCCTATGCTATCAACGGCCAACCACCAAACGGCCAAGGCCGTTATTGCGGGGATTGCTAGGGCCGTCGGTAGTCGTCCAATCGCCCGTCGTCCCGGGCCCTGTCTGTCTTATGCTGGGCCGCTATTACATAGTACCTCTCGGTCGCAGCTTGTATTTTTGCTACTGCGCCACCACGGAACCTGTCTGATGATCATCCGTGCTAACTCGAGGAGCTCGTCCGCCCAAGATCTCCTCGCAGCAGATCGACCAGCTTCCAAGCTCTCGATACAGAATTGTAAGCGGAACATGACGGGAGACAAGTACGGGACAGTCGCCACTCCGGCAAAGGCCCCGTCGCCCCACCGGGAGGACCGGAGACGCCGGTGGAATCTCTTAATAACTCACGCACCTATGAGTAACTTGGGGCATATTCGGAACTAGTCTGCAGGCAGACCAGGCAAGACCAGGCAGATCAGGCAGCAGCACCATGATAATGAACAACGACTCTCAAGCAGATGGCACTCCCTGACATCATATCCCGTCACATGGACGGACGCGTGCTCGTATTGTGCAGACCACCGTGACCATTCCCTTGAAGCTCGAGTGCCCTGGCTTGGAGGGAAAGGAGCAGGTCGCGGCAGACACCTCCCGAGGCCCCCAAGGCCATCACCATAGCTCGCTGCTACTATACCCTACGGCCTACACGGTACAAGACATGAAGCAGGTCGATTGAGAAGCGCTACTGCCCTGGGATCCGTGAAGAATATGCCCTGATCTGGTTTAGCCCGGATCCTTTAAGCTCCAAATTGAGGCTTGGGCCAGCCACAATGGCACATCAGCCTCGAAAGAACGGCCAAAAAGCTGTCATCTTTCTGCGCAGTCACGGCGTCACGAGCTATCAAAAGACTTTCGCAACACTGCATCCGCGAGACACGGCCGGCAAGCTGCGGCAGCCATCGCCGTGTCCATGATCGCAAAGTAAGTTTGATGACAAGCTGTCGCATTCCCGAACGGGCGCTCAGGGTCGATACAGGGATCTCTCCATTATGGGCTACTGCAATGGGACTGCCGGGTACATCAGCTGAGCCGGGGTTCGAGGACAATGGCAGCTCTGCCCTTGTTTCTCTGAAAAGCCCACTTTACATATCCATACTACATGGCATTGGACTGAAGCCTCCTTGACGGGGCGTTGGCCAGCCGTGGAACATGGGTGTGAAGTAGAACTCACCAGAGAAATGAGGCATACGTGCTTTGTTGAACAAGCTTTGCTCCCAACTCTTTATGTGACGGCTTATTATGGCGTACTGTTGACGATTCACGAACCTCAGCTACCTGTTTGGATTCGGACCGCATCATATTAACAGGCGCACCCATCCGGAGCTGAAAGCCAGGCTCGGCCGGATTGACACCATCTTACGCCGGCACCCGGTCTTCCCAGTCGTTTAACTATACGACCAGGCTCCCTTGGTGCCATTTGGTTGCCTCCTTTTTTTTTTCCCCCCTTTGGCGGTACTGCCTCGGTATGATCTCTTGTGATACCCAAATTCATGCACGGAGAATATCCAGCACACCACCAAAACTTTTGGCAACTTTAGCTACGGCGCTCTTCCCTAACCCTCTCAAGAAGACAACTAGAAGTCTGGGGAAGTAAGAGGTCGTGGACGTAGTTCGATGAGTCTATTAACTACGTCCACGCCCCTCCCGCATGTTGCAGTCTCGTGACAATTGCCGCGATACAGACCGGCTATGCTCAATGCATTCAAGAGGCGTGAATTTGAATTTTATCAACGCCTATTGGCTAGATGGTGAAGAGATCAACGCAAGGAGATATTTCTTTATATGCCAATTGAACTGTATCAGAAGAGAGCAACCATGACAACGCTTCCTAAGATATGCGTTACGGTTTCTACCTAGCTGGATTACAATAGGGCATTCCAGCGCTCTCGTATTGCTTCAGTCAGCCGCATAATAATATCAGTGATATAGGTCCAGCCCTCTGTGTGACATAGTGACTCTCTATGCAGGCCATCAAATCACGAAGGCGGCTATTACTCCACTTCTTTCTGTCACTAGCCATGGATTAAGCAGCTTGCTTAAGATTCAATACGTTTAAGACGAAACCGTGGTAGAGAAAGGCAAATCATGGGATCTGGTTAGATGGGTTGAGAAACACATGGGTCTAACCTGTTCCTCCTGGGCTTCTGAAAACAGCACTGTTCGTATCAAAGCCACGATCCTCCTGATCGCCAGAAACTCCGTCAGGAATGCAAGTCTTCAACCTCGGGCGCGACCATGGTGGATCCGCAGTTCTGTTTATACGTTCCGATTATAGCTCGCTGTCAACGGCGGAAAATGATATGAAGACACCTCGACGCATTGAACGACTGCGGATGAAGGCTTGCATCTCTGTGGAAGAAAGCCTCGCCATTCTGGGGTCCGAGCAGGATCCGACAGTATACTCCCGCCGACACAAGGATAACCAGAAATGGTGCAGATGAGTCCAATTCTATCCAGTGCTAGATACGATATCATTGGCCTTGCTTGTGTGGCAAAGTTACCGGGTCCCTGGAACATGGGAATGACCAATCGGCAGTGGGAGCGTGGGTGTTGCGCATTTCGATCCTTCCACGTGGGAGGCACAGCCCTATCAAGTCTGGAATCGCCCCAGTCGTTAGAGATTAAAGGTCTGGCCCCTAATCGGTGGTTTGTTTGTTTCACCTAACCCACTCTGCCATTCGGCGGGTTCAAGCGGGATGGATCGCCGAGCTGTGAGAAGTGCCACGAATATCCTCAGCTATTGGCGAACAAGATCACTGGATAAGGCCAAGAGACTCCCAAGCCACTCATGTGCCTCAAGTCGCTGGCTAGTATCCCAAAGAGGCAAGTGCTGGTCAACCAGATAGGCTTCGCCACGGTCTCAGATGTGCAATGTGCTGCTCCTTCGCTGCAAGTATATGCCATGTTGCAGGCAGGGTCCAGAAACCAATTCCACATATCCAAAGTTGGAACAATCGGATCCTGAGATGACTTCGGAACCGGACCCGGCCGTCAAAGCCACGGGATGAGGCTTGTGCTATCCTCCGATCGGCCGCTCTGCCGTCCTCTTTCCCCGTTTGAGAGCAGGTATGCACAGCCCATCCACTTTCCACTGGCCGTTCTTGGGGGCCGTAAAGTCGTTTAGCTAGGCATCCTATTCGTTTCTATACTCATTCCACCTCTCCGCGCCCGGCCCCCAAATCACCGGCCCCCAATTTCAATATTATGGCCTCACGATGACCTCAACAGCCTGGTCATTTAATTTGATGCCTAGGGCCCAGGCTAGATGCGACCCAGTGGCACGCACCTGCCTGGGCCACCTGTGTCAATTCCGGGGACTTTATGAAGGGGAAGACGCCGAAATCCCAAATTAGACCTGATCCAACCACAGCATCGTAAGGCAAATCTAGGCGGTCTTCGCCACGATCCATGCTGGTCGTCGAGCAATTCTACAGGTGGAACAAATTTCGTGGCTCTATCAAACGCTGCAGCGTTGCGGCGACGAGTTGCGAGTAGCTGGCTTCATTGAGAACCGGTATACGAGAGCAAGGACCAGCGCCTCCATCCCTCCTGACCACAGCTAGGTCACTGCGATTGAGTAGTTTGCTCATTAACGAGATTGCTGTCGGTGAATGATTATACGATGATCTTCTCCGGCCATAGACCGTGGTGCATGATCCGTTCTTACAACAAGCCGAGACTTCGCTAAGCGTAGCTATCACAGCAAAGGGTGCAGTCACCAGGAATGAAGGCTGTAGACTACAGGAATAGAGCGGAATCAATGTACTCTGCTGGAACAAACACAAGGGCGAATATGTAGCTGCCTTCCTAAGAAGACATGAATTATGCCGCCGATCTCGTACTGGTCTGTACTGGTCGGAGATGGTAGTCCTTTCCTCAATGGAATGTCAGCTACCAATGATTGATATTTCAAAGTAGCGAAGATCTCGTCAAGACCATGTAATGCGACGCGACTAAAGGACGCGAATGCAGACGCACATGAGAACCTGGCTGGTGGTGAACCAGGGATAGCTTCCTCTACCATATCAGGCACCAAAGGCAACATCTGTTTGCTGTGGGCATGAACTCAGCGGGTGAGTCCTTGATACCCTACGACTCATGCACCGACTCAATAGCAGGACTAGACATAGCGGGCTGGTGACGCCCAACGTTTTGAGCTCAATGAGTCTACAAACTCTGCAAACGTCGGTCATATGAAAATGGTTGAAGATTTCTGGTAGTAGGTCTCTATTTTGCATGATTGTCCTGGTGACGTGGCGTCTGGTGGTCTTCTTAACAAAACTGGCCATTGCTGTAAAGTTCCCATTTCCAGTTTCTGCCTCCTCCCTCCTCCTCCTCATAATTATCATCATCATTCCCCCTCCCGCATAATAGTTTTGGTGAGGCGGCGCCTGATAACCTCCTTATCAAGGTTGAACTCGAATACAGTGTTGTCGCTCTCTACCTCTTCCTCCTGCTGGATCTTGTCGTCATTATCGTCGTCTTTCTTGGCGCCTTTCTTTTCGTTCTTTCGAAACAGCGGACGGCCAATACCGAGTTTGTAACCCGTTGGGCGAAGATGGTGCGCAGCATGGTGGACCAACACGTAAGCGCGTTGATAGCCTTCGAACGCGTGCTCACGCTTATCTTGGCATGAGATGAGCTTTGGCGCCATGGCCTTGTGCCACGACACCTCTGGGAGAACAAAGGGGGTCACGGTGGCCCGTAGCCGAGCCCTCGAATGCGATAGGGTAGCCAATAAAGGCGGCGAGGTAAGCCTTCACTGCATCGCTAGTCCAGTTTGTGAATGAGCTGGTGGAATTTTGAATGGGGTTTCAAGTGGATTCTTACCGTGTAGATAGCCACGCTATCAACGATGAGCATGCATGTGGTTGATGCCTGCCTACTGTGCATGTAGACAGGAATCAACATAGTGCGCCAGAGTCAGCGGTCGATGAAGAAAGAAGACATGAAAGAAATGAATAGTAGGTATGATGTGAAAGCCCTGAAGCTTGGTGGTGATGAATGAGATGAAGAGAAGATTCAAGAGTGGTATGAAACTCTGAAGCTTGGTGATGATGAAGAGATGAAGAGAAGATGAAAATCCTACCAGAGGATGGCTCTATATATATATTATTTGGTCGATTGTTGCTCAACTTCGGGTGCAATTAGAAGACGCGATTGTTATCGCGATTGTTGGTAGATGTTCACAACCGTTAAGCGGCGTGCCCTTCACCAACAATCGCGAGATGGACAAGATACACCAATTGCTCAACGAACAATCGCGAATGAGTTTTGCGATCCATTCCCGTACAATCGCCAGTGTAGAAGATACGACCTGCCTTGTTGCCTTGAACTAACTCTGTCGCCAAGGAACCCATTACCGCCAAACCCTCACGGAGAAACCGATGGGAAGTCCCCTTTGTTATAATCTGGGAGAGTTGAATCAAGACAGTGCAGATTACATCCCTCACATATTCACATGGATCTTACGATTGAAACAATCGGCTTCGTCCCAACAGCTCATGGCCGAGCATGAGAGCCATATGCCGCTACCAGTGATTTCCTACTACATACCCCATAGATAGGCTGGAGAGGAAATGCGCCAGGCTTGCGCAGTGGGTTTGGGTTGAGGGTTGAGGGTTGTATAAGGGTAGTGTTGTGGTTTCATCATACTGGAGGATGTTGTACATTCTAGAAGCTTTCATAAGCCATGGCAACATCGCCGCCTATGAGTGGTACTCTAAAGCAGACATATTAATGGGGATAACCAGTCAACCTGAACTCATCCCAGGCTTGCCGTGAGACAAGAGTGATGTCTCGCAGCCCATCGTCTAGGAAAGTGGAAAGCCCGCATTCATTGAGCCCTGCTATCAGACTCACACAAGCTCCACCACAGGAGCCAAAAGCAGAGAAAGTGGTATTTAGCCATGAAAGCTATAGACTAAGGCGACCGAATGAGAGTGGCAGGAGCATTGCTACCCCAAGAGAGAGCTTCCGATGGGTCTGCAGACTACTAACTCACTTTATGGGCAAGTACGTGCACAGTCAGCAGCCTCAAGAAGCGTCGCAAAGCAGACCCATACCCAAGATTGAACGAGTTTCGAAGAGACGGCATTATGAGGCGTCTCCAGGCCCACGACTCTGCGTGACGAGAGTAAAGGAAGGAGCATGGCATCTTTTCCTGACTCGTTGTTCGGATGATGGCATTTCCTTATAACGGAAATGCTGGAATGCAACACAATTCTTGGTAGGGGCTCAGTGGGTGCTAGAATTAGTAGCAAGGCCAGAGGAACTAATACTCGTCTCAAGTACCCCCTCCTCGGACTTGTTGCTCTTTCTCGTCATCAGTATTGGGCGCAGGGCCAAACAGCTCTTTATCCGGAAGAGGTGTCACTCAAAAGTGTGCTGTGAGAATGCGCTGAAGCTATGAGTGCGCCGCGGCGGCGATTTGCATATTCATTCCATGGCCACGAGTCAACCGTATAGGTAGTGTGAAAGAGTCTTCGCTAGGGAGTGGGTTGTTTATAACTGGAGACATCAGGAGAACGCGATTCCGACCTGGAGATCACGAACATTACCCTGGTATATGTACACTAACTGTCAGCTAACTACTTGGACGAATCCCGATGTGACACATATGAAAACGCGGGGAAATACGCTGAAATGTCGTTCTGGTAGCAACGCTGATCGCAGATCACAGATCACAAGATGATCACGGGGGGAAATGGTTGACGGTCATTTAAAATATGGTAGCGCGTGTTGCAGTAGTTTGGCGCTGCCGGGGTTACCGGAAATGAGCACTGGGAGACCCAATTGGTCAGTCGGGCAATTGTCAACAAAATTGGGGCATGGGGTGGTTCCGAACAGGGGGTTCTCAACGATCGTTTTGCGAAAAGTTTTGGCGATACACACCTGTCCATCCCCTCGCTGGCTATTCTCCCAGGGCTTCCGTTGTGTCGCGTATGGTTTTCTGACCGGTAGTCACCTTCCGTCTGCCATCCTCTCCTTCAATTTCGTTTCAATCCTCGGACATCGGCTGTGGTTCGAGCGTGACGGCACCACGAACTTCATCATGTCGACTCGGTATTCTTTGCGCCAGACGCCTCGGTGAGTGGCCCCCCTCATAAGAGCGCCCGGTGCTTGTGCGTACCAGTGTATGCCGCATGGCTCTGCTGAAGGCAATCGCTGGAGACGGGGCAGCGGGCAAGCGCCATTCCGCCGTCGAAATGGCCGTGTGGCAGAAATGGCCGCGTGGTGTTTACACCGACAAGGAGGTCGAACTTGTGTGGGCGTGTTAGCGCGGCGCGCATCTTCTAAGTACCAAGAACCGCGGCTGACAAAGGCATCGCCCCAAACAGGAAGAGCGAGCCTTTCGATGGAATGGTTCAGACTCCCGGCCGCCGTTCGACGCGCCGCAAGTCCCAGTTCCCTTCCGTCGACGGATCGGACGACGGCGAGTCGAGCTCAGCCGCCGAGACCACCACCTCCAAGACTCGAGCAGGCTCCGAGATGCGAGCTGGGTCCAAGACTCGAGCTGGGTCAGTGCGCCGACGTGTCACCCCCAAGTTTGTCGAACACCTCAACGAGGACGACTCCTCCAAGGCCGAAGAGTTCAGCCCCATTCCGGACGAGAAGTTGTCTGCTGCGCTGAATGGCAAGGGCAAGGCGGCTAACGGGCACACCAACGGCAAGGCCAACGGCCACGCCAATGGACATGCTACCGAACAGATGGTCGACGGCTGGAAGCCCGGCATGGACCATAGAGTCGACCACTCGGGACACTTTGAGTTTGGTGGTAGCTTCGGCACCCTCTCACTCATGATCGGATTCCCGCTGCTGATGTACTACATGTGGATCGGTGCCACATACTACGACGGCAAGCTCCCTCTTCCGGCTCAGGGACAGTCCTTGTCCGAGTTCGGCAACCACCTGGTCGACCTGGTCTACACCGGAGCATTCCCTTCGTTGAGGGCGTGGCGTATCTACTGGGTCTTCTACATTTTCGAGGCCTTGTGCTACGCTTTCCTCCCCGGCTTCGAAGCTTACGGCAAGCCTCTACCCTTCGAGGGCGGCAAGCAGCTCAAGTACCACTGCTCGGCCTTCATCAGCTTTTATGTCACCATCGCAGTCATGGCTATCCTGCATTTCACCGGCTTGTTCAAGATCTACACCTTCCTCGACGAGTTCGGCCCTCTGATGTCCGTTGCCATCATCTCTGGCTTCCTCTGCAGCTTTGCGGCCTACTTTTCGGCCCTTGCCCGTGGCGCTCAGCACCGCATGACTGGCTACCCCATCTACGACTTCTTCATGGGAGCCGAGCTCAATCCGCGCGTCTTTGGCGTTCTCGACCTGAAGATGTTCCAGGAGGTTCGCGTCCCCTGGTTCATGCTGTTCGGCCTCAGCTGTGCCGCTGCTGCTAGACAGTACGAGAACTTTGGCTACGTCTCCGGCGAGGTTCTGTTCCTCGTCATGGCCCACTACCTCTATGCCAACGCCTGCTCCAAGGGTGAGCACCTGATTGTCACTACCTGGGACATGTACTACGAGAAGTGCGGTTTCATGTTGATCTTCTGGAACATGGCCGGTGTGCCTCTGTCGTACTGCCACTGCACCCTGTATCTTGCCAACCACGACCCTTCCACCTACGCGTGGAACAAGTGGGCGCTCGCAGCGCTCTTCGTCGCCTACCTGGGTGCGTACTTTGTCTGGGATACCACCAACGGCCAGAAGAACTCGTTCCGCATGATGGAGCGCGGCACCTTTGTCAAGCGCAAGACCTTCCCCCAGCTGCCCTGGCAGGAGATCCACAACCCCAAGGTCATCGAGACCACCTGCGGCGACCGTATCCTGGCTGATGGTTGGTACGGCTACGCACGCAAGATCCACTACACCTGCGATGCCTTCTTTGCCATTTCCTGGGGCCTGATCACCGGCTTCAACAGCCCGTTCCCCTGGTTCTACCCCGTCTTCTTCTGCTGCATGATCACTCACCGCGCCATAAGAGACATCCAGAGGTGCAGACAGAAGTACGGCGACGCCTGGACCCAGTATGAGAAGCAGGTCCCTTACCTGTTCATCCCCGTAAGTTTGTCGATCTCATGCCATTGTGACCACTCTGCTGACTTGATTGCAGTATGTCATCTAAACTAAGAATTTCTTGGGTGATCTCGACTAGCGACAAGGTGTGGGGGTTCACATAGACGGCTTTGCAGAGGTCTCCAACACCTGAGATTGGCCCGTGATTGAAGTTGGATTTTGAATCTTCTTTGTATATATTCATACTCCGGTATACCTTTAATGGCCTCGCGCCGGCATGATGGGACGTAGAAATGGCTCCCAAACCTTGTATGATATCCCGATAATGGAATGTTTTATGAAATAAGCAACATGTATCGATCGACGTCATCGCAATGTGGAAACTCTCTCGAACATGGCCGTCACCAGAAGGTACACGCACCTTGCCGAGAATACCGTCATACGCATATAACGCGATGAACAGCCACTTAGTCTATGTGTGCCTGTACTCGTTGGGTTAGCCGAGGCGAGCGCGCAAACGATGACCCGTTGGTGCAGGGACATTGATGTCGCCATTTCCACCTCAAACCAGCTTTTGCGGCCGCTCACTCTCGTTCACATCGGCAGGCTTCTTCGAGTGGCAGAGTAGGCCTGCAATCGAGCACAAGCTGAGATTATGACAGTGTACGGAGCTCGAGGCAAGGCACCCGAAATTTTCAGTCCGAATGGATAGCTTCCGCGTAAACCCGTTGGCACTGAGACTGCGTCGTCGTGCTTAGTGTTGGTGACCGACCCCGAGAGCTGGTCAATAACACTTTGCCTGCCATTCTACGTGTCAGGTCACTTCATCCCTTGGGGACTAGTTTGAACCTCACAGTCCACAGTATGATATCAATGTCCGTAGAACGAACGGCGTCCCAGACGTAGTCGCCGGTACATCGTGAGTTGCCGGTTCAGAGATTTCGAGGGACACAGATGACAGCTAGACCTGTCTGAAAAAACAGCTCTGTAGGACGTGGGTGCACCGAGATGCTCGCGCCGTGTCAGGCAAACCTTATCTAGGATAGCAGAGTGACAGACTTATACCCTATTCCTGCTTTCAGATGAGACAGACCTATACCAAGGCCACGTGAAATACTGGCTATCTCGTGGTCTCAAATTTCAAATTGCAGCATGTTTACGTGTCACTTCTTTTGCGGGTATGATCTCCAGCCCGCTGATGATTAATCAGGTTATGATGCTTCACGAACATAGGAGCAAAGAATAGTGCGGCCTGGTCTACATACTCAGCTGCGAAGAGTGAATGGTTAGACGAACACTCGACGGATGTCACGATGAGCGAAATTCGTCGCGGGAAGCCTCCACGTCATACTTTCCAAGGAAATCGATTACCGCCTAGAGTACAACCGTCCTCCATCCGTCTATGATGAGAAACCGACCTTAGAGTGGTAGCATAATGCAGAAAACAGTAATACACATATATGTCTGGACTCCCGTCGTTGCCCGGTTCCTCCCCTTCCAACACCTGATATCACAACCCCCGGCTAACGTACGGAGACGGTCACCAGGGGGTTCTTCTCCAAGCCATGCCTAGTTTTTTTGTACCACTGCCACAGGCCAAGCCCCGTGAAGAGCATGGCCATGTGGTCTGGTCATCGAGGTCGTGGTATATTTCTCGCGTAAATGCAACTTGTCAAGTACCCTCGAAATCCATGCGAGCCCCTGCGCGCGATCCCGTGCTCGTCTTCTTCAGACCGTCAGAAGGTATGGCGGATCGCTTAGCAGGTGACGCCCTGCGACGCCTTCGAGTTCATCAGAAGGGCGACGATGAGACCGTACAGACCCAAGACTTCGGCGAAAATGAGAATCAGGATCATGCCAACGAAGAGACGAGGTTGCTGAGCGGTTCCACGGACACCGGCGTCACCGACAATACCAATGGCGAAACCAGCGGCCAGACCGGCCAGACCGACAGAGAGACCGGCACCGAGCTGGATGAAACCAGCGAAGAGGGAGAGCTGCTGCTGCAGGCCGTCGGAGATGAGGACGGAAACGACGAGGCCGTAGATACCGATGATACCAGCCATAATGACGGGGACAATGTCTGAGAGCGGGGGTTAGCGGCACAGACTCTTGGGTGAGATGGGGGGTTTGTTGGGTGATGGGCGTACTCTTGACGATGAGGTCAGGTCGCAGGACACCCATGGCGGCGATACCAACACCGGACTTGGCGGTACCGTACGAGGCACCTAAGCAGGTGAAGACGATGGCGGCTGTGCAACCCATGGCGCCGAAGAAGGGCTGTCGCGTGTTAGCTGTGATGGTCTGCGTTACGGGGTTCGTTCGCCACGGCCACGGCCACGGAGGGATTCGGCTATGGTGAGCGAGCGGGCGGAGGCGTGGGAGAGGGAACTAACCGCGTAGACGGGGCTGGAGAGGCAGACATGTTAGCAAGACAGCTTGAGAATGCGACGACAGGGAATATCAGAGAAGCCATGGTGTGCGTCCGAGATGACGGGAGCTCGGGTTGATGGCAATGGGAGCTATGCTCTGGGGAGCGAGGGAGAGCTGGGGGGGAGCAAAACAGCGCGGGTTGTGCAGGGCAATTACGTACCAAGCCTCGGAAAAGCCAACGGTAGGAGCGTCAGACATGTTGGCGGTGGTTGTGGATTGACTAGCTGTGGAAGACGAAGGGGAATAAGAAGAGTCGAGGGCGGTCGAGTGCTGGGGAGCTGGTGTGGATGGAAAAGGAGCTGGGGGACGATGCGGTTGGCGATGGTGACGACGTGGAGGATGAACTTCGGCGACAGTCAGATCAAGCTCTTGCTCTGGGAGAGGTACGAGGGAGACTGGCGGCTGGAGAGGGAGATTGGGGATTGGATGGCGGCCTGAGGCCTAAGGCCTAACCTTGAAGAAGGCCTGCCAACCTGCTGCTCGTTACCACGGGTGCCACAGCCTACAGGACAGGTGCCACAGGCCCACAGGCCCACAGGCCCACAGCCGGCCCAGGTCAAGACCGCTGATTGGCGTCTGGGCGGGTTCCAGGTTTTTGCAGCGTGAGGTCCAACCTTAGGGCCACTGGCGATCGCCCCGGCCGCTCGGAGAAACCGCTGCGCCGGGCTGGGGGCTTGGCGCCCCGAAAAATGCTGGTCCGTGGTGGCTAGTCTACTTTTTTTTCTCGCTTTATCGATTGGGAAAAGTGAAGCTCTCACGCACATGTCCTCCTCTTCACCACCTTGATCTCCATACCACCACAGGGCGAGCCAACGCAAGGAACCCTGCAGTCACCACCTACAACCCTCCATCACCATGTCTGCTGACCAGAACCAGAGCGCCGCATGGCCCTTGTAAGTGCCAGCTAGGCAATCCCACGCCGCCTTTGGACCTCAGCATGAGAACTGGCTGACTGACTGACTGTTTGTTCGTTCACAGGGCCGATGCCGCCTTGACCCAGGAGCTGCTTGACCTCGTCCAGCAGTCGGCGCACTACCGCCAGCTCAAGAAGGGAGCCAACGAGGCCACCAAGACGTGAGTACTCCCCCCTGGTGTCCCTCCACATCCATATCTTATCTTTCTCCGGACGCTGGCAACTGACCTTGTCTTTCCTGTCCTGCAGCTTGAACCGTGGTATCTCGGAGATCGTCATCCTGGCCGCCGACTCCACCCCTCTGGCCATCCTCCTCCACCTGCCCCTGCTGGCCGAGGACAAGAACACCCCCTACGTCTTCGTGCCCTCCAAGATCGCCCTGGGCCGTGCCGCCGGTGTTTCGCGCAGCATCATTGCCTGCTCCATCACCTCCAACGAGGCCTCGGACCTGCAGAACCAGATCCGCGCCATCAAGGACAAGATCGAGCGTCTCATGATCTAAGGGAGGACGATACGGGGCGGCGACAGACCAGACATCTGGCTGGGCGACGTGCGGATGGCGAACCACCGTACCGCTGCTACCTTGGATAAGGGCAGCATCGCAGACCAGAGACGGGCAAGGAAATGGTTGCGCCCCTAGACTAGATGGGACTTCGTACCTGGTATGGTACCGATGCCGACTACAGATCTAGTTGGTTAGCGCCAATCCAAGACTATTTTGGTGATGTGCAACAGGTGCAACAAGACTGAAATTTCGCGCTCGGGTGCCACAAGCTCTACAGACAGCAATGCTCGTTCAGTGAATCAAGCTGCCATTGAGAAGGCAGTGCAACGCGAGGCTGCAAATGGCGGGAACCCCCCACTGGTGCTACAGGAATAAACATGCCCGCCCTGCTGCCCCTGGCCGCCCTGTTAAACGGCATCCCGTGCAGCCGTTCCCCCGGGCCACCTGCCACACCCCACCAGCCCACCAGCCCACCATCCAACCGCTAACTCGGGCCACATGCAGCCAGAAGCCCATCAAAGACATCATCCCGCATATGACGGGAGCCCCGAGACTCGCAACTGCTGATCAGGAACCTGCTCCCCATAGACGCACCACTATCGTCGCCCGTGATAGTCGCACATCAATTTGCATTCAACATGCCCAACTAGACGGTCTCGTCCCTAGATCCCCTTGGCCATTGACTATGATATGATCTTTGCTGTACCTGCACCGCACGACTACCGCCCGCCATGCCCGCGTCATTAGCCCGCAAGCTCCTCATATGCGCCGCTGTCGACGGCCTCATCATCCAACCCCTGGCCCCCAAGGGACAGCGCCCATCCCAGGCCGTGAAAGTCAGATATGGCGACGCCGCAGTCTCCTCGACAACCCGCGACCAGCTGCCCGACGTTTCCACTCCCAACGCGAGCTTCGAGGCCTTTGGCGTCATTGGTATGTGGCCGGCACTGCTCCCCATCTCCATGCCCGCCCCCACCCAAACACCAGCCCATGAGAGCCCAACATACACGGACTCCAGACCGCCCAATTATATGTATATACACCATGATGCTAATCCCGGCCACGTCCCTCTGCAGGCCTCTTTACCGTGTCCCGACTCAGCTACTTGATTACCGTCACTGGCCGTCAGCAAGTCGCCCAGATCCGCGGGTACCCCGTCTACGTCGTGACCGATGTCGCCCTGACGCCCTGCACCTCGCAGGCCGAGGCCGAGTCCGCCGTGCGCCACACCAGCGTCCAGTTGCGACGAGCAGCCTCGGATAACAACAAGACCACGACCGAAGATGAGGTGTCCGACTCCGAGACCGATGCCGCATCGCTCTTCGGCCGCGACGAGCCCGACGAGGTACAGAGCGACCGCGACAGCGTCTCTGGCAAGGAGACGGCCGGGGAAGCCGAGCCCAAGAGAGATCGCGACGACGAGGAAGGCCGCAGCTCCATCGCCGAGGACGTGATAAAGCGCAAGGGCAGCTATGGGCGCTTCGCCGAGCGCTGGTTCAGTCACCGGGGCTGGGTCCAGGATTCCAGGCGGAACATGGGCATCAGCGATACGGCGCCGCAGAACCAGGACGCACCGACAGACGCGAAGGCCAAGAAGCAGGAGAGCAAGGACAAGAAGCTGAGCAACACGGTCGTTGCCGAGACCGCGAGCCACGGCGTCAACACCGCCGTCTCCACCGGGGAGAGTCTGCTGCCCAAGTTACTGCGTATGGCGCACATCTGGTTCGGCACCTCGCACAGCTTCTATTTCAGCTACGATGTGGATATCACGCGGAACCTGGCGAACAAGGGGCTCTCTACCACGGGAGAGACGCCGTTGCATCGCGTGGCCGAGCCGCTGTTCTATTGGAACCGGCACCTCCAGAAGCCCTTTGCGTCGGCGAACCAGGATCTCCTCCTGCCCCTGATGCAGGGCTTCGTCGGCCAGCGCGAGTTCATAGTAGACCGTAACCCGCCGCAGGTCGATAGCGACAAGGCGCCCGAGTCTTTGGAGTTGAGCGACTGGACGCCGTCAGGATCTGCAGCTGCATCGCCGCCACCTGAGAGGCAGGAACGGGCATCTGTCGACCTGAGACCGAGCGAGAAGAAGTTCCTGATCACCATCGTTTCACGCCGTGCCATCAAACGTGCCGGTCTGCGGTATCTGCGCCGTGGTATAGATGAGGACGGCTACGCTGCCAACGGCGTAGAGACGGAGCAGCTCCTGTCGACGCCGTCGTGGTCTGATTCCAATATCTTTAGTTTCGTCCAGGTCCGAGGCAGCATCCCGCTGTTCTTCACGCAGTCGCCGTATTCTCTCAAGCCCGCTCCCATCCTGCAGCACTCGGAGGCTGCAAATTTGAAGGCTCTGTCTCGACACTTTGACAACATGACTCGGCGCTACGGCAAGGTGCAGGCCGTGAACCTGGTCGAGAAGCACGGCGTTGAATCTGTCATTGGCGAAGCTTTCGAGCGTAATGTGGCAACATATAACGAAACAAAAGAGAAGGATGGGAAGCAGGGCGAAGAGATTGATTTCGAATGGTTCGATTTTCACTCTGCATGTAGGGGCATGAAGTTCGAGAACGTGAGTCTCTTGCTTGATATTCTAGGTTCCAAAATCGAAGACTGGGGCAGCACGGTCGAGAGCGCATCATCTCCCGCCGGCGGTGGCAACCAGGCTGCAAGCATTACAAGCACGCAAAGGGGTGCCCTGCGCACCAACTGCATGGACTGCCTCGATCGCACAAATGTGTGTCAGAGCAGCTTTGCCAAACACATGCTGGACCTGCAGATGAAGCAGGAGGGCTTCGATATGAGCGCCCAGCGGGATCAGGTGACGAGCTGGTTCAACACCCTCTGGGCTGACAATGGCGATGCTATCAGCAAGCAGTACGCCAGCACCGCAGCCATGAAAGGGGACTACACGAGGACGCGCAAACGTGACTATAGAGGAATGGTCAACGACCTAGGATTGAGTTTGACCAGGTTCTATAACGGGTAAGTGGCCATCCCATGTTGAAGCTGGCCGAGCCATGATGCATGTCCTATCGACAAATGAAGCTACATAACTGACTTTCCGTGTAGTATGGTGAACGACTACTTTTCGCAGGCAGCTATCGATTTCCTGCTCGGCAACGTGACCTCCCTTGTGTTCGACGAGTTTGAGGATACCATGATGACGAAAGATCCGGCCGTCTCCATGGCTAAAATGCGCGAGCAGGCGATCGAGACGTCACAGAAGATTGTTCTGGAGAATCCCGAGGCCGAAGATTTCATCGGCGGCTGGACCATTCTCTCGCCGCATCACTCCGACACCATCAAGAGCCTGCCCTTCGAGGAGGTCGTCCTGCTCCTGACGGACACGGCGCTGTACCTCTGCCGCTTTGACTGGAAGCTCGACAAGGTCTCAAGCTTCGAGAGGGTCGACCTCGCCCACGTGGTCGGCATCAAGGTGGGCACCTACATCACGTCCACCGTCTCTCCGGCGCAGGCGGACGAGGGCAAGAATATCGGCCTGGTCGTGACCTACGAGCCGGGCAAGAACGACATCAAGCGCGTGAACACCCGCTCCCTCTCTAGCATCTCCGGCCCCGCATCCTCCGGCGGCAAGGGCAGAGCCAGCGCCGAGGGAGACCGTCCCAGCACGCCGCCGCCCTCGACCGCCGCCGGCATCCTCGCCCCCATCTTCTCGCCGTCCAAGGCCAGCACAAAGCAGGCCCAGCAGAAGAAGATCGCATTCAAGGCGCTCTACGCCCTGTCCTCGATGGCGGACTCCGGCGCCAAGCCCAGCGGCCGGGTCCTGAGCGAGCAGGAGCAGATCGACATCATCGCGTCCGAGATCGAGCGCCTGGCCTTCATCAACCAACCCCTGGAGAAGCCGACCGGTGACGCGGAGCGGCAGAGCATCGTCGAAAGGGGCGACATCATCAGCCTGGCCGAGGCCAAGCGCAACACGGGGCTCTTGGAGACTTGGGGCCATGCTGTCAAGAAGCTGGTGTGGGCGTAGGGTCATATCTGGCCGGAAGCACAGACGCAGGGTTGTTTTTCTTCGTAGGTGTTGCGGCTTCAGGGCTATCGTGGAGGGTCGTAGATACCCCGTTCGGCAATAAAGGGAATCCATGTAGACAACGCCGCGGCTCTAGCTCCGGTGTAATAGACGAGAGGAGCATATACTTCGTCATTTGTCGTTCCCTCATCGTCTCCCCGTGTGGTCGTTGCCGCCCGCCGTAGCTGGGACCGCTCGGTACAGGTGTATTTGATACCGCATGTTCTCCAGCTGGATCGGGTACCGCAGGTCTTCGGGGATCCGGAACCAGACCGAGTCGTTCTCCTCCAGCTTCTCCCACCTGCAGCCCTCGTCCTCGCCCTCACCCGCACCCTGCCCCTTTTCGTCTTCTTCCTCCTCCCCCTGCTCCTTCTTCACCTCCTCCTCTGACCCATCGCCCATGCCACTCGTCTCCTCGCCGCCCCTCTTCTCCTTCATCATCCTACGCTGCCTCGCGCGCTTAGCCGCCGCCGCCGGCGTCTCGAGCAGCGTGTGGTCCACGAGCCAGTGCATCGGGTAGCGCTTCTTGGCGCCGTCCTTGCCGACGGCGGCCTCCGAGTAGCTGCCGGGGCTGTCGACGACGAGCAGCAGGCTGCCGGGCGCCAGCGCCCGCCCCAGCGCCCGCAGGAACCCCGTCGTCCGCCCGATGCCCCCGTCCGTGTACAGCTCGTTGAGCGTGAACAGCAGCGTCACCAGCATCGGCTGCTCGCCGCCGCCTCCCAGCATTGTCGCGATGTTCCCGTTGCCGCCGCCGCCGGTCTCCGGAGAGGAGGACGACGGCGAAAGCAGCGTCAAGATGTCGCGCTGTGCAAACGTGTGCCGCAGCCGCCCCGGCGCCACTACCGGCGCGTTGTGGGCCCGTGCCGCCGCGCTGGCGTACCGCGACAGCGGCGGCGGCGTCGTGAGCGCGTGCTGCAGCTTGCGGGCGGCGCCGGCCCACGGGCCCGCGTCGACGAGCGTGACCTCGCCCGCCACCCCGGGCGTAGACGAAAGGTACGAGGCAAAGGCGGCGAGCTCGGCTGCGCCGCCGCCCAGGGCGAGCATCTTGAGCGTCTTTCCTGGCTTGGCCGGTGCCGCTTCCGCCTGTGCTGTCCTCTCTACGGGCTGGGGCGCCGCCGTCTCCTGATCGCCCGCATCCGTGGATGCAGTGGTTTCATCCTCTCCTCCACGAGCCTGGCCGGACCATGCCTTATCACCCACATCCTCTGTCTTCCCAGCGCCCAGCACGTGACCATCGTCATCGTCATCTCCATCATCACCGCACACAAGATCTTCCAGGTGGCCCCTCAGGCCCTCCAGCACCGCTGCATACCCCAGCGCCCGCGTGGGACTCCAGCGTGCAGCGTAGACGTCCAGGTAGGCCTCGCTGCCGAAGGCGCGGGCGAACTCGCGGTTGTACAGCGCAGTCTTGACCTCTTGCAGCGTCGAGGCAAAGTCCGGCGACGACAGTACCTCGTTGAAGGTGGCCTGGAAGACGGTCAGCAGCCGCTGCTGCTGCTGGGCCACGAGGGCCGCCTGGGACGATGATGCCGATGATGGTGAGGACGGAGCGGCTGGCTCAACCGCAACGTCAGACGAGGCCTTGGCGCTTGCGGCCGCTTTGCGTGCTTTGAAGGATGCCTTGGGGGGCGGTTTCTGTTTGGGCGGCATGATGTTTCCTTCCTGGGATTCAAGGGATGCGAAAGGGGTCGTGCAGGGTATGATTTTGAGGCTATCGTGGGTGAGAAAGACGGTGTTCTGGCAGTGGTAAATTTTCTCTGGGCCCTGAAAATAAAACCGCAGAAACCACTACACCCTCTTCCGCAGAGGTGGGACTTTTCAATATTGGACTGCGATCCGTATAGCAGCAATGAAGGTATGTTAAAAGATCGTCGGCATCCTGAGTTGCGATCCTGTCTACTCGTCTCTGGATATAATTCTTTAGGGTTAAGTGGTACCTGATAAAAAGTTCGGACAGCGGACCCCAGGTGTCCGAAAAGCCGGGCGCGCTACGCATCTTGGGTGAAAGCCACTTAGGACTTATACGCCAGCAAGGAACAATCACGAGGTTAATCATTGACAGAACAATTTGTTGCCCCTCCGCGGCGTATACTATTAGACAGTAAGCACATATTCAGGGATAAACACGCTGTTTGAAAATGCCGCTCAAGGATAAATCCAAAAGCCCTTCGGAGCCGCCATCTCTGGCACACTTCCAAACCCTCACCACCCCTACCGAACAGGTTCAGTACTCCATCCCCTTCTTCCTCTCGCACTACTTCCTGGACGCCTCCACGGGCGAGCCGGACCCCAGCAAAACGCCCCTGGCCGTGACCCTACCGGACCTGAAGCCCCAGCTGGTCACCAAGCTCGAGGAGGCCGTGCGCGGCGTCCCGGGTTTGCTGACCGAGGTCAAGCGCCAAGGCTTGAATGAGTACAGGGCGCTGTATGTGGGCTGGTCGCAGGACGCCATGCTGGAGGCGGCCAAGGCGCACTGGCAGGCCGTGGACGAGCGCAAGGCGGCCGAGGAGGCGGCGCGGCAGGCGGGCCGCAGCGCGAAGCACCGCGAGTACCTGCAGAAGCTGGTGACCGGCGCCGGCGCCGGCCGGACCGAGTTCGACATCCGGGGCGCCTACACCGTCCGGTGTCCCAGCATCGACGACCAGTGGGACGGGACAGACGAGATGGAGCTGCACGTGCGGGAGGCGCAGGGCGGGGTCGAGGGCGTCTACGAGGCGCAGTTCAAGTTCCGCGTCCTCGAGGGCGTTATGCTGCTCTGCGCGAACCGGGAGACGCTCGTCCGGCACCGCTCCGCGCTGGACAAGGTCCGGGGCAAGGATGCCGACTGGGACTGGGACTACATGAAGGATAGTGCGCAGCTGCTTGAGCAGCAGGCTTCGCTAGCAGAGAACTCGAGCAACAAGCGGAAGCTTGGTGACTCGGACGGGGGAGCCGGAGGTAGCCAGCCCAAGAAAAGGAAGGGCCCGAAGCATACAGTGCCGGAGCCGCATCCACGGAGATTCTGGTTGATGTGGAACGGAAGGGAGACCGGGGAGGGTGAAATGCAGTATGATTACGAGAACAACCATACAGGCTGTCTCGAGTTCGCGGACGATAAGTTCACGGCATTCAAGGGTGAGATGAACTTAGAGTTCGTTGGAGGAGACGACATGCTATTTGGGGAGAAAGTCTCCGATAAGCCGTCCAACAAGGGGACCAGCTCTTGGACGAAGTTCACGTGATGAAGACATTAATAAGAAAGAGTATTCATAATTGGAGTGTGTACTATAGTAACTCTAGCACAAGGACTACAGCTCACAAAAGTGCAGTGTTGATTGCATGGATATAACCTCTACTGATTCCCGAGTTCTCCTAGACATTCAAAACGATGTCTTAAACTCGGGCGCCCAGCAACGGGTCGAGAATTTATCTTTGCCAAATTTAACACATTCGCATCAACGGTGTAATGTTGCGAATGCCGGGATGCGCCGAAGCGCAAATTGGCATATATAATGAAATATAAAACAAGGGCGAGATGACCTATCGCGGTCGTCTCTTATCACATGCGACTTGATGGACTGGGGACAGACAGGTCATGCGATCTATTGAAACTCTGTCAGCTTTCGGGCTTCTCTATCTGATAGATATCTGGCGTGTGGGCGCCTCGCATATCTCGATGCAGGCGTCGCCATTCGGGCTGTTGCTTGCTGGTGGCATCTTTCAGCCATTTATCGCAGGCACGCCTCAGTCATGCCCTGGCCGCTGAAGGAAGCTAAGGATGACGTTGAGGAGAAAGCCCTTGCCACCACCTAGACTGGTTGGTTGGCGATGTGACTGCTTCTTGCAACACCCCGCAAAGGGCGAAGCAGTCGTGATGCAACTCTAGATCTGATGAACAGAGTATTAGCGCGGTTCTCCCAGCACTAGCATCGCACACTGAAAATAGAAACATTTCAGAAAGTTTTGAGAAGATTGTATGTGTGCGGGTCTTTTCGGCACATGTCTGAGGCGTAAAGCCCTGGACACTTCGCTGGCCCCCGCGTCTCTCATCACGTGGAAGTGGAAGGCATCTCCATAGCGGAGACAATGGAAACATCCGTACCTCTTTGACCTTGGCTCAGGCATGAAGTACGATATGCGGCGGTTGTAATGCGGCGCCGGGAGACCCTTGGTCCGGTGGATTGCGTGTTGTTGGGTGATAGTCAAGCTTTCAGCATCTTGCACTCTCAGGAGTCTGGCTGAATCTTGCGCCTCTTCTCCCTCATGGCCTTGAGCTTTGACTTGTCGTCCTCGAATCTCTTCAAGAACTCGACCTGCTCGGCCTTCTTCTTCTCCCGCAGCTGCCAGCGGTAAAAGTTCTGGGTCTCGTCCTTCTTCTTCTGCTGTCTCTCCAGCATCTTTCTCTTGGCCTCTTCTGCCTCTTCCTGCCTGGCAGGTGCCGTGCGGCCGCCCCGGGTGACAGTGACGAAACCATCCTCGTCGGGCTCGTTCTGCATGGCCCTGGCCAGCTGAGCAGCCTCGAGCTCCTTCCTGTTGAAGACGGTGAAGTAGGCGTCAACCATGTCCTGCATGGCATCGTTGCCAGGATACGACAGCTTGTTGTGTGCCTTGAGCCACTGGGAGCCCAAGGGGGGAGCCTTGTCCCCAACGCCGTCGCCCCAGATCGGGTATTTCTTGGTCTTGCTGAGCTTTCTAACGGCCTTCAGCACTAGCTCGACGCTCTTCTCGTCAGCCAGGAGAACGACGGCGGTACTACCACTGCGGTGCGTTTGACGTGTCCAGAGCTTGGGCAGCTGGGCAGCCTCCTCATCTTGCTTGTGCTGGGCCTCTTGGTCCTGTCTCTTCCGCTTGCCGAGGGCTGCTAGACGCAGGGCATACGCAGGCTCGTGGGAGGTGGTGGGAGCTTTGGCATTGTGGTCAAAAGTGATGCCCTCGAAGCGGCCAGCTCCTACCAGGCTGGCAAAGACAGCCCGGAAGTGAAGCTCGGTGCTGTCGGCGGGAACATTGACGAGGAACAAACTGCGGGCATCACTCTTGGTGACAACCTTGGCATTCTTGCGCAGGTAGACGAAGTGGGTGGATTGGACGGGGTAGGAAGGGAGCGAGGGAAGAGTGATGGGAAGGACGGAGAAGTCGTCCGCAGCAGGCTGTTCAGCCATGTTGATGGGACTGTTGGTAATCACTCGCGTCGAAGGGCTTGAAGCGCTTCATTGAGCAAGACTGTTGCGGCGCGGTGAGATGTGTGAAGGGAAGGAGAGCTCGTCTGGCAGAAAGGGAAAAAAAAGTTTCCAATGGCTCAATAAAATCTCGCCAACAATCAGTGTAGTGGGGCGGGCGGTCAGCAGAGATGAAACACGGCCCGTGCTCGTGCTCATTTAGGTGGGCTTGCACATACTCACTTCAGAACCTCATGGAAGTTAGGTATGTCCCTAAGCAATAGGACTTGTCAATCTGCTGCTTGTCCTACAGCTCTCGTCAAGTTTGAAAAGGCGACCGAGAAATTTCCATGATCTGTGGAAAGAACAAGCTGTTAGTAGCAGTTTTATTATTATGGGCAGAGCTATGATCTGGCTCGATTCTCCTAACTTCATTTGGTCGTATGCACAAATAAATGCACCGGCAGCTCGTTTGAATCCGCGGAGCCCGATAGGCTCGGGCTGGGCTCGATTAAAAGGGGCCAACCTCCCGCCACTGATGTAAGACAACATAGTCAAAGGCTTTACACTCAGTAGCGGACCGGTATAATGTTCGACAACAAGATGGCTCCGGCCTATATTCATTCCGAGCTCTCGGTTTTCGGGGCTAGCCAAGCTGTCGTTCGTCGGAATAGCACCCCGGCTTCCGCGGAGCCGACCCACGCAATGGCCTTGCATCATCAATCGAGTAATGGAATTCCAGGCCTGGGATAGCGGGCAGGATTCAAAGTCATCAAGAAACCTCCCCCGTAGCTCCTCGTTGTGGCATTCTTGCCTGCCAGCATCTTCAGCTGTCAGCTGCGTCAAGATGAGTGCAGTAAAATCCGTACGCCAGTTTTTTTCGGGCACAAGGAAAGATGCTGCCTCCAAGCCTCCACTTTTCCTGGCATGGCGCTCGTCCTCGTTCTTCATTATAATGACCGTCTGCCTCGCGCTGTTTACCGACATTTTCTACTACGCCCTAATCGTGCCTGTCGTGCCTTTTTCCTTGACCGTTCAGGTGGGCCTCGGCGAGGATCAAGTGCAGCAGTGGACCTCTATACTGCTAGCCTGCTACAGTCTCGCCCTTTTCGTTGGTAGCCCTATTGCGGGAATCTACGCAGATCACACCTCGTCAAGAAGATGGCCCTTGTTGCTCGGATTGGTTGCCCTGGCGGCCTCGACGTTTTTGTTATGCTTTGGCCGTTCCATCGGACTCTTGGTCCTAGGGAGACTTCTTCAAGGGTTCTCCGCAGCGATTGTATGGAGTGTGGGCTGCGCTTTGTTGGTTGACACTATGGAGTCCGCAGTCGGTGTAGCCATGGGATATGTCTCCGTTGCAATGTCTGTGGGCTTGTTGATTGCACCCACCATAGGCGGTGCTGTCTATGCCGCCGCGGGCTACTATGCCGTCTATTATATTGCATTTGGAGTGGTGTTGGTTGATATACTACTGCGACTCCTCATGATAGAGAAGAAAGTCGCCAAACAGTGGATCACGCAAGACACCTCAGCGAGTCCTGAGACTACCCACGATGTTGAAAAGACTGCGGCAAGAGGCGCTGCCGATGAGGGCCATGTTGGACTTACTGATACCGGTGTTCTTGAGTCGCCAGTAGCAGAGGCAGCAGACTCCTCGGAAACGCAACCAGTACCGGCTTCTGTAGGTACAACTGATGCGAATACATCCACACCGGCGAGTACCGCCGTTGCGGTTGGTCAACCAAAGCGCGCCAAGCCATCGCCGCTCATGGTGTTGGTGAAATCGCCCAGGCTGTTGGCAACTCTATACGCTCTTGTTGTCGAAGCAGGCATTATGTACGTATACTTTGCGAGCTCTCGAACAAGGAGAAACATGCTTATCGCTTCTAGGATGGGCTTTGATGCCGTGCTTGCCCTCTTCGTCAAGACAACTTTTGGTTGGAATTCGACCGCCGCTGGTCTGATGTTCCTAGCGATTTTCGTGCCCGGTTTCCTTTCCCCGTTGGTAGGCATGCTTGCTGACCGGTATGGGGCCAAGTGGCCGTCGTTTGCCGGATTTGTGGCCATGACGCCAACGGTGGTCTGCCTGCGTTTCGTCACAGAGAATACTATCCAACATAAGGTGCTCCTCACGATCCTGCTGGTTATTATTGGCGTTACCTTGGACTTCTCGAACACGCCCTTGATGGCTGAGATTACGTATGTGATTACAGAAAAGGCTCAAGAGAATCCCGGAATCTTCGGGGAGAAGGGCGCGTATGGAGTTGGCTACGGGCTGTTTACCATGGCTTTCGCGCTTGGTGGTGTCATCGGGCCATTATGGGCTGGCTATGTCAATGCCAGCGCTGGTTGGGGCACCATGACTTGGTCTCTGGCCTTGTGGGCGGTTTCGGCGGGTGTGGTTGTGTTCTTCTGGGTAGGAAGCACGCCACAGAAGAGTGAGCATGTACAAAACGACGGTACGGAGGAAGGAAATGCTGTATCTACGGACAGGGCCCCTTCCTAGATGAAACTATATTCCAATCACCAACGTAGTTAGATCAAAGATAATCTCCCCTTTATTGTGGCGTTGCATTGGTAAATAAAGGAAGCCTCTCAAGCAACGTGGAGTCCGAAACATTGTAAAGCCTGCTTGATTGCCTCTGGCGTATAACCAACTACTCTGTCTTGGTCGCGTCCTGTTCATTCCTAAGGTTCCTCATCACATTAATGAGAAATCGATCCGCAAGCCAGTCAGGGATGATGTTCACCCCAAGTTGTGTTATGCTGTGCCCCCAATACGAGATTACCGATTTCTTTCCACAACCGGTCCTCGCCAATATCGCCTTGGCAGCGGTCCGCGCTGTTGGGATGAATAAAGTAGGCTTAATCTTTAGATGATCCGTTTCGGTGACGCGGCTAACGCGATGTGCGATCACTTCCACATCTCGATTCTCCAACGTCATTTCCCGGTTGACGGAGAGCATTAGGGTCTGGGTGAATGTCTTCGCCCCGCCGTAGAACGAGACCAACGGCAAGCCATTGTCCGAGAACGAACCGATGTTGATGATCAAACCTGGTGCATTGCGCAGCAGCACCGGGATCAGGGCCGAGGTGAGGAGCGTAGGGAAAACAGCGTTTAGATTCACGTTACCCAGGATCCTCGCCGGGCTGTACTCTTCCAGTCTGCTAAGCACCGGCTGCGCTCCGCCTCCGGCATTATTCACGAGGACCGTAAGGTTGAGGTCGTCGACCAGCTGCACCACCTTGTCAAGCCACTTCTCGGGATCCTCGCTGCTTGTGGCCGCATCAACAACCAGCGTGCGGAACTCATGCGCCGGGTGCGATTTCTCAAGCTCGGCCTTCACGTGATCCAGCTTCACTGTGTTGCGCCCATGCAGCACGACGTTGAAGCCGGCAGCTGCCAGCTCGTCTGCAAGCGCCTTCCCAATGCCTGCTGTAGCGCCGGTGACCAAAGCCCATGCCGGCTTACCGGAGGTGGTATGAAGATATCTGTGAAGATTGGACGGTCGGGTGTAGAGCCAGACGAGGGAACAAGCTTTGTACGCGATTGAAGTCAGTACCAGAGCGCCAAGCGCTGACAATGGGGAGAACGCCGTGACCATGGCGCAGGATTATAAATAAATGACCGAAGTCAATGCTACAACAATTAATACACTTGATTTGCCCTATGCACAGGTTATTTGTTCTTGGTAACGTAAGTGTTGATGGCATACGACATGTGGAAGATGCTATGCAGTCGCTTGAAATTGCGGCAGGGGATACCCCTCACGTCATGGCGGTGCAATCTCCATGCTACGCCGGAGGTGGCTGGTGTTTCACTGACGTCCTCCTGATTACATCTCACGTAACATTCAACCAAACAGATATTAGCGGTTATTCTTTTTGTCACTCCACTCTTGGTCGAGTTGCATCAAGGTCATCGCAGCAGAGTATACCCATGCCCCCAAAAGCATTGTTTTCTCACCGTTGGATCCAATGTTAACAGGCCATTATCATATACTCTTAACCCACGAGTGTCCCAAGTGAAGAGCTGGGAGACTTCCTAAAGTTTTCGTTTCGGGGCAGCCTATACGACTGCGAATCGATCATAATTTCATTGGCAATAACCACGAAACAGCTTTGGCCACTTGATTGATTCTGGTAGGCGGTGCAGATACGAAGAATGGTCTGGCTCTGAGGTTTTCCTCAGTCATGATCGCAATCTAACTCAAAGAGTAGAGGTCCGGTGAACAGTAATAGGCAGTAAAAATGCGTCTTGTATTCGAAAGCCCATGATCCACCTTCCACATCTTCTAGACATTGAGCTGAAGGTAGCCAAATTGTAGAGGACTTGCAAACTAGGCTATTTATCTATATAGTCATCAGCATCCTTGAGAGTGAATCAGTTGGCGAAATCTAGACGGAGCACGCTGAGGATTACTCCATCATAGAATGTCAAGAGCTTCTTGATATTGACTAACTTTCACCTACTCAACGGGCAATGAAGCACGAGCATGATTTAAGTTGAAGAATATTCGTTCTTTATTGTTTACTGCATTATGCAGCGCTCTCGCAAGCGTTCTAGTACCAGCCAGCATGATCGGCAAGTTGACTTCCCTGAAGTCTCATGTAGTAGTCCCGCTCCCCTCGATCTCAATAGAAAATATTGGGTATAATTTAGTGACCAGCCCTCAAATCCGTCCAGCAAAACAAATAGGTTGAAAAACGAACATTATCAAATAAACCGCTGCGCCAGGCGGCACGCAAACGTTGGGCGCTGTTTCCGCGCTGCACATCCGTCCACAAACTCTTGCCCCTCCTATCCTCTAGGCGTAGGTCCGGCCAACATCCACAACCCCAACTTCCATGGCACTGAATGCGCATCGGCCTTCTTGCATCCCCAGTCCCTCGGTGACAACTCCCCAGCGTAGGTCTCTCTTCCAGGCCTCGATTTCCCCGACGACAGGGTGGCACTTCGCGCTCAGCACCGCACTGCAACTCCCACCTCGGAGAACAAGGGGGTTGCCCTTTTCTTGGCCGCTGACCACGGCGGCAGCTGGTGCACGTCGGAGACCAAAGCCAAGAACAACGAAGAGCAGCGCTCCTAATAGCGCAAGAAGAGCCAGAAGGCCTTTGGTCGAGAATGAGATGGCCATGACTGAACCTGAAGAGGACGACGTGACGATTTCAGGGAAGACTGCCTGTGATAGGACAAATCCCATAGCGACAAAGAATGCGAGAAGCATCCAGGATATGGGCCGAGGCAGTGTAAGGAAGAGAGAGGTCCTCTGGTAGCCTACAGGGTCGGCAGAGACGCGGAGAGGCTGTGGACCAACAGCGTAGAGTGATAGCTCGTGTGAGAGATAGTATGTTGTAAGATGCGAGTTTGTCGCCAAGTAAAGGATAGCGAGCAGCAACTGAGGCAGAGATGCCAGCAGTGCCAGTTCTGATTCCGACATCGAGGTCGGGAGAGCGAATGTGGTGTATAAAGTAGATGTACCGATTGGTGTCGAGAGGCCCTCAGGGTCCGCTGGCAGGATTTTCCCCAGCACACCAGCCGTGGGTGCGGCGAGGGCAACCCACGAGACAATCAAGAGAGCCCAGCGGCCCAATGAAGGTGTGCAAAACCAAAAGTGCCCGCCCGGCACGACGTATCTGGCTTCGGCAGATCCCCAGTGGCCCGTTTTCACGTCCTTCTTTGTTAGAAGACAACTTCCGCGGGTGGTAGAATCCGGATACTCCAGGAAAGATTGGATCGCATCACCCAGCGTGGCGAGAGGTCGGAAGCCTGCCCGTGCCAACACTATGACTATGCTGAAAAGTGTTGCAAAATTAAGTAATGCCACGGCGCCCATGAGCGGGGTGCTCACGGAGACACTGCAGGTATCCGGTGCTGCTTCTGATGCGCTGTGCGTGGTGAAGATGATCGAATTATATCTGAAAGTTATTAGATCTTGCTCTAAGAGTCTACTCTCCACGTTGTCTTACATTACTTGGGTTGCGACGGCAGCTACTAGCACGATTGTGGCGAGGGATGCTCGGAAACCTGAGATGTGCGAATAATTTCTCAGCGAGGGTATCCCAATGTCGAGCCACTGCTTCTTGTCATGTGCCGCCGCAAGCTCAGCCCTCGTCGGGCTTGTGAGAAGCTGAAAGACGTAGTTGCCTCCGGCTAATATTATGATTGTTAATACGTTAATCAAAACATGCAGCGCCGTGTTGAGGGTCGTCGCCGATGCGCAAGATCCTGAGAGGATCGTCGCCGCGCCAGTGACCACTTGTGGCTTGGTAACCATGATAACTAGGCATATCACCGCTACCAGCAGGATAACGAGTGATAAGAAAGCGTTGAAGGTTACTCCGCCTCTCCAGCCGTTGAACAACCCACGCAGACTTCGCTGTCTGTCTCCAACTTTCTCGCCTGAGGTCAAATTTATTCTGGAGCTCCACGGGTCGTCGAAGTAGGCTTGCTGTGACATGAAACGTTCACGTTGCGGAGTAATCTGGATATCACGCTCGCCCCATAGTCTCTGCTCTCTCTTCCTTGCCAAGGTCTCAGGCGTCTCCCCTCTCATGTAGTTCACGACATAGTCCGGGACCAGCGATCGGCTCAATACACTTGCTGAATCTTCAGCAGCCCTGAACCATGACTTCGTTTGCGCGGTCGCTCTTCGAAAGTGGCTCGATGCCGAAGCCGAGGGTGCTCGAAAGTGGCCGGTTCCGTGCGTTGATGGCCTTTGAAAGTGACCCGATGTGGTAGTCGAAGCTACTCCAGATGTTGTGCGGTTGTGGAATGGCCAAATGACAGACCTCGAACGTTGATGTGAAAGACCGCCGCTGTGTGAAAGGCCACTTCTTGAGGGTTGAGGCGTATGATTACTCTTCGATGAGTGCATTGCTGTCCCTTCCTGGATCCTACCATGTGTCAGACTGTATCCATGCGGGAGGGCAAAAAAACTCTTAAGAGGGTGTCATACTGTTCCAGCGGTTCGACATTCTGCACAGCGCCATCCTCGTCCCAAGTATATCTAGCCGCAGCCTTCCCGTTTCTTGCGGGGATCACGCCGTCCATCGTTGGGATGCGGCTCGGCAATGTCGCATACCTGGCAGTACGAAGAGATTAAAAGCCACAAGCTGAGAGAATCGAAAAAACAAGTAATTCAAACAAGAGCATCCAACGAATGACAACCGCAAACCAGCAGTGAACAAGAAGAAAGTTAGGAGATCAGCCCAAGACCCACGATCAGAGACAGGGTCTGGCACCATCTTGTATGTCAAAAGGCCCAGAATGGCAGTTCCACCATGCCTCCCGGTTATGGATCATCTGGGCACCGCATCCCAGGTCATGTCCTTGCCTTGACCACCACCACCACCATTCAAACCAGGCATCGGATGTTGGTTGCGGGAGGGATAATGTGCAAGGTGAGCCGCTCACTCGTTGGGGATAGTTTGCTTCAAGTTGACTAGGGTCAGCAGGATGACCCTATTTTAAGCGCCATGTAGCCAATCACAACTCAATGATTAAGACTAAGGACCGAGTGGTCCATCGGGGAATTCTCCTTTCATTGAAACAACGGCTTCTACCGTCACCTTTCTCTTGGACAATGTCTTCCCACCCTTAAGGAGAAGGTGGCTGAGTTGGGCACATGTTGCGCATTGCAAATGCCGATGCCACCTACGGAATAATATAGTGGTTTTGGGCGGATGCGACTCTGCGATCGATCGCCTAGACCATGGCTAGAGCCTAGAGAAGGTGCTATGGTATGAGGGGATGCATTGTCTTGGCCATGGGCGCAACGTATATGGATAATCGCTGCATCTTGCAATGGGACACCTCTTTCACACACTATTAATCCCAGATAGGCCGACCAATATCTCCCCTCGGATATATCCATGGATTGCTCTTCGTTGGTTACAATGTAAGAGACAACTAGAAACACCCGACACCGAGCCCACGCAATAGGCAGATATGGAGGAATTGCAAATAAGAAAGACAGACTCGACTGATCTTGCCGCAACTGTGCGAGCGCGTGCTGGCATGATGAAAGCAATTTGGGTTGTGGATGGCGATCATTCATGCATCCAGGCCGCTTTGAAATAATGTACTGATCCATCAGCAAGGGAGGGGTATGGCTTCAGGTTCGAGCGCCAATGGCCAAGGGGAAATCCTGTTCTGACCCTTGGACACCCTCAGGGAAAAGAGCAACCAACATCCAGGAAGCAGACCAATACCGTCGTTTCAAAGCATCAACTTCGAAAGGGAGTGGGGGGCTACCGAACCCACCCGGGGTCCCTGACCTTTGCTCCATAATAGTCACTCCGTAGTCATACAAACCGGTGCTTTTCACCCAAGACTAGGGGACCAACCTGGAAAGGAGGCTTCAGCCCAATTGAGGATATATACACAACGGTCGTCAAGCCATGGCAGTCTTTTTGCGGCTGACCAAGTCACCATCTGTGGAGAGTGGTAACCGAAAAAGATATTCTTCTGAATGGTTGAACTCGTAAGAATGGGTGATTACAACCCCAACGAGCGTAGATTTGGTGAATAGGGGCGGTGATGTCGCCTTTTTCTAGAAGCTCCGACAGAAGACATCAAAGTGTCGCTGAACGAAACGCTGATGACTTTTCAAGACCGCAAAACGTCCTTAGGCTGAGTTTCAGGCGGGAAGGGCGACGCACTAAGAATGATCGCCCTTGGGAGCCCGGAGCTAAGTTAGCAACTCAGCGCCGGCTACCAGCGCGCTGGCACTTCGTGCAGCCGCTACTGTGTAAACTTGCTTCTTTCCAAAGTTCAAACATCCAGTCTTGTATAAGCTTAGTTCAGCCTCATACCACGTGTAAAATTACTCACGATGACCTGGACGGCACTCCATCTGGGGAAGCCGCATTTGACTCACTTCAAGCCACTCGACGAAGGACACATCACGCATTGACCAATGGCCACCCGGCAGACACACCTACATGTAGGTGCCTTTGAAGAAGACCAGGATGTCTACTCCTCTTCGGCGGCAAGCCTACGAGGACTTCTGTCCAGTATCTCGGGAATGAAGCTGGCGCGTTTCAAGGCAACCAATCACTAAGTGGATTTGACGGCCCACGTGGATTCCCGCACCCTGCAAGAAGACGGATGTGCTGGACGGACTATACTACTGCATGACTTCTCATGATACTGTCAGTGGAATCATGATGCCTGACCACGAGAAGCTGCGATGTCGGACTGATCTGGCGGCACTCAATTTTCTCCAAGTCTGTGGACCTTCGGTGCCGTGCCATTGTCAGACTGCTGGGTGACACGCGATCGCAGGACACGGGATGCAAAGACAAACGGCGTGTCACTCACGAGACCCAGTATTCTGCGCTCTGGTTTCGTGTCGCTGTTTGCAGACGTTCGCTCTCATCCAAACGAATTAACGATGTCCACAAATGGTAGTTTTGGCTTCTTGGCAGCCGCGAGAAAGCGGGCAGACGCATTCAGTATCACATCATGCTTCCCTCGTCGGGTCCTAGAGGGAGAGGACCTGGCCAAGCGCGGCTGTGACAAGAAGGGGGATCCAGTGGGTGGGTTATTCCATTGGCACACAAGATGTGCGAATCTTCCTGACTGCATGTTGTGCAAAACTGGAGCCGCCACTAATAGTGCTGCAGCATCAGGGCCATCTGAGCCCTCTGAAGTCCTGTAGGTAACTTTCCAGGCTGAGTATATTTTTTTTCCTCAAACGCGGGGGTTCGGCAAAGAAAGTTGCCAAAAAGGCGCAGCAAACCAATCACAATAGCACGTATAGTCGATCTATCACGGTAACAGACTGTAGTGTGGGATAATCACTCACAACAGAGCTGAAAACCCCTTGCCAACAAGTCGATCAGTCCCGACTATAGGGGGCTGTAAATGGTCAAGGAGATGTCACAGGTCAGAAATGGCAATGGCAGGGCTTAACTATTGGTTATCACACGTTCAAGCACGAGCACACCCTTGCACTGGTTGCTCGACTTTCATAGCGGGTTCAAGAGACGCAGCCGAGCCTAGCAGGGGGAGAGTGCAGTTGTTTGGAAACATATCGACCGACGATTCGACGTGACATGACACGCTACCAGGCGTTCTACGTGTAACGCAAACATCTCATTCGCGCCAAGCCATCTTACCGCTCTTCCTCACGCGTCCAGTCTATCCCAGTGCTTTCCTCGAAATACCTCTAGGTGACATTCCCGGTGCCAAAACAACAACATTCAGAAGCTATACGCTTCATGTGAATGCCGGACCATGCCAAAGATTCGTCGTCGGTGGCTGCTTTCTTCAGCGGAAGCGCTTATTCCCTTTATACGATGAACCATTGTCTCATTCTGCAGACGCGAGCCGGACACGAAACAGGCGCGATGAACTTGCCAGCCGCGGTGCTGGAAGCATTCCCAGCCACCGCCTCAACGACTGCTGCAGTCGCTATTGGTTGCTGCATCTCGGGTCGTGTCTAGAGCTGCTAGTGGTCTTTGCGCCCCGCACTTAGCCCTGTCGGTAGCGCTTCTTCAGTCTCCTCCCCCCTCGTTTCACCTTATCCTACTGGCTGGCGATGCATGTCCGCGAGACCGCTGCAGCTGCTTGCATAGGGGCTATGCAGGCGGTCTTTGAAGTGGCCAGTCATCACGTACAGCGCGGTCTATTTTAGCTGTCGCGTCCCCGATTTGCCCTTTTCTAGACCTCTCTGTTGTGCATGCTAGCTTGCAGCTACGGGTATGGATGGGGGGTGACTCACCAACCAAGCTCAACCCTCCAGGCCTTCCTGAGGGTCAAGGGACGATCAACGAGCCCATGGAGAATATTCTGCAGAAACACGGGAGGCGGGTCGGGGTGAACGGTAAACATAGACTGATATAACTGGGCCGGGCATCGGGAATGTCTGACCAATTCTCTTCTCTGAAATTTCTGGTTTTGATTTGGGTGACTGTGAAACGATCGCGTGGCATCTCGAGAGACTTCTGCAAGTCCAGCGCCTCGCATGAGTTACGATAACCTCACTGGTGGTCCCGCTAAGCTGCTGCACGACTATTTAAACTACATATACGTGACCAGCTGGTATACCTCTGTTACGTCGACGCACGAAACTTTGTCCGGTGGAATCAGCATACTCTGCACGCAACGTTATCACTTTTAACCTTATAACCTTCTAAACTGGGTCGATACAAGACTCTCACGACGGCAACTCATCCAAGACATATCTGCCAATACGACATGCGACAGTTATGGCAGCAGGACCGCAAGCATTCTTTTGCCTGTGGCAGGACGACCAGATCCGCGAGCGGCTCTTCGAGTTGCTACACAAAGAGGATATCTGCAATGTTCGACTTGCATCCTCGGCGTGCTGCAACCTCGTTACGAAGCGCCTGTTTCTTCGAACCAACTTGACCTTCACCGCCAACACCTTTACGCGGCAGTCGAGAATACAGGCTCTGTCACGTATAGGACACCATGTTGAACATTTTACATTCCACTTTCCGCATTCAGATGCAACCTTCTTACCGCCCCTCATCCACCCCGAAACGGGCCGTGAGATAAGCTTCTTATATACCCCTCATACCTCGATGGCGTCGGTATTAGCAAGACCCAAGTTTGCAAACAGCGAACTTGGCGAGATCTTGACACAGCAATATCCGCCACTGTTCCATGCTGCATCCAATGTCCCTTCTTTCATCAACGCGATGAAGCATCTACCTAATATGAGACACCTCACTATTAAAACCCCGGGACAGAATCCCAAGGAGAGATATAGGCGGGACATTGTCGATTATGCCCTGATTAGTCTCCGCATCTCATTGGAGAGGGCGCCTTTGAAGAAACTCATGAAGTTGTCCCTATCCTCAGTGCACCCCTCGGCCTTCATATACTTGCGCCATGTTCCTGGGTTTGGGTGCCTGCCTTCAGCTGGCCGCCGGTGGAAGCAAATCCGCAAATTGCACATATCGGCCGAGTCTTGGGACTTCTATGGACCCTCTCCTGGCCTGGATCACTTGAAGGTGATCGAAGACTATATTCGGAACTTTTCCGACTGCCTGGAGAAGTTTACGTTCACATGGCTTGGTCGCAAAGGGCCGTGTCCAATATCACTGGCATCAGACCCCTTATTTGCGCCGCCTCGCAGCTCGCAGAAGCTGTTCAACGAGGTGACGTCGCCAATGTCGCCTCTGCCTCCTGCGCCCGTCAGAAAACCAGTTACATTCCGCAAGGTGCGCTACTTATCAGTGCGTAATGCGACAATGAACGCTCCACAAGTAGCAGAACTGGTCGCAAGCCATCAGCATTGTGTGCGTGAGTTCGACTTTGAAAATGTCGTCCTCATCAACAATGGCAGCTGGGATGACGCCCTGGCGCCAATTATGGAGGACCAGTCTCGAAGTGACCATTGGTCGCGTCACTCAACTGGGTCCATCACTGAGACCGAGAGCGTACACTCGCACTCACACCCGTATTTGGACGAGGTATCCTCTCCGTCGGCAGCAGTTGCGGCCTTGTCACAAGAACTGCTCGACCTCGGTCTAGAAGAAACCGAGACCAATTATGGCTATGAAGAGCCCGAGCAAGAAGACATGTATGAGCTACCATCAGATCTCGAATCAGCGAGACAAGCTAGCCTAGCCTTTTCAACGAAAACCAAGAGGAAGCGCATCACCAAGAAGCGCCGTCGCAGGAGAAAGCACAGCCACGATTCAACAGAGGAACGGTATGAGCCTCTGGTAGAGGATCATCCGACGCCCACTCGCAGCCGTCACAGGCACCAGAGGTCTGACGAGAGTATCAACTTGGATTATGACCTCGAGCCGCGTTATCCTCAGGTCGAGCCACCACAGCCTATCCACTACCGCTCACGCTCTCTGCTGTTTGGAGAGATGAACAGTATTCATTCACAGTCGAGTCATCGACTCTTTGGCGAGCTCGACAGCAATATGTCCCGGTCAAGTCAGCGTCTCTTTGGCGAGATTGAACCAGAACTCAGCTTCAGTCACTCGCCCACCGATGAAGACGGATCCATTGACGAGTACTTCCGGCCGGTGACTCCCATTATGGAACTGGACATGGAGATCTCGGCGCCCATCCTCAATACGCAGCCGTCGATGCCGGCGCTCCTGCAGCCGACTGTGTATGATCCGATGGCTGACCTGTGTGGGGAGATCACCGCGGTGCAGCGAGACATCGAGGCCGAGGAAGCGCAGCGTGTCCTCGCTGAAAACCCTGATATGCGCATATCGGCCTTAAAGAAGGCGAAGGAAGCTGTTTTGAGTAAGCTGTCCGAACAATTCTCCAGTGGGCTGGCCAAGAAGCAGGCCAAGAAGGAGGGAACAATCACACCGCTTGGTATGGCTGCCATGGGTGTTCGTTTTAGGGAGGGTCTGTTTGGAAAGAGCAGCACCCCCGTGGTGACGACTTTTGATCACCGTAGCATGGACGTACCTATTCTCTTTAGTCGATGATGATAACGAATTTAACGAAACGATTTTTATGAACAACACCTACATGTCTTCTTCCTAGATGTGAATTGGTTATGCCAGCAGCGTACTATAAGGTGGCAGTGACTTCATATGTATTGAACAAATAGACTTTTGGCGGGCGTTCATCGCGACAGCCTGACTGTTGACTATCACCACCTATGGCTCGCCAAGATTGATCATATTTTCCTAGCGACATAGACGTATAATGCGTTGACCGCTTCCACCTTGCCATCCACCGCGATGCTTTCCCATTCTTTCCTGAACAAGTCCTTCGCTCTCTCCCTCTGATCGCCCTGCCATCGAACATTGCAAGCGAAACCTGACTCGGCGACGGATTCAAATTGCTCGTCAGCTTCGTCTACACCATATGATAGCACCGGCTGCTCGGACTTTGTGTTCAATAACTCGATCACCTCTACCTGCATGCCCTCGCTCTCCAGTATCTCCTTGAACGAATCTCGACCCCGAGCCCACGCACGATTCCAGGGCCAGGCCACACCCAGCTGCGCCATGACCTTCTCGATCACGACCCCTGGGACAAAGCTCTTCTCGTGCACGATGTCGATGATCATCCGGCCTCCGTCCCTCACCCACCCCCGCCAGCCCCGAACGACGCCGGCCGGGTCGCGGAACAGCACGAAGGCGTTGCTGCAGATCAACAAGTCAAATTTCCCCTCCAGCTCGCCCAGCTCGGTGCAGGTCCCCAGAGACGCGGCGTCGTGGTGAATGAAACGTAGTCGCGGGGCAAGCGCCGCCTCCCGGCTCTGTCGCGCCCGCGCTTCCTTGAGCATGCCCTCGCTGACGTCGACGCCGACCACGAGACCGTGGGGCCCGACCGCCTCAGCCGCCATGAAGGACTCGAGTCCCGTGCCGCAGCAAGGGACTAGGACCTTATCGCCTTCATGGAGGGGGGCCAGTTTCATGAGCCGTGTTGTATAGTCTGGATGCCATGATTTTTCGTAGTCCGGGGCCCGAACGTCGTAGACGTGCTGCGCCGTTTGAATCTGGGAGTACATTGCTGGTCTAAGGGTATTTGAAGTCCTGTTGCGTGCCTGTGCCGGACTGAACACAGATGCAGTAGAGTTTGGCAAGTACCTGATGGATGTGATCGAGAGCACTTGGATAACTTTGTCATGTGATCGATATTGGGAGTGGCTTGACAGCAGCACCTATGGCCTGCCTGGAATGGCGGGGTGCTTACTCAGTCTTTTCAGTCTTTATGGGTGCATCAGCTACCGGAAGCAGGCCCTCCCCAAATATCTTGTCCCTCAGCCTCCACCAACTGTGTATAGTTTGAGACGATGCGATTTTGAAGTGGTCAGCTGCTTCTTGAAGCGAGGGACGACGGACGCCCTCGGACAGATCGTCGTCACTCAACCCAGCCAAAGGGGCTTTCCTGAGTGGCCATTGACCCCAAATGTTCCGCGTCATTGAGATACGGTGGTGGACTAGAAACAACAAAACCTCTCGTTTTCGGCGTTTTGTGTACGAGCGTTGGACTCGTCTGACTGGTCGGGGTAGGTTATAACTGCCGCTCCCAGCGATTAAAGCTCTGCGTTCAGGCATTATAGCAGGTGGCGTAGCAGCACACCAATTGAGCTGTCGCAATCCACGCAATCGGTGCAACCGTGTTGTAAGTTAAAAAGAGCAAATTCACAGTGGCCGCGCTGTTGGACGCAATCCCCTCAAGATAACATATTCCCTGAGGAAAACCCTGGAGGAGGCTCACGGACCAATTCCTGGGGTAGTATCCAATCAACCTTGGGCAGCCCCGTAAAGCGACGATAGCCAATCTTATGTCCGTTGCTATTTCCTTATGCGAGATGAGAGCCCACCAAAATCAAGGGCATAAGGCGTGGTCGGTGTAAGGTGGTCGGTGAGGTTTTATCAGAGTTGTCTCAGGTACTGTAATATGATACTGATACTGATACTGACAGTCTCAGAACCGACACGGAAGGGGGTGACAACTGGTAGTTCGAACGCTTATTACGCTCAAACCCTTGACTTATGCTCTACAGGCTCCAAGTGGACTACGTTGCGTAGAGAGTCATTTAGGTTTCTTTGCACATGTGGACGGGTCAGTAGTAGTGCAGGAAATTGACATCTATATCTTCGCCTTTGCGCCGCCGTATCTGGGCTTGATGGGTATTCTAGGGTGGTTACCCGCCAGTTTAAGACCCGTAGCCTTTTCCAATTCATCGACAGCCTCGAAGGCCCTGCCCAGGTTGACCTTGATGGTGCGCAGCCCCAGCTTCTTGGCGGCCTTGAGATTTTCGCCGATGTCGTCCAGGAACAGGACATCCGCGGGCGCAATGCCGCTTTGCCAGTCCGTCGAGGTTCCCTTTGCCTCGGTCGCTCGCGTCTTGGCATATTTGTCCACCTCCTTCAAGGTGAACTCGTACATCTTCGGGTCCGGCTTCCTCAAGCCCACGTGCGCAGACGAGACGAACACGTCGAATAGGCCTCGCACAGGACCGCTGAAATAATCCTCCTCGTACAAGGGATGCCCGGGAGGGAATATTACGGTATTGCTGACGGCCGCGAGGATATACTTGCCGCTCTCCTTCAGGCTCTTCAAAGCAGGATACATCCACGGGTCTGGTGCCTTTGAAGCCGTCATCATGTCGTTGAACAGCCATCGGCCGTCGAGCGTGGGTAGAGGCGGGACCTCCTTGGGCAGTTGTGGATTCTTGCTTTGTTGAATCTTGTAGAATGCCTCCCATCTCACAGGGTCGTGTAGGTCTCTAGTGAAGCCCTCAAAATAAGCATCGTCCATGGGAATGTCGCCCCTTTCCAACTTGTGCCAGAAACCGTTGGGCGATGTTTTGGATATGGAGTAGTTGACCCATCCTGGTGGGATGCCCAAGCTCAGCTCGTAATCAAGGATGGCCTGGAACGGGGAGACGACCTGGTATGGATGAGCAAAAGATGAAGATCATGGTGTATGGTTTCCGATGTACAGCTTCAGTGTCGAGTAGCAATCACGAAGCTGTATCACATCCGGAGGCCAATGGACGATTGGATGAAGGGCAGACTTACAACTACTCCGCCAATGTCGAAGAGGATGACCTTGGGCTGTGCACCTGCAGCCATTGCGTCGTCTAAATCCCTATTCTAATGCAAAGCAAGACAGGATGGGCGCCCAGAAACAAAGGTTCGCTGATTACTTGAGTAATGAGATGAACGGAAGGCATGCCAGCTTGGACTGATTGCACGCACCGCAACCGCAGCGACTCGACCACTTACCCCGGATTCCCTGACCCGGACAGGAGCCTCGGCTTCTGGGAAGACGAGCCCGCCGGAACTGTGGAGACCCAAGCTGGCAGGCTGGCAGGCTGGGTCACGGTCACGGAAAGCACGGACCTTCCAGCTTTTGGCGGGGGGAGATCTCGTCACTCGTCACCCACCCAGCTTCAGTCAGGTGTCCGCACGGCCTGCCCAGCCCTGCCAGCCCGCCGTCGCCCACCCAAGCTGCTGCCAAGCCACAGCAAAGCAAAGCAGCCCACAGCGAAGCAGCACAGCAACAAGCTCGTGCCCCACCACTTAACACGGCAGGGCTTGTGGGCTGGTGAATCGCATCCACACCAGTTAGCGAATTTCGCCCACAAGAAAATTCGCGATCTGCTGAATCCGATTCAACTTCACCACCTCCCACGACCAACCGCCCAACCCGCTGAACATCGTCAATCAGCCAACCAGTCACAATGGTGAGTACCGCGTGATCATCGTCATGGCAATGCCAGAAATGGCCACATTGCACATGATTTGTTTGAGAGTCAATGCAAGATGCTTCGGAAGATGAAGGACAGAAAAATATTCTGAAGCGCAAATTGCTGACTCGAGGTCTATCGTGACAGGCGTTCAACAAGTTGGTTAAGAGCAGCGCGTACTACAGGTGAGTGCAGACAAACACCCCGCCATCCACGGTCTCTGCAGGTGATGGGAAACTAACCTCCTCGCCCGCCCTGCAGTCGCTTCCAGACCAAGTACAAGCGCAGAAGATCCGGCAAGACCGACTACTACGCCCGCAAGCGCCTCATCACCCAGGCCAAGAACAAGTACAATGCCCCCAAGTACCGCATGGTCGTCCGCTTCACCAACCGCGACATCATCACCCAGATCGTGACCTCCGAGATCAGCGGTGACAAGGTCTTTGCCGCCGCCTACTCGCACGAGCTGCGCGCCTACGGCATCGAGCACGGTCTCACCAACTGGGCCGCTGCCTACTGCACTGGTCTGCTCCTCGCCCGCCGTGTCCTCAAGAAGCTCGGCCTCGACGAGGCCTTCACCGGTGTCGAGGAGGCTGATGGCGAGTACACCCTGACCGAGGCCGCCGAGGTCGACGGTGAGGAGCGCCGCCCCTTCAAGGCCTTCCTCGATGTCGGTCTGGCCCGCACCTCCACCGGTGCCCGTGTCTTTGGTGCCATGAAGGGTGCCTCTGACGGTGGCATCTTCATCCCCCACTCCGAGAACCGATTCCCCGGTTTCGACATGGAGACTGAGGAGCTCGACGCCGAGACCCTGAAGAACTACATCTTCGGTGGCCACGTCGCTGAGTACATGGAGACTCTGGCTGACGACGATGAGGAGCGCTTCAAGTCCCAGTTCCAGAAGTACGTCGATGACGACGTTGAGGCCGACGGCCTTGAGGAGCTCTACACCGAGGCCCACGCCGCCATCCGTGAGGACCCCTTCAAGAAGGTCGAGAGCGAGGGCCCCAAGAAGAGCAAGGACGAGTGGAAGGCCGAGTCCAAGAAGTACAGGACCAAGAAGCTGACCAAGGCCGAGAAGGAGGAGAGAGTCAAGGCCAAGATTGCCGAGCTCCGCGCGGCCGAGTAAGGGGAAAAGGCTGGGTATGCCAAAATGGGATCGACTTCATTCCGGATTTTATGACGGTCTTCCGGTAGTTCAGGAGTTAATTGCATGAAATGCTCTGATTTGTTTGCTGCTTTGATACCAACCCACTACTGCATCTCCTGGTCTTGATGAGTCTTGCGTGATGCGATGTGACATGAGGTGCATCTGGTCCCATCTTTGCAACTCGTATCTTCTCAGAGGCTTTGCCGTTCATCTGTGAATACAAACATATCCCTTAGCAGAGAATGCGTACGCTACCGTGGTCACCTCCAAGCTGGGGACGGTATACGGTAAATTATCCGCCATGTGACCAGCCTGTCCTGGCCACTCATCCTGTGCTGTGATCCCTTTCTACGTGACTTCTCAGTCACGGCTCCTCCGATGATTGGGACAAAGTATGGAGCCTTGCTACAACTCGCCCTAGGGCGGGTCGCCGGCTCAAATCCGGCTCGGGGGAACCCAGTATTTGACGGGCTACATATGTATGTGGGTTTCCGCCTGGCGGTCACGGGACTGCATGGGTCACCCAACAAACTTGCAGAGGCTTTGAAGAGCCGCCTGTAAGCTCCGTCCCACCGCGGGATGTGGTGATGCGCAACTAGTCTGGATATTGTTGCGATTCTAGCGGCGTCAGAGAAACGGAATCACGTCCGACCACGTCCACCCGTCGCACAAAAATATGCAATTCCAACCGACACCTATCCTATACTCGCTAATCCATGCATCTGGACGAGCCAATCAGAGCGTGTCTTTATGCAGAAATGGCGTCAGCCTGTCCAGGCCGTTTTCCCTTTCCGGCGAGACGTGCTGCGATTCTGTTTCGGACAGCCCGTTCGGCTCTGTCCGCGTCAAAGTACAAACGTCCATGTTTGCTGGAAAACATGCCACTTTGTATGCAGCCTGGGAGCTTTCAACGGCGAGGTTCAGCGCCACTTCGCCGTGGTGGGTTTCCGAGGTTCCCTATCAACGTTAAAGCGTTGATGATTCCCAGGTTCAGTGGTATGCTGGGTCAAGGAAATATGGTACGGGTTCATCTTGGCTGAAGCTTGCTTTGCGTGCTTATCAGACAATTACCATGGGCTCTATTACTGTGGACAATCTTTAAAGTTAAAGCCGCATGTCAGCAACTCTAAACTGCCGTGTCATTCACCAACTTGGACTGCCGAAATTTGCAGGTACCTGGGTCTGGATGACACCCATGCACCTGGCCCATCTGCAACTCGCCCTTAACTACAAGCGATTATCGTGGATCGAGGTAACGGCGACTTCTCGGGCTCCGTGGTTCAGGATACCCGAGTAGTCTCATCACGACACGGAGAAACGTCTGGGTTTCGTTTGCGTGCCATTGGGCTGATTAATCACGCAACACCACGTCGGAAGAGGCGGGGCGGCAAAGGGAATTTGTCGGGGCCCGGTAGCAAGGTGCAGTAGGACGACCTGTCAAAGCTGTGCAAAAGAAATTTGCCAGTGATCGCGTGCTACATATCAGCCCCCAAGCTCCCGTCGGAAATGTGTCTTGCTTTGCACCCTTGCGGCACTGCTGGCAGGGCTGGCAGTCTGGCTGGAATTGAAGTAGCCAAAAATGAACATTGCTCATCTGGCGCAGGGTTGGCCTTCTCCTGGCGGCAAATATCATTTTGCTCCTTTCGGGTGAATGACTTCTTGCGCCACGCGACGTCTCATGGACAAACGTCATTTGCTGAGTGCTCTCCAATCATATCTACGATTTTGGTTGTGAAAATCGAATTTGCCAATGTGCAACGATGTAATGGCGGAATACAGCATCTCGCATACGCTGACGTCGATATCCCGTAAGGGTCAATAGTGGACAGGACCCCTAATTGCCTAGGTATCCTTTTGTGTAGTAGTTCATAGGTAATACACAATGCACTGTAAGGTTCTCGTTTTCCAGGACGGCACTTGAGATCATATCTCTTGCGGTACGGCACTTCGGAGGCCCCAACCAAGCCAACCTCTGCAATGGCATTGAGTCGAGCCACTCAAGGTACCTACTTCGAATATAACTTTCTTGGTCATTGCTATTCCTTGTACTGTTAAAGATCACAACCCCCCGAAAGTCTCTCCCAACAAACTCTTTAAGAGACTTGATACCCTCTGGACATGTTCCGTCCACGGCCGTAGAAACGCCCATCGGCAAGTACACTGTCCGCCCGTCGGACTGTGCGATCCCCGGTGGCCCCTCAGCGCTAACGTCGTTTTGGGATATGGTCGTGAACTGACGTCGTTTTCCAGGGTCTCGTGCATGGGACCTGGGATCAGTCGATGGTGTGTTTCTGGGCTCCAGAAAAGCCGCGCACTTTGGACGTCGGCTGCTTCACTGCAGGTCCAATTGGGCCCGGAAAGGTGGAGGAGGTTTCGCTTCAATGGATTCCAACAGCACCCTGCCCTTGCTGCCAGCCTGCAAGTTCCGACCGAACTGCTGCGCTGTCCGCACGGTACCGCCTATCCCCCCCAGCATTCGATCATCGAAATGGGGCTACACATCTCATTCGGCGCATTCGGGGGGGCTAGCAGCAGCGTTGCATTGCACTGCATCGTCCACAGCGGACGGCATTCCCATCAGTCCCCGTACGGTACCTAGGTACTCGGTCATCATTAGCTTTGGTTGATATTGTGCAGACTCGCTCTCGGTCGAGGAAACGGGATTGCATACGGCAGCTCATTTCTCTCCCTCCCTCTCCTGTCGCACTCACACATACACACATCACATGTGCAGGCGTCGCCTACTTTGTTCCTAATCCCATACCCCAACCTTGATTTTGACTCGCTGCAGCTACTACTCATTAGACATGGCCCGCCACCGCTATCAGTCGTAGCCGGTTGTGCCCATGACCTCTGGCCCCAACCCCACATCAAAAGCTCAGGATCTAGACCTCCCAGCCAGCCAGTCAGCCAGCCAGCGGCGTACGGTACGGTACAGACCACGACACAGTAGTATTGATAATCGGGGGGATGGCATGGTCCAACTTAATCTAACCTAATCGACTGCTAAGAGAGAGAGCGGCGAGAGATCTCGACTTCCTCGACATTCCGCAGTACTCTCTTCCTTGCTGCGAAACCATCGTCGCCTTCTCGCGCCGGACTCGCCATTGTTCATCTGCTTGCCGGGGCGCTCAGCTCAGCGCATCTCCCCCAAGCTCCACTCCGCTCAACGTGATACCTCGACCTCGACCTCGACCTCGCCCTTGCCCACAGTTTGCGCCGTCCTTGTTCTCTACGTCGCCGATAGTCGGCACAGGTCCAGCATGGAGCCAGTTATAGATGTGAGCTGGATGAACCATGGGAAGGGTACGTTGTCGGACCTTTTTTCTTGTTTCTCAACCTACGGTCCTTCTTGCATCGTCTCATGTCACGCCAACCCCGGCTTTTGTACAAGGCTTAACTCTATCATCGCTGAAACTAACTGAAACCCTTTGAACAGACAAGCTGGGCAAGCATGGCACCACAAAACCGAGCTCGACAACCCCTGGGACCCAAGACTCCTCAGCGACAAGCCAGCCGCTCGATACCGCAACGCCTAGCAAGGTAAACGGCAAGACAGCTCCGCTATCACCACCGCCCTCACCGCCCCTCGCCTCGACGCCACCCACATCCAAGCCGATTCCCCCTCGGCAAGGTGTCACGAGAAGTAACTCCATAGAAGACAAGAAGTCTCCTGGACCGAACGGCACACCCCCTCAGCGAAGGGGGTCGTGGTTCTCCAAGATATCCGGCACCTTTTCCTCGTCTCCAAGCGGCGCGCCACATGCTCCGCCAGCTGCGGCCTCCGACAACATCGATGGTGACGATGTCTCGCCACTCCCTAAGATCACGCCGAACAAGAACGCCGTGCTTCCGCATGCAGCAAGACAATCTGGCGATGGCCCATACGTACCAGCGCCACCAAGGGGTGGACAGCCTGGCTTCTTTCAAGTCTTTCGACGGAAATCATCTTCCAGCGGATCGCTACCCGGAAGGAACAACCACGGTCTGGTTGAGCGACGGGTCTTGAACGTCGACAAGCAGAGGGAGCGACCTCGGTTGAACGAGCTGAACCAAGCCAAGCTGCGTCGCGTAGCCTTTTGTGTGGACGTCGAAATCGCCCCAATGCCCAAGTATTCCGACTCGGAAACAGGAGACAACAAGGACGAGGAGAAAACGCAGAAGCGTAAGATTGCCGAGAAAGGCGAAGGGGAAGCATTGAAGAGGCCCAAAGCCGTGGAGGAAGAAAAGGAAAAGGCCGGCGAGGTCAAGGCTACGGGCGAGCAACTGCCAAAGGAGCCACCGAAAGAGGGGAACGGCGCGGTGAAAGGGACCAACGGCCAAGCAAAGGACGGCATTGCAGTGACGACTACCGAGCAGAAACCGGAAAAGGAGACAACTCGTAAGAAGGAGAAGAAAAAGAAGAGTGAGGCGGAACGCAAGGCAAAGAAGGAGCAGAAGCGAAAAGAAGCTCTGGAAAAGGGGGCGATTCCTATGGAGATCCATCTCGACAGCGACTCATCGGCTGACGAGGCCGTGATACCCCAGATTCCGAGGCCGAGCAAATTTGCCCCAACGACAAACCCCGGACGGATCTATCGGAGATGTTGCCAGTTACGAGAGACCGATATCCTGACCAAGATCACCTCTCAGCTCCCCAAGGCGACCGATGTCTGTCCTGGCGGTCTCGTGGAGAAGATCGACCTGACTGGGTACTTCATGTCTCTCCCGGATCTGGTCACTCTCGGAGATTTCTTTGCTGTTGTGCCAGTGAAGGAGGTGATCCTGGAGGATTGTGGCCTCACGGACGAAGGTGTCCGCGTTGTCCTAGCCGGTCTTCTTGCTTCAAAGAAGCAGAAATTGCGGCACCGCCGATCTGTCACGAAGCCTGCAGATCTTTGCCATCAGGGCGGCGTTGTCGAGAGGTTGGTGCTCAAGAACAACAAGCTGGGAATTGAGGGGTGGAAGCACATTTGTCTGTTCATTCACATGTGCCGTTCTCTGAAATGTCTTGATCTATCAAGCATCCCGTTTCCTGCCCCTGCCGAACCGGTCAAGACGCCCTTGACGCATCAATTTCTCCATCATAATGGGCAGACCCCTATCACCCAGATCGATCCGTCTCTGCTGCTTTGCAAAGCACTCGGCGAACGGCTTGCTGGTCCTGAGTTAGAACTACTCAACCTTGGTGACACAGGAATCAAGGCTGCCCAGCTCGGCGTTGTGCTGGACGGATGCCTCAAGTCTGGCATATCACGGTTGGGGCTCGCGCACAACGATCTCGATGCCCAAGGTGTCGAACACGTTGCCAGGTACCTTCGCGGTGGCAAGTGCCAGGGTCTAGACCTCGGCGGCAACGATCTCAGAGACCATTTGCAAGCCATCGCTGAGGCGATAGATGAGAGCAATAGTAATTTCTGGGCCGTGAGCTTGGCAAATAGCAACCTTACACCTGGCTCCTTGTGCAAGCTCTTGCCCAAGCTGGCCCAGCTCACTAACTTCAAGTTCATCGACCTATCACATAATCATGAGCTTTGCGAGTCGCAGCCCAGTGCCATCGGACTGCTGCGAAGGTAAGTCCAACGAACCCTGCCCATTTTGTACAAGATCGCTGACATGTCGAATTAGATATCTGCCAAAGCTTCACGCCCTAAAACGCCTCCATTTGGCGGATGTGGCGATGACATCGGAGCAAGCCATTGCCGTTGCAGAAGTTCTACCCGAAGTCAGCACACTCGCGCACATCAACCTTCTTGAAAACCCCGAGCTTGTCAGCCTAGCAGATGCGAAGTCCGAGGATACACAAGAAGAAGCATGCGCTCTTTATGCTTCGCTCCTTGCAGCAGCGCGAGTTTCTGAGACTCTCGTCAAGATCGACATTGATACACCAAGTGTTGAATCCTCGGAACTTGTTAAGGCTCTTGCTAATCAAGTCCTGGCCTATTGTCTCCGCAACATGCGTATGGCGCCTGACCTTAGGGAGAATGTTGCTAACGAACAAGCTCCTGGGCAAGTGAAATACCCTGATGTGCTACGGCACCTTGTTGGGTATGAGGAAGACTTGCCAGTTGTTTATTCCAGTAACGAAGAAACTGATCCTGCTCCCGATGAGGACTATGTGATCGGTGGAACCGGTGTTGTCAAGGCTCTCACTTGCTGTCTGAACAACCTGGACGAGAACTCGAGACGGAACTCCGGCGAGTTCATCAAGGAGCTTGAGACGGGTACCAGTGCACCCGGTGCTAAGGTGCCCGCCGGTAAAGCGAAGAACATGTCCAAACATCTCCTGGCCAGTGCCCGTAAGATCCGGGTACGACTTCAGCCAGCTCTGGCTCAGGCCAAGGCCAAATCAAGTGTGGACATGAACAACTACAGTAAGTACTTTGGAAGCGCATCTTGAGGCTCATCTAACGCGAGTGCAGATCGTCTTTTGTTCCTTGACCAAACTCTGCAAGGTATTATTGGTCGGTTTGAGGACGAATTTCCCGAGACCCGCCAAGAGCAGACACAGGTCATGACACCGCACTATGGACCACCAGCTCTACCGCAACGTGGCAGCTCGTTCTCCTCTGCTGAAGCAGAGCCGGTGTTCACTGATACAGAAGAGCTTGAAACCGAGTTACGATCATCCTCTCGCTCACGTTCGAACTCGATCATGTCGCATACATCAAAGCAACTTGCCGAAGAGGAGGGTCGCGCGCTCCGTGTTGGACACAAATTCCGGCGTGGTTTCATTCCTGCACACTACAACTTGCTGTCAGATCCCGAGATCGCAAATGACCCGGACCAGAAAAAGCACATCGAGCATTTGCTAGACGACCTTGGTTCAGAAGCTGAGGACATCCGGAAGAAGGTAGAAGAGAAGGGAGCCCTGGTCACTTTCCAAGAGAACAAGGATGAAATACTGAAAAGGTTGCGCGACAAAGATCCAGCGGGATGGGATCGTTTCATTGAGGCCCAGGAGAAGGCACGGGCGAATATCCAACTTCAGATGAATGCTCCTAAGGCAGTTCTTCCGGACGAAAGTGCCATCGAGGACTAGGAAGCCGAGGGGGCCCATTTATACCAGTTTGGTGAGGTCGTTGCTGTATCATAATAGCTGAAGATGTAGTCAAATGGGAGTTTACAGAGGCAAAATTATGTCGAGTTGAACGCTGAGGAGGAAGGAGTGGGAAACCCACGGGGATCTGGCCTAGATGGGAGGTCGCGGAGCCCATCCATGGGAACACGGCGAAGCCGTTGAATAGTTACTGTATAGTTGTCTTATGACTCAACGAAGCATTGGCGGGCGCATGGGCGTTTCTACCGGCTATCAATTTCAACACAAATACACCGGCATTGGGGAGCTTAAAGCAGACCACAGGCGTCCTATTCATGTATAATTGAGCCCTCAAACTACTGGGTTAAAAGAGGGGGAGATGGAAGTAGATTGTCACTTGATTGCTTACAATTTGAAAGCGGGTAGTACTCCATCTTGGTGGGCTTATCTGAAAGCGTTAGCGGTATTCGTAACAGCAATTGCGTATACTGTGCAACGACGGTGCACAGCTAAATCGCACTGCAGTGTCTTTGAACCCATCTTAGGCGGAGGTATTGACATCACGCCTCTACGGAATTGGCCTGGTGTGGGGTCCTTCTTATCAGAGGCGATCGCCGGCTTCCTATGAAAGATACCCGCGAGCGTACTATCGCATCACGGGAATAAGAAGCGACGGTCTTTTTAAGTCAAGTCCATGGACGTTTCATCCATCGAAAAGGCGATTGATATGATTTAGTCAATCCCCGCAACCACTTCACCCTAGAAACCTACCAATTTGCTCTCCATACACGAAAGCCAACCATGTCGGCCACCACCGAGTCCGGCACGGCCGCATCCCTACTGCCGCACCTATTCCCGGAGCGGAAGCCGATGACGCCGGCACAGGTGACGGCGGGCATCGAGGCGACGCTGGCGGTGCAGCGGCGGGCCGTGACCTTCGGCAAGCGGCCCTTCGCCGCGGCGCTCGTGGGGCCCGACAACGAGACGGTGCTGCTGACGCACCAGTCCATCGACCAGGTCAACCACGCCGAGAGCTCGCTCGCCCGCCTGGCCTACTCCCACTACACCAAGGAGTTCCTCTGGCGGTGCACCCTCTTCAGCACCTGGGAGCCGTGCGGCATGTGCACCGCGACCATCTACGTAAGCTTCCTCATGCTTCCCTCCTTGTCATCTTGTCATAGGGTCTTCGGCCGTAGGAATGGAGCCGGGTCTCGAGGACTTCTTTGCCTAGTCGTCTGTGGGGACATCGAGGGAATAGAGGACGACTTGTGGAGAACACAAAGTACATGATATATGCTGATTGGCAAGCTCAGTGGGCGCACATTGGGCGGATTGTGTTTGCGGGAACGAACGATCAGCTCTACGAGCTGACGGGGCCCGGCAACAAGGAAAACTTCACAAGTGAGTCAACACCTGTCACTTTGAAAATTATTCATCACTGTTGAGTTGGTCAAAGATTTCCCCGATGGATTCGAGGCTGCAGTGCCTGTCACATGTGGGGATCTTACATGATATCTGGGTTCCGTGTCCAAATGTTCCATGCATTTGCGCAATTCGCCACGAGATATCGGATAGGTCAGGACTCAAGCGAGTCAAAGGATTTTCAGATGCCAAGCCGAGACACAGCAGAATTGCTGGGTCTCGGGCCGCCGACCGCACACCGAGTTTTACATAAGGCACAGCCAACCTCGTCCCATGTTGTCAGACGCTGACTGCATATGTAGTGGACTGGCACACGAAGGATTTCTTGAAGGGATGCCCCCAGAAGGACGTCGAAGTCATCGGCCCACTCGAGGCCGAGGGAAAAACCGTGATGGAGGAGAGCGACAAGTATTGGCGCACGACTCGCGTTGCAGCGAGCTGATAGGGGAGCTCTTCCTGCGGCCGCCTTCAGCTGCGCCCTGCGTGGCCCTTTGCGTGGCCTCGGAGATGAAGCGCAGTTTGTCACGACGAGGGCAGGTTTCTTTGCTCTTTCCTCGTACCGAGAAGCTGTCACGGTCTGGTGCTCATGTAGTTCGGTATAGGCGATTCGAGTCGAAAGGCCAGGCGGGAATAATGCAAGCTTGGCAACATCTCCGAGCAAGGGACTTTTTCAAGCGCATACAGCGGGTGCAGCAACTTACGTGTTGACATGATAATAGAGATAGGGCGATTTCCATAGGGTAACATTATTCCCCCCATGGGCCGCACCGCTTCCTGTTTTACATGGGATTCGCCAGGTAAGCGAAATCGTGGAGGCGGGATGCAGGATGCGGAATGCGGGAGACAAAACGGACCCGATTTTGGGAGATAAGCTTGGTCGGGGTCAGGGCTAGTAGCCAAGGTGCTGTCGTATTCATCTAGTCGATCCTGTTTAGAAGCTTGGCAAGCTACTAGTTAGTATGTATACGATAAACCCTTGTTAGTGATGAACTGTAGTAAAGAGGAGCGCCGCTGCATATTGGGCACTGAGGCTCCACCACCCTTCGTTATACCCTAGGGGCATAGTAAGCGTCTCGACGACGTTCAAACGGCTCAGCCGCATTGGGTCCGTGGGGAACCGCTGCAGGCAGACGCTGACAATGCGGCTCGGTTGCATTGCCTATTCCGGACGGGCAATTGCGTGGCCACGCGGTATATCGATTCGTTGCCCCTTCGCCTAGAACCGTGCTTCTGCCACGAACTGTGGTAATGTAGGGTATGCAGCTTTTGAATTAGGCGCTACAGAAGTCGGATCTCCCTATATCAAGTCCGAATGGCCGATTGTATCCAATAGCGTGACCGAGTATCACTCAGCCTGCGGCTCGGCATGTTATCCCATGCCCGTCAAGCTCGTGCCAGATCCACATGTCATAGTTCGTGATAGGGCCCTAGCAATTCAGCTACTTGAAAGCTTATCGAGGATATGCTTCATTATCTAGTCCCCGTATTCGCGTAGACCCATAGCCCAAGACGAATAGACAAACCAGGCAATGGTATTGCGACCATAAGTCATCTGAGAGTTCATGCCGATATCTCACCTTCAGACAAGGGCGATTGAGCATGCAACTCTTGGGTAGCATGCCGCCAATGGTTCCTGCACAAGCCTGTAAGTTAGGCGAGCAATGGCGCTGGGCGTAACCTGGTTCGTGGCCAAAGAATCTGCAAGAAAAAAAGGCATACCCAATCTTCATGGATGTAAAATCCCCGTTCTACCCGGAGGATTCCCTATGGCTTTTTTGGCTTACACATTGCAGATGGGTGGCGTATGGAACGCCGCTGTCCAAATGGCTCACGTAATACTTCTTGTGGATGGCATCTTGACTTGTTCACGCTTCATGACCGCTTTTCCCGAGGCGAAGACGCTAGCTGCTTTCAATAATCATCGGTCACATTCATCCGATAGGGTGAGGGCGTCGTCAGCTCGTTGCACGTCCCTCTTACCCTGAAAATAGCCAGCGGCTAGGCACGATTGCATATGCGTTATGGGAGTCAGGTTCCCTAGGCTTATCCCTAAAGAAGTAATGAACAGTTTGAAAGTATTATCATGGGAAACGGTGAGGGTGAGCTTGGCACATCTGCAAGGGAGACGATAGTGACTTACACGGAGTTCATGGCATGGCTGCTCTAAGCCGTGTGGTGGTGGCTAGTCATGTGAAAGGGTCCCATCAAGGACAAAATAAGCGGATTGTGACAGACTTCGGCACAGTTCCGCCTTTGGTCACACCCCTTCGCTAGAACATCAGGAATTGGTACGGGGACCTGCAGCCGGACAGAGGCGACAGGCAGCCTCGCTGCATGTGAATGTCGAGGCTGGTCTGCAGAAGCCACGCGATTGAAACGAAGGCCACGCAACTATCGGCGTCTCGTGACCGAGATAATGGAAAAAGTACCCTACTTTGAAGTATTTCGCAGCAGAGAGCGCCTTGCGCTATCGTATGGGTAGACCCAGCGGAAAACAGGGGTTCGTAAACACCGCACGTGGATCAACGGACATAGCAAGCAGTCGACAAATAGTGTTTGGAGGGTGAACGACCCACTGTTGCGGGTTGTTCCTTTCGGAGATTTTCTTTGTCTTGGTAGCGAGCTGCGTGGGGTTCAATAGAGATACAACGAGAGACGCTGGTTCAGCTGACAGAAGCGAAACTGCATCAGCACCAAACGTTCCAACGCGTTGGCGTCTGTCCATTAGAAGCAGCCTAGCTGCCGCGGCGGATGATCAACTCCTTTTCGCGCCATTCCTAGAATTTTGACTCGGTCAGTAGAAGTAGGTATTCAGGGGAAGCCTTGGCGATCCGGGGACCCCAACGTCATGCGGCTCGACTTCATTTTGATGAGGCTCATTGAACACCATGGGAGAGGCCCGAGAGTCGTATCAGGTCTAAGCTGCTCGGTAATAACTCAGTGCGATGACACCTTGACATGCTGAGTCAGTGGAGTTTGTGGGGTGGATTGGGGCTCACAACGGCTTCATTAAAAGATCGATACTCCCGTGGGGGTGCGAGCCGGTGCCGACATGGTGCGAAGCTTGCGCGTCCCCTGTGGCCGGGCCAATCAGATTCAAGGGTACATATCCAAACTTAGTGGATATATGCATGGAAGCCCACTATACCATGTGGTTCCTGCGATCAAGCAACTCTGTTTGTGGGGAGCGGTACACTGGTACTGGGGTCCAATGTTGCACGAGACACCGGCATGTTAGTTGACGGTGCTGCGTCCAACTTTGTAGCCCCAGTGCAAAAAAGATGTTTTGAACGCCAACGTACTATTGCAGTACCGCCTCGTTCGAGAAACTCCCACGGTATGTCACGGACCAGGTTGCTCAGACCACACTTTATGTTCCAAATCTGGCCATCTCTGCGTCTGCTTCAGGGAACGGCACAGGACACAAATGTCAAAAGCGAGGCTACTGAGAAATCTCTCTGCAATGATTGGATAACCCACCCAGTTCTAGGTCTGTGAGCCGCAGCAGGGTCTCCTCATGTGAGGCAGTATCGACCCACCACCGGCACATAGAAACTTCCCAAGAGACAGCATACTTCAGACGAAGCTTGCCTGCCATTACAGAGAGTCAATGACTAACGGCGAATGTAGCTGGCGGTTTGGCGGAACAACTGAGTCAATTCCTGGTAGCGCATCGACCTTCAGTCTGCTCTTGTGGAGTTGGCTTGGACGTTGTTTGCTCAGGTACGAGCTCGTGCCAGGAAGTAATTCAATGAGGGTTTCCGGTGATATGGGTTCCAGCGCTACGAGTAAGGACTTTACCTGCATCAGGAGTTCCACCGGAAGAGTTGCCTCTGGTGGCTAGAGTATTTGCTGTTGTGATAAGACTCTGTGAAATACGCAGACTTGCGGGTCATGTGGCAATAGTTTCTCGGTTTGGTTGACAAAGAAATGATAAATCGGACAAGCTTTCTCAGTACTGATATTCGGATTGGCGATAAGTGCCGGACTCATCAGGTGAATACTGATGCCAAGAGCGTTTGGCTGATTCCTTCTGCAGCACAAGCACCAACCGGATCCCAGGGCGAAGCCCAAATCGATGTGTAAGTAATATGCAAGATTCTATAATTATCTCCATCAAGAATCGAGAACCTCGATACGGGCCCCCAATGTCTATGATCTGAGAGTGGTGCGTTTAGTTTCAGGTTACACCGGACAGTAGGAACAGGTAAAGATCTTCGTCGAGGGAGATCCATGCGAGCGAGGTATTCAACTCAAACTTAGCCCAGTATATGCATATTTTGTTGCTTGAGTGTTTGACAGAAAACTATCCAAGGATTGTTCAACCGTGCATTGTGACTTGCTGCCGCCGAAACGGCGGTAAGCGCTCGCTCAAAGCCACGGTATTGGTCATTATCTCCGCCGTCTGAAGTCGCGAATGTCCTTGCACTCTCCTACAGCGAAGCATTATCAGCGTAGGAACGTACGCGTCAACATCCCAGGTACGCTGCATTCAAACAGAAAAATCTTGGTAGGACCCTTGAATGCGTGAGGCCCTCAGGGGGTCGAAAGAGAGATGCAGTCGGCGAGGGTGACGGTGTGAGGAGTAAACCCGTGCATTAGCGGGGCTCCTTTCAAGGTCAGGTTACGGTGCCGGGTCGATTCCGACGACCAGACTACTGTTGATTTGCCAGCCCTGTGCCATCCCTGTTGGTCGCTAAGACTCGATACCCAGGGTATGGATAGACTTTTGATGCCGCATACCAAAAGTGCTGTCATGACAGATGCCTCGGGTTTACTGAGGCTGAATACGAAGAGGTCTAAGAGTCCGAGGCTGCAGGTGAAGCAGCCAGTGTGCATCCTCTCACTTTCAACGTGTTCTCACGATCAGTATCCACCTGCGGCTCGGTACTTGTGCTGAGCACTACGAGGTAACCACAGGGTCACAGTGCAAGGTGACATCGTTCATACAATACGTTTCGAAGGCAACGGAATGGATCGCCGTTGCTCTAGAATTACAACATAGACGCGGCTCAACGCTTGTGGCGCCGCCAGCTTACATCGCTTTGACGCCTGGCCGTCACGAACATGCGCCTGACCCTAGCAAGGGGTACGCACTTTCGATTTGGCTATCGTTCTACACCATGAAGGCAGATTTCAGGACATGATGGCCTTGATTACTCTTTTTGGACACAAATTCAATACTCTGCCTGGTGACTCAGGGTATATCGGAACACCGGCGGCATCTACCCTTGGAGCCTGTAGCTTGATGCAGGCTGTCAGCGCCTAGTCCGGCCCATAATCTCAATGGGTGCAGGCGGGATCAATGAAGTACGAGCACCAAGGGATCGGTCCTTCTGATGGGTCGAGTAATCGTAGGTAGGATTACCATGTTGGTCTCGGCTGCGGTGAGGGTAGTTCAATACTCCTGCACACTATCTTTGGACCACATGTATGCTCCACCTGATGGGGCTTCCCTCATGGCCGTCCTGGGTGCTACACCTCTTCCTTGACGATAGGAAAGACTCCGTAAGTCACTCTAGCAAAGTCTCAGTACGTTCACATCTATATAAGTGCAGAAGTTCCCCATGATGGGTTCCTCTTTGTCACTCACAATCAGCTTCTACTCTTCAACCATTCGGTCTCTACTCTGGTCTCACTCGTTTCTCATATCTTGAGTGCAACATGCACTCAACTACCCTCTTTTCGAGCCTTGGTGCTCTGTTGCTATCTTCAATTGCTTTTGCAGCGCCTCACACTGGTCTGTCCGGTCTCATGGAAAGACAGACTTGTGAGTTTGACTCCGCAGCATCACCCGAATGCTGGGGCAACTACTCTCTTTCAACCAACTGGTACGAGGAAGCTCCTGATACAGGTATTATCCGGGAATACTGGTTCGAGGTCACCAACTCAACAGCGGGACCTGACGGTGTGGACCGTGTTGTGCTGAGCATCAACGGTTCAGTTCCTGGTCCAACTATATTCGCCGACTGGGGTGACACTGTTGGTCAGTGAATCTGGAAGACTATTATTATCATGATAATTGAAAGCTAATGAGTCTTTAGTTGTTCACGTCTCCAACGCACTTGAGAATAATGGTACAAGCATACACTTCCACGGTATTCGACAGAAGTATGTATTACAGCTATCAACTGCGCTATAATCCAGTTCCGAGTCACATGCTGACTGGTTATGACACAGCTTCACATCGCAAGAGGATGGTGTTGCGTCCATCACTCAGTGCCCTGCGGCCCCAGGTGAATCCATTACGTATACTTGGAGAGCTACACAATATGGCACCACGTGGTACCACTCACATTTCAGCCTTCAAGCTTGGTAAGTACTTCAAGGGTGCCCGGAATCAAAACGAAGGCAATTAATTTCGCTAACTGGCAAACAGGAACGGTGTTTTTGGAGGTATTGTCATTAATGGACCAGCTTCATCCGCATACGATGAGGACAAAGGAGTGCTGTTCCTGAACGACTGGCATCACAAGACCGCTGATGCGCTTTACGTTCAAGCGTCTTCTGGAGGTCCTCCCGCTGCCCAGAATGGGCTCATCAACGGCACCAACACATACGGAGACACGGGCTCACGATTCCAGACTTCAGTTACCAGCGGCACTTCTTATCGACTTCGTCTCGTCAATGGTGCCATGGACACGATGTTTCGCTTCGGTATTGACAACCATACCCTGACTGTCATCTCCGCCGACTTGGTTCCCATTGAGCCATACACAACCACCTCCGTGAACCTTGGCATTGGACAGCGATATGATGTAATCGTCACAGCCAATCAAGATCCCGGCAACTACTGGATGCGTGCTATCCCTCAAACCACATGTAGCAGTTCCAACGAGAAGACGCTTGATATTCTTGGTATCTTTAACTACGACAGTGTCGAAGTAGCAGATGGTACAAGCACCTCTTTCAGTTATATTGACAACTGCGACGATGAGGCGATCACTCCTTTCCTCCCTCTGACCGTCGAGGCGCCAGGTAGTGAGCACGTCTTTGACATTGGTCTGGACACCTCAAGCGGTCTCTTCAGGTGGACGATCAACGACAACGTCTTTCTCTCAGACTGGGGTGAGCCGAGTAAGTAATCTTCAATGCCGGTAGCACCTTGTCAGCGTCCCTAACAGCAAGTAGCCCTCGAGAAAGTGGTTGATGGCAACACAAGTTTCGCCATTGAGGAGCAAGTTGTTGCCCTGAGTGAGACTAACGAATGGGTCTACTTCGTCATTGAATCTCAATTTGGTTTGGTAAGCTGTCAGCAGTCGATCCCGCAAAGCATGCAACTGACAAGTATCAGCACCATCCCGTCCATCTACACGGACACGATTTCTTTGTCCTTGCTCAAGAGACTTCGGCTACATGGGCAGAGGGTAATCCTTTAAATCTGGTAAACCCACCACGAAGGGATGTAGCCATGCTTCCCGCCTCCGGCTACCTGGTTATTGCATACCAGTCCGACAACCCAGGTGTTTGGCTGATGCACTGCCACGTGAGTCTAAGCATTCAGATCAGCTAAACAGATGAACTAACATTGATCAGATTGGCTGGCACACGTCCCAGGGTTTTGCTCTGCAACTAGTTGAGCGTGAATCCGAAATCGCTGCAACAGTCAATTCAGACACGATGAAGCAGACTTGTGACGCTTGGAACGCGTACCAGGACGCTAACGGCATTCACCAGGAGGATTCTGGCGTTTAGGGGCTCCACCAAACACCCTCGCAGCAGAACCTATCTCACTCATTTCCTTGGAACAATCATCTCAACTCGAACACTCATTGACTCATAATTCTCAACCACCGATGGCCATCATCACGACATTCATTATAAACGGCAGACCACGAGACGGCTTACGAATCTCCGATCTAACTTCTCTTCGACGTATATATTGCTCCGCTTTTTGGAACAGCGCAATACTTTGGAACGGGAACTCGCCCTGCATGAACTGTATATACGAGATTTTATAGCATATAGTCGACAGCGTTAGTATATAGTTCTTATTTCCAATACTTACATCATTCGCATAACTCAAGATTATGGATGATTTCGACGCAGATGTAGACGTGATCTACTTTGGTAGTTGTGGTCCGTTCCCATCTCAATCAATAGACAAAGCCCAGTCTTAAGATAGCGCCATACAGTAAGTCTAAAAGCTGGCACATCAACAACATGACACGAGGGATTAGTTCTGCCGTGAACGGCAACTCTATAGTTCCCTATCTGGCAGTTCTCGGCGACTTGGCGATCACTACAGGCCGCCAGTCAAACATACTGAACTCCAAGGAGTCCCACTTGGTGACATTTTCCCCAACATCTTCCCCAACCACTATGCCGCATTGCCCGTAATGCGAATGCCAAGAGCACCAACCCCGCATATTGCAGCTCCTCCCCCGCAAGCTTAACGGCTTTAATACGTCCAAACCAGATGGATTTTACCAGGATATCGGAATGAGGCCCAGTGCGATCGTTCGTTGAATTCAGCCGTGGCCAATGACAGATGCCGGCAGCGTCTATCTCGCCGTCATTATTGGCCTGGGTGGTCAAGCATGCTCCGCGAAATGTGGTGCGCCCTGACATGGGCCTCGATTGCCTAACAGGCCTGGTTGTATCATCAGCGAGCTGACCGTGGACGCCATTACGTATTGGCTGGTGGTTGTGTCATCTTCCCGTATCTCCGGGCATTTTAGCAAATATTACGAGTCATGGGGGTTGTCGGTATACTTAAGTATCTTGGCCCCTGCTACTGCATACGACCGCTGCTCCTCGCGCTCTGCTCCTGCTTGCTCGTCTACTCCCGTCTGCGACAGCAGTTGTGTCATCACCGTCAACCGACCTTCAGGAACAACCAGCGACCATGGCTGAACCAGCTGACAAGAAGGTCGATGTTGAGCATGCGGCGTCGCACGAAGAGTCGCCCCCGGTCTATGAGGATGTCTCGAAGAGTCCAGAGACCGCCGGAGCGCCTATCATCCAGGAAGCCCGCCGCCGAGGACTGCAGCCTCCTGCTATCATCGCCAACCTAACTCCTGAGCAACGGCAGGAACTGGAGCTGCGTCTGAGGAAGAAGATCGATCTCAGATTGTTGCCAATGATCATTATCATGTACATCATGAATTACATTGACAGGTAGGACTTGTGGTGTGTCGAAGTCGGGCAGCTTTTTGACGGCATCAGGAACAATATCGCAGCTGCAAAGCTAGCAAACCTCGAGAAAGACCTGGGTCTACCGCCGAACTCGACGGAGTACCAGACATCTGTCAGCATTCTCTTCGTGGGGTACGCCGCTACGTTGTCAACCAATTTTCGTGTTGTGCGCTAAAGTATGCGATAGATACCTGTTGATGCAAATACCGTCGAACCTTTTCCTGAATAAGATCGGAAAGCCAGCTATCTATCTTCCACTTTGCGTATGTCCCCAAAGCACCTGCAATCGCAGAGGAAGACGGCATTCAAGAATGCGGAAACTGGCGAGCCTTCAGTGCTGACCATTCTGGATACAGATGATAGTGTGGGGAATCATCTCAGCTGCTACTGCTGCAGTCAAGAACTTCGGTGGTCTCATCGCTGTTCGTTTCTTCTTGGGTTTCGTCGAGGCAGCTTACTTTGTAAGTCTCTTTTACCATACCAAATCATCGATGCTATTTTCTAATGCAAGATAGCCTGGATGCCTGTACTATCTAAGTTGCTGGTACACTCGGAAAGAACTAGGCCTGCGAACGGCTATGCTATATTCTGGAGCGCTTATCTCCGGCGCCTTCTCGGGCCTGATCTCCGCCGGTATCACTGCTAATATGAACGGCGTGCGAGGGATCTCGGCTTGGCAGTGGCTGTTCATCATCGAGGGTGTTGCAACCGTGGGAATCGCATTTATCGCATTCTTCATTCTTCCAAATTTCCCACGCACGACATCTTGGCTAAGCGAGGAAGAGAGGGCACTTGCGATCTGGAGGCTGGAGGAAGACATTGGCGAGGACGACTGGATCGACAGCGAGCATCAAAGTTTCTGGCAGGGCGCAAAGCTTGCCTTCAGCGATATCAAGACCTACGTGCTGGTAAGTGGCTGACACCGAACACCCACCCCGACTTGGCCAACGCTTATGGTTTTATTAGATGGTACTGCTCTTCTGCATTGTTGCCAGCGGTTCGGTGACCAACTTCTTCCCATCGGTTGTGAGCACACTGGGTTATAACAGCGTGAACTCACTGCTCCTAACCGTCCCGCCGTACGTGCTCTGCGTTATAACCTCATTCGCGAACGCATGGCATGCGGACAGGACTGGTGAACGCTACGTCCATATTGTTTGGCCCCTGATTTTCAGCATGATTGCCAACATCATCGCGGCAACCACCACCTCCATCGGTCCTCGCTACTTCAGCATGATGCTGATGGTTCCCGGAGTCTATACGAGTTTTGTGGTAGCATTGGCCTGGATTAGCAACACTATGCCCCGGCCGCCAGCAAAGAGAGCAGCCGCTTTGGCATTCATCAACGCTGTCAGCAACTGTAGCTCAATATATGCTTCTTATGTGAGTAGAACTAGTCTACCCTGTCGACAGGCCCCAGCACTAACGAGGCATCGCTAGATGTACCCCAACGCCGCAGCGCCTCGGTATGTTGTTGCGATGGCAGTCAACTGTACCACGTCGTTTATCGCTATTTGTGCCGCAACAGTTCTGCGATTCATGCTTGTACGGCTGAACAAGAAACTCGACCAAGGTATTCATGTGGAAGGGGCGATCAACTCTTTGCCGGGAGAGGCTGCTCAACATGGCTTCAGATTCAAGATCTAAAGATGTCTTGGCTTTCGAATCTTATGTTCACTACTGACGGAGCGGCTAGCCTTCAGCTTGCGTAGCATCTATCTGGCATGATGAGAATGGTTTGTGTTCTCTTCGTAGCGAAACCTGATATTATAAAGGTCCTCCGTAATAGAAATTCAAGCTATTCTCTGCCGTTGAGATACGCTCCCCAGGAAGGGGTTTTCGCCCGTAGACTATCCAGAAAGGAACGAATAACTGTTATTCTGGATCCTTCAGTTCCTGCTTGGCCTCCTGAATGACTTCATCTACCCCCTCCGATTGCAGACCGGAACCCTTTACAAGCATGCTCCTCGTTGCTTCGAAGGGCCAACTCAACGAGTTGTACGCACCTACGCGCGCACGGTTTTCTGGCCAAGGTGCGAGTGGCCACGAAATCTGCCTTTCCACAACATTCACAAAGCCAGCTTCGACCAACCAGTGCTTGTAATGTAACGGGATCAGCAGGTCTCGACCCAGCGCCGCGCCGCTTTGCACGAATAAATCGCACCATCTCTTGAACGCTGTCCCTTCGACGTCCCCCTTAAAGCGGTATGGAAAAGCAGTACTGTCCTGATACTCAATCCAACTGCCGGAGTTCACGTTGTCGAATGCGTGCCTAAGCACAGTTTTGTGATCGTCAAAACAACTAACAATCAACCTAAGGTCTACATCATGTCAGCCCAAGAGAGCCTAGGAACAATGTGCAGTTGCAATCTACGAATCAGCATACTACACGAACAGCTGAATTAGCGAATTGGCTCATATAATTTGACGTGTGATCTAGTCGTCAAGAAGCGTTGATCCTTTGGGGGGCATTCACCGGACATAGTCGAAAGGATAGTTCAAAATCCAGGTCTCTTCAGCATCCGTCTTAATGAAGTCGCAGTTCAGAACGGACTCGAGCTCGGGCTGTACTTTGCTAAGGTCTATACCAATTACGTTGGAGTTGGGGTTTTCTCTGGCACTAGAGCTTCAGAGTCAGAAGCATGTCTTTGTGTATCTTGGACTATATTGAGTCTCGTCGTATAAGTTGCCTCTGAATGATTAAACAAGCCCTCCAAGGTGTTTCAATACCATGTGAAATAACTCACAATTCGAGATCCCATACACCGCTGCCTGTGCCAATATCAAGCACATTACGAGGACTATGAATAGGAGCGCATCCCAATTGTTTAATCAAGAGCAAGCACAAGCCAGCGTACTGGAAATCCAAACGGTCTTGTTCGTCAGGGTCATTTGGGAGGAAGTATTTCCCTCGCGATATCCATTGTACATTCTCCCATGGTCTCCGATCACCGAATTGAGCTCAACGATGGACGAGCTTTTAGGAACACGACGATTTTGGTCATCGCTCCTAGCCTCTAAACCCTGTGAGCCATGCTGCAGAGCCATTCCTGATGTGCTAGCCTGGTCAGCTTGGATCAGTAAACATTTAGTAAGACGTTCGCTAAGAGAGGGATTGTTTCTATGATGCGGTTGACTTAGGAGACTAGCTTGGTTGTTGTCAAGTATAATGCTACAACCCCGCTTGCTCCAGTTTTAGAAGTAGCAGTTTCAGCTGTAACCCAATTCAGCGGAGGCAGACATTGATCAATTACGGCAAAGCAAATCGCAGGGGCTTCATGCATCGCACCCGCTTGTACAGAGGTTGCCTGCAGTACAGGTACAATGGAAACAACTCTAATCAACGTATGTTCACAATAACTTCCAGCCAACAGTCTATTGTCGCATGTGCTAAAAAAAAAAAAAAAAAGCAAGATTTCATCACGAACCGTTCCATCCAGATCCATCAAAGCTCGAAAGCCGAAAGGAAGCCAGCATATTGGAAGCGGACTTTTCTTCGAAAAGCACGAAGTTACACTCAAGGGTCCCGGTTGGAGAACGGCTCCAACCGATCCCTCCCCACTGCTTAGCGGCATTCGCCTTCAAATCCAGCTGTGCTGTTGGTTTACTAAACACTGCCAAACCTAAGTTCCTGTACTATGGTACTATTGGTTGGTCATGGGGATTCCAGCTTGGTGCTCGTCATGTGTTCGCCATTATTTGATAAGGTGATAGTCGCAATCCAACACCCCCCAACGTATTTGTCCCCACCGGTGAGCGCAAAACGAACTGCTACTATAGAAAGGAGGAACAGTTGCGTAAAGTAATCGACAACGGTTTTTGACCTGCCTCGCGGTTATAAACGGGTGGCTGAGAGTGTCTTCAAGAAGACAAACGAAAATTTTCGAGGAAAACAAAAGCGCTACCTGCATTCAGATAAGTACACGACCGTTACTCCACTCAGATTTGATGTTAATGATAAAGGGAGATCTAGAACCTCATACCCTGCGCGCGTCGATGGTTAGGGACAAGTTGCCTTACCGAATGAGAGCATCCCCAAACAGAGGCTATCCGTTTCTGCTCAGTCGGCCGACAGTGACCCCACTCTGGAAGAAAGATTTATCTTTCCCCAAATCTTACCAGAGCATTGTATGTAACGAGAGTAGAGTTGGGTCAAATCATTATCAAGCCTCTTCGGCGCAATAGCTGCAACCGATATCAAGTAACCAATGACGCGGCCCTTAGCAAGACGGCCATGCCGCGTAGGCTCGGCCACAGCCTATCAGAGAGACGATCTGCTCTCTGACCCTTGAGACAGACATGCCACCAACCCTGCCGCTTCCCAGGGCCTTGGGTGTCGGACGTGACGTTGAATCTGCATGCGGTGCAAGGTTGTGATAAAAAGCTACTGAAAACCCAAGCACATGACGAGATGGCGGTCGCTGTGCTCTCAGCTTTGTCAAGCACCTAACTGAGCTCCCATAGCGACGTTGTCGCTGCCTGCGCTCAACCAAGCAACCCTTCGATTCGCGAGAGGAACCCGACGCTCTGGGCTCCGGCCTGACAGTTGAAAGCTTATCTGCAATCAAGCTTCCAGTGCCAAGCTCCATAGGTGCCACCCCTTGCACAATGGCTGCAGACAAGACAGTAGCGGACGATCTCACGACGTCCCCCGAACTCAGCGATGCTGACAGGGCTCTTGCGGAGATGGGCTACCAGCCTGTAAGTCGAGACCCTCGTGACGAATTCGCGACGCAGAAGTTTCCCAACGACTTGGCCCCAAGCATTGACATGCGTTCTTACGCGGGCGGCAGGTATTCAAGCGGGAGTTCTCCATGTGGAGTTGTTTTAGCTTTGCGCTGAGTATCTCGGGTCTGTTCGCGACCGTTGCAACGACCTTCAGCTATCCACTCTACGCTGGTGGTGGTGCCGCGGCCATCTGGTGCTGGCTCATCGCGGGATTTGGCGCCCTGTGCCTCGCGCTGTCAATTTCAGAGATTGTGTCTGCTTATCCGACCTCCGGTATGGCCTCCAAGAAGAGAGCCCCATGCGCACTCGGTATGCTGATGTAGACTGTATAGGGGCGCTTTACTTCACGATCAAGTACCTGGCGCCAGAGAAACACATCCCATGGATTGCTTGGATTGATGGTACGGTCATTCTCCACCTACCCAAACTATCCTCTCCTTGACATATGGTTCAAATTGCGCAGCGCAGCACAGCACATGAAATTAATGAACAGTGCTGATTTGTTGTAGGCTGGCTCAACCTCATCGGCCAAATTGCAGGCAGTGCCTCCTCAGAATATGGCGCAGCTCAGATGTTGTTAGCTGCCGTTTCCCTGGGATCCTTCGACGGGACCGATTATCATTTCGTCCCGCTGCCGGAGCACATCATTGGCACGATGATTGCGCTTGTTATCTTCCATGCTTGTATAAACACTCTTTCTACCGCTTGGTTGAATCACCTCGCGAAGACTTACGCTGTCTTCCATATCGGCATCTTGTTCAGTGCCTGTGTGGCCCTCCTCGTTCTGCAGAAAGACAAACATGATGCTGCCTATGCCTTCACCTACATCGACCCGGCCCCTTTGTCAGGTTGGACCCCTCCGGGATTCTCGTTCCTTTTCGGGTTCTTGTCTGTTGCTTGGGTAAGTCATTGCTCCATGCTCTTCAGAGTGTATGCAGTCATTGTTGAGGACGAGCCACTGATCTCATGATCTAGACCATGACCGACTATGACGCTACCGCGCACATTGCGGAGGAGGCGAAGAACCCTGCCGTCATCGTACCTCGAGCTATCTCGTCTGCTCTCACGTTCACCTATGTTGTCGGCTGGCTCTTCAACATTGTCTTAGTTTTCTGCATGGGCGACCCGGCGACGATCCTGGCCAGTCCGATTGCACAGCCCGTAAGCCTGAGTATCCCAATCGGAAGCAATGTGGTTGGCTAATCAGCACCAAATTACAGGTGGTCGAGATCTTCTTCCAGGTTATGGGCAAAGGTCCTGCCATTTTCTTTGCGGTGTCGGCGTTTATTATCATGAACTTCGTCTGTATCACGGCCCTTCAGGCGGGATCCCGTACGATCTGGGCCTTCTCCAGAGATCAGATGCTGCCAGGATCCTCGGTGTGGTACAAGATCTGGAAAAAGACAGACACACCAGTCCTCGCCGTATGGTTCTACTCCCTCCTTTGCATCTTGATCAACCTGATTGGCCTCGGAAGCTATACCGCAATTTCGGCGGTTTTCAATATTTGCGCCATCTGTCTTGACTGGTCCTACTGCATCCCGATCATATGTAAGCTCTGCTTCAGCAAGTTTGAGCGTGGCCCTTGGCATCTCGGGAAGGCCAGCCCCTTTATCAATGCCTGGGCTTGCATATGGACAGCTTTTGTCTCCGTCATCTTCCTGTTCCCCACGGCCATGCCAGTCGCAGCTGGCACTGTGAGTACCCCTCTTCTCTTATAGCCTCACCTTTCTTGGATGCTCGATCTAATTATTGGCCAGATGAACTACGCCGTCGTGATCCTAGCTTTTGTTGTACTCCTGGCTACCAGCTATTGGTTCTTGCGAGGCAACAAGTACTACACTGGCCCACGCAGCCATGCGCACGTGGTAAACGGTGGCGTTGTTGTGGATGGAAGCCAGGAAAAGCCTTCTGACTCGGAGAAAGCAATCGCCAGTGGTCGACAGGTCTACGCTTAGAGCTAATCTTCGAAACACATAAGTACACGCAGTTTCTGCCGAGTTACCCGGAGTGTGGTGATGGATCGTTGAACTATGGCATCGCAACCAACAAGCAATAGTAACCTCTGGAAAATGGGCCGCCCATATGTTTCATGCAATTTTATTGTTATTTCATAGAAGATGAACTGTACATCGCAGGAAAAACTGCAACATGACTGATGGGTGCCTGGCTTAAAAAAGGACCTAAGGTAGGGCGTCTCGTACGCTCCAATCTTGTTGGTCCTTGTCTGAATAACGATGATATATAATCACGCCGCTTCAGAAAGAGGTGCTTTGTGGACATGTTCCAGACTGATACCAACGACCGTGATCCGCAGGCGTTTCAGGCGGTCTTATAGAAAATGATTTTAAGCTATGGAGGTTGGCTCTCGCAACAACTAACTGATGCTAATCACCAGAAACGCAGTTTATCTATTTTCAGGTTCATGGCGACGATTGACCTTGGTACACGGCCGTAAGAAATGCAAACAAGTCTTATTATAGTCCACGACTGTGATCTTGCCAGCAGCATCTCGGCTTGCCACATGCGGCCTAGCGCCACACAGTGTTTCAACCTGCCTGCAGGTGCCGTTGGAAATCATTAGTGGGGTAAAGTGTCAGCGGGAAACACTGTAGGGCTGGTATCAACTACCAGGTGACAGCAAGTACTCCGAAGAGCACCCCACCAGCTGGACGTGCCCTTCGCGGATATATTGTCCTTTTCTTTTTCTCATCGTGTCTTGCTCTTCCTTCGTCAGCTCCCCGTCATCAGATGAGCGCCAAGTCCACGATCCCGCAGGCCCTGTGGGATCTGCAGATCCCCGTCTACATCACGCACACGTCGCTCCCCAACACGCCCTTCGTCGCCAGTGTGCCACGCTTCAGCTATCTGTCCCTGCTGCTGCCCCGACTGTCGTCCTATTTTGGTCTTTCCTGCTCCAGCTTCCATCACGAGGATGTGCTGCTGCGCAACCTGACCGTCGGCTTGCTCGTCGACCTGTACCAGCCCACCCTTCCGTGGCGTCTGACGGTGGGCGACGGCATGAGCTGGGATATAGGCGACACTTTCCTCAACAGCGCCAAGGAGGTAAGGATCTTCTGCAGGCTGTTGCTCTATCGTATTCTTGTGTTCTCGTATTCTCCGATACGAACAAGCCAAGACCATCAGATTTCCCAGACTGTTGTCTTCGTAGCTGAAACTGACCGACTGCATGTACGCAGGCGGACTTCGTGCGGAACGGCAACGCACAGCAGATCATGTCACTGTCAAAAGAAAACACAACGGCGCTCTGGAATGCTGTGAGAGACAGTATGTATCTATCTTCCACGCCATCCTTCGCACTTGTATATGATGGATGTTGAACTAAAGTGCTATACTTACCGGTCCGCAGATGACTACCCGGCTTTCAACAAGGTGAACTCGCGCCTCCTCAACACATCCCGGCAGCTCCGGAACGTCCCCATCCGGGTCTATATCCCCCAGTCGCCCGAGGGTATCAATGCCGCCAACGGAGCGGGCTCCTTCAAGGTCGTCCAGTCCCTGGTCCAGCCGCGCTTGGGTGAGCGTATGTGATACCACCCCCTCCCCCCCTCCTTCCGTGAACTGAGTTCGTGATCCACTGACAAGGCCAAAACTTTAATAGGGGCGCCGCAGACGCTCGGAGCCGCGCTGAGGGATCTCCTGCCGAAGCTCTTCCCGAGCAGCCGGGACCCCGTGCTCGCCAATGTCCTGCTGCACGGCGCACACGTGCCATTTGGCGCCCCGCTGGAGGAGCTGATGCGCGACGCCGCGTACCCGGATGGCTGGATCTGCCTCGTTGTGGTCCCGCTGGACGTGTAGCCCACGATCAAGAAGCGAGTGAATATGTGTGCCGCACCCCAGAGCGGGTAGAGAAGAGGGCGTGAGCCGACCGTTGGGGGGGCGGAAAGTGTGACCGAGTATCGCATTCGAGAGCTTTCTCAGGAAATTGCCCCAGTGCACTTGGGGCTGCTATGTCGACTGTCTGTTGCACTAGCCTACGACGATGTTCGGAAGTAGGGAGTTGCAACATCATGACAGGACGTAAGAAAGGCATTTCTTCGGGATGGGCTCTGCAGTGAGAACCAATTTGGCAAAGCCTCTCGACCAGCCGTTATGAGGATGGTTCCCGTGTCAACATGGCACCCGCACACGATCGAGAATGGAGCGGCCAGGCGGGACGGGACGTGTGCTGCCTGGGTATAATTACCCACAACTGGGCGCCTGCGGCAAAGTTGGGGCAACACAGCAGACCACTGGCCGTCATTGAATTGCCTCTACGCTGCTGCATGCGCGAGGCAGTGGCGAAGCCATACACTCACAAAGCACGTGCAGTAAGACTGAGGCTTGAGAGGTTCCAAGTGATCTCACAGCGAAGCATGAAAGTTGGGTCACAGCCAGAGCAAAAGTTTAAAAAGTGAGCCTTGTGGACACGCTGTGTTCATTTGGGTATCGTAAGTAGGAAGCAAGATGCAAAAGACCTAAAACTATTTGTCACTTTCTTGTGATCCAACTGTATGCGCACAGGTTGGCCTAGTCATGGTGCCAATGCCGTTGTTCTACCACGGGCCCGAACTTGTGACAAAAGCCTGCGCTTTTTTTTCCCCTGTCCCCCCAGGTGGATTGAAGTCATATTTTCCATCAGGCCGTCCAAAATCTGTAATTCCAAGTCCAATGTCTGAACTGTGACTGTAATTTCAATATATGCTCGATACAGGTAGCCGACGTGACGTGTAGATGGCGTAAATGGGATGTGAAAACGAGAAATGGCAGCCCCAGCCCCGGAATATGCTGAGTGGTATCTCCTCCACGCCCTCCTGAAAGTAAATGTAACGCAATAGTACCCGCCCTTGCTAGCGAAAGCTGATGCCCCGTGACGATATGTCGTTGAATAAACACAAATAGTGAACCGCCGGGGCTTGCGCCGTAAACTCACTATATCCGAGTTGCTGAGAATGGGAAGGGGGAAAATCGAGATTCTTTGAGCGTCTCCAACGCAACGTGGATTGGAAAATTCAAAGAGCTCTACGGATTATGGTTGCTGGTGTATATATATATGTATGCTGTGGTATCTGTTATATCGCCGCGTATGCAATCAATCAAGCCTCGACAAACTGGGTCTTGTGTACAGGCCAAAATATTATGGCGGATCTTATCAATACATGCCATGTGACGGAGGGGCCATCACGGGCGTGCCCGGATGGTAGTTGTCACCGGGCGTTGATGTTGGTATTGGCCCTGCACTGGTCATGCTGGAGAAGCTCGAGTTCGCACGGCCGTGGACGTCCTCTATAGAGAACCCTAGTTTCCGAGAGAGTCCAATTAGGATGTTCATGTCCATCTTGAGAGGGCTTGTTGAATGGGAAATCAGCTTGAAGAAGCCGATGATCCGGCTAAATAGAGTTTGCAAGAGTTCTCGGGGGATGAACTGGCTCAAAACTGGATGCCGGTGGCAGGCTGCTAGAACAAGCAGGTTGCCCCATTGACTGCAATATGCGTTAGTGTAGTTCTATAATTACGCCACTGTGACACGACTTACGCATGAGCAGTTGTGAAAACATTCGTGACTTGCAGGCGGTGCCTGGGGTCGAGGCCATGGAAGGCCCGAGTGCTTTCCACAAGGGCAAATATGCCCAATCGCGCATAGTTAAGGGCTCGTGGGTCTAACTCGTCAGGCACGTGATAACCGTCCAGATCGAGCCCTTTCGCTGCCCACTGACTGCGAGGGGGGGGAGGTTCGCTGAAGTGGCGTTTCCCCAATCTTCCGCCGTGAAGAACATAATCCACGTAGGGTCGATATAGGAGCACCTGAGAGCCCCAGTACTTTGCACGCAAACGTGCTGCAAGAATGTCACTTGCCGGTGGCTCAGTGGCTTCAAAGCGAAATTCGGGGGGGATCCACACAGCGGTAGCGGGATTCTTGAGACCCTCCTGGAAATCTCGCAGCTTCTCTTCGGTGGTTTTTGCTTGAGCACCGCTACTTTGAATTCCGCTGCTGTACAGTCCTCCGTGAATCAAGTTCAGTTGCTTTCGGAGGTAAAGCTGAGCATTGTAGCTACTCAACACATAAGGCGCGTAACCCTCGTTGGTTTTCTTGGAGAGATTCGGATACGGCATGCCTTCTTCGTAGCCTAAGATGCCAGTCTGTGGGACCTGCAGTTCGGCCAGAATATCACTTGAGTCTGTTAGCAAATGCCGAGCTGATAGATCAGAATCCGCATACCTCTCTAATTGCAAACAAGTCCAGAAAGCGAACGCAAGCTGGTTGTCACGAATCGTCTGGGGTACGTGGCCTTCCAGACTCCTTAAGCGGGATAAGCTCCTACGTCGTCGTGTCAGTACTAATTTCAGCTTGGAGATGGAGCTTATAAACAGGGCTTACGGTCGTATCACCACCTGCAGCGTTCGTCCTGCAAGCGCTATATATGACCAACTCTCCAAAATACGACCAAGCTGCCCGTGATAGAGACCCAGAAATAGGGCCACATAGACGTGTTTCAGGGTGTAGCCACCGATATGACTGCCGAATATGTCTGCAGCAAGGGCGTAGTATTCGAGGCCGGGGATTATGTCGAGGTTGCGCTTCATGGCATAGCCTTTCAGCGAGGAGCCGGGTCCTTGCAACGACGGGCGCCGGCTCGACATGGAGCGCTCGTTCTCTCTCGGAGATGGGAGGCCAGAATTTTGTACTGGCGTAAGACCCGGCGGAGAACCTTGCGAGGGCGAAGACAGAACTCCATTGCGGACAGAGGGAGAACTGTGGGCTGGCTGATCATGCTCATTCACATATTCAGGAATCTTTCCCTGATGAAGACAGATCTTTCCAAGAGCCAGAACTGAGAGTACAAGAGCGCTGTGGATGCTTCGGCACGGCAGACCTGGCTTCTGCAAGCCAATCGGCGCATTTTGCTCGTCAACTGCGGGTGACCGTTTCCGTTTCATGCCTGTCTCGGGAAGACTCGAACCACTTGCCTGCACGAATTTCGCGCTGCCTTTATTTGATTGCTTTACAGTGTGCGGCGGCAGGGTGTCTAGGAAGACAGTAACCATCGCATCAAGTTGCCCAGGTATCAAAATTGGGTGCATATTCAGCACATTTTTCTTGAAACTGTCGACATACTGGTCGACCTTGGCGCGGTCGAAGTCCGGAGTCCCGTCGGAATTGAGCACGCCGCCTTTGTATGTATCGATACCTGGCGGCGATATGCCTCCAACCTGGCCCCATGCCTCTGGCGGGGGGTTAGGCGACGCTACGTCTGAGAAATCGTCGTTGACGTCCGTCATTATCTGATCCATAGGATGGCCGCTTTTGACCGATGTGCGGATTTCCTGGTCAAAGCCTTCTCCCCGACCAAAAACTCGAAGCACGCCGCGTTGCTGTTCCTGGCGGATGGGAAACTCGCCAACGTACTGGATCCCCTCCTTCAGAAGAAAATCTTCACATAAATTCTTCACCGAAGGCCACTTCAAGATGTTCGTTGCTGATGTTGTGTGGTCCACAGGAAGGGACGGCTGCCCAGGTGCCACTGGTGGGCCTGGTTGGGTTTCAATCTCATCGTCATCCATCTGGCGCACTGTTTCTCGCGCAGCCTTGACAACGTAGTCGCGGCTGGGGTCGTCGTCCTCGTTCGGCGACGGAGGGTCCAAGTCATGTGCGTCCTTGCCGTTCAATGTAGGAGACTGATCGTAATGCTGTTCCTGGTCGTCCTCCACAGATTCAAGCTTCAAACCAGAGGCCTGATCGGAAGGTCTCATTGCCTGTTCCATCTTCATCATACGCTGATCCATCTTCGTCATGCGCTGATCCATCTTCGTCATGCGCTGGTCCATCCTGCCGAATTCACTGGTTATTTGGCTCTTGAGAGCGCTCATAAGATCCAGAATGTCCGCGCTGACCTTGTCCGGCCTGGTGGCTGGTTAGCAATGGTGACTGACACACAAGGCGTCTCGGGACTCACTGCTTAGTCGGCAGGTCTCTGTAGACACAGAGGGCATTCTTGTCCTTGCAGTTCTTACATGGCCGCTGCTCATCACACTTTGCCTTGAGCTGTCTGCAGCTGTCACAAGCCTATAGAGCAATATGTCAGATGTGTGAGATCCCGAAGCCTTGTGGGAATCCGTACCTGGGAGGCGCGCTGGGCTTTACGTTTTGCACTAGCCACCGGGACGGTAGAATACATGTCAGACACCGAGGGCGGCCCGTAACCAGGTGTAGGCGCGTCATATTGGGGTGTGTGCTGGGCGATGGGCGTGGGTGGCGCATGGAAGGGCGGTAGCTGCTGTTGAGGCCGGTAGACCTGAGGCGACGGGGGCATCGAGGCGCCATTGTCGAAGCTCGGTGGTCTTCGGTGGTCCTCTGGATGCTGGCCCAGGTATGGAGGATGCCCAGATGGATGCGATGGCAGGCCCTCCGGAGCGTTGCCTGTCGAGTTTGGGCGGCGCATCTGGGGCAGAGGGGTCTCCTCGCCGGACTCTCTCTTCACGATCGAATCTCTGCGGTACGGGGGGAACGGCGGTGCGTGAACCGGAGAGGGAGGAGGTTGTCGATGGTGATCCTGCATTGGCGGAGGTGGATGTGGATATGATTCTTGCTCATGATGGCGGCGGTCGTCGGGATGGTGGTGAGCCTGGTGAGGCGGTGGTGGCTCCGGCTGGCGACCGTATATACTATGAGACTGGAATGGAGACAAGGCGGGATGGTGATGAGTTTGCGCTGGTTGCGGTGGGGGTAGGATGGGTCCCTGATGTGAAGACGCCCATGGTGACGAAGCGGGAGGGTCGAGACGAGGACGTTTAGCTTCAGACTGTCCGGGTTCCATAGTTGGTAGATATACGTGAGCAGTCATAGGCTGGCTCTACAACACCGCAGGTCAGGCAATGGCGGTAGTAGGGAGGGAGGCCATGGAAAGCTATCAGAAACACCACGGAGCCTAGGAGGGCAGGAGCCGGTTTGGAGCTGGCCAGGTATGTAGGTACCTCGGGGGGAGAGATAGAGGTAGATCGGCTGAGTGGAGGGTGGCACGCAGTATACTGGAGCTGTCGCGGCTCTGATTGGCCTGAGGCGACATACACAGACAGTCCTGCGGTATGTGTTACAGGTATCCGAGAGAGACGTCCAGGTGCGCGTGCTCACGAGGAGGCTTGTCACTTTGGCGCGAGGTACGAAGGGGCGTGCCGAAGCCCTGGATGCGAGGGGAGGAGCTCCAAGAGCCAGAGCCAGCAAGAGGCCCAAGGCGACGAGAGATCTGCAGTTGGGCAGAGACAGAAGGTTACGATCCTCAAGCAGGTGGCCGGGGGTGTGCGGAGGAAAGGCGAGCGAGTGCCAGCGTTTCGGAAGCCGTCGAATCTTACGAAGCGGCGACAGCGAGGAGCCCGACTGCTTGCTAGACGGCTTTAGCCTTGGTGGTAGGAGTGTATGGGCAGAGAGGTGTATGTTGTAAAAGCGTTTTTGGCCTCGAGGGACCCGATCGAGGTACTTGACCCTGTTCGCCGAGCCCTCGTCTCAGCGAAGCTAGCAGAGCAGGGGTCGTGTTGCCCTCGACATGGGTTGGCGCCGCGCGCAGCGACTATCCAACTCCGACAGGATGGAGCTGTGCCAGGGAGCGAGGCAAAGAGACTGCCTCCCGGCAGACTGGCGCTCGGCACACCTCTGACCGCGCGCGCTACCTAGGTACAGCGGGAGGTACCCTACGTACTATATGTAAGATAGGTACTGCAACTTGGCCCACCACCACGCAGTGCACACTCGCCCGGCCAGGACAGAGTGTCGAGCAACTGACGGCGGACACTCCCGTCGACTCCAGGCGGTGTGGGAAGATGGAGAGGGGGTGGCCTTGAGTCGCGAGGACTGCAGTACAGTACGTACTCACGTACTTTTTATTTTTTTTATTTTTCTTCTCCCTCTCTGTCACGATAGGACGGGCCAAGCCCACACTTGGTCCAACGACGAGGAGGTGGCCGGGGGGGCAGGTAGCTAGATGGCTCACACTGTTTTTTGCTTCCAGGTGGAGGGCTTCGCGTGCGCGGGCCGCTTACTGGTGCGAAAGGCTTTTTCTTATCGCGCCGAGATGTGAGTGGACAGGGACGGGAGGCTAGCCAGTAGTCCGGGTTTAGCAAGACGCTGGGATGGATTCCAGAAGAACGGATGGAGCTACACAAGATGATCTGAATGTCCCTGACAAGCCCGAGAACGTCAAGGGGCAGGGGATGGCGGTGTATCCGTAGCACGAGCCGCAATGGCCCACGCTTGCTTGAAGGAACAGGCACAGTAAGGAAATGGCTAGCCTGTGACGGCGGCGGCGGTGATGATGGTGGTGGTGGTGGTCGAGTGGTGGTGCTGTTGCTGGCGATGGAGCCTAACTACTGTAAGATAGAGGGGAGGCCGGCGGGCGCGGGAGAAGATTGGGAAGAAGACTGCACGACTCGTGCCACCAGAAGATTGACCCAACCTGGACGATCCAAGCCGCCCACCAGACAAGTAACTTACTGTGTGTGGTAAGCAAGCCTGGCAAGTAGGCCAGTCCAGCCAGCCCGCCCACCCCAACCTTCCAAGCGTGCCAGGGAGGAGGTGGTTTAAGCTGGTGAGCTATCCCAACGCGGTAATGCGGATGGATAGGTGGGGTAACTTGTCCGACAACGGTTGACGGCCGCTGGAGGAACCGCTCATTGGAGGCGCGAACGCCAGCGAGCGTCAGGTCTCGAACGTGGACAACAAGGCGGTGTCAGACGTCAGACGCGCTTGGACACGAGCCATCGATATGAGGTTATGAGTATGGCGCTCATCGCCCGTCGCTGGCTGCGGGGCTTGGACCTGGGTGGATCCGTGACTGATGGATTCCAGGTTGAGACTGTCCAGCACGGGCACGATGGAGCTACGGGACTAGGTACAGTACCATTGGATGGTAATAGCAATCTGGCTGGGCTTACACAGTACATTACGGTCTGAGCATGCCTATGCTGGGCAATCGGCACTATCATGACCCGGACCTCTCGGCTACCAAGGCACCATTTGCAGCCAGACTGACATGACAGATTGGCAGCTGGAGAACAGTAACTTACAGAGTAGATCCTGCAACTTCCGGTCCCCTGCAATCATTCGGCTGCGTGTGGTGGAACGTGTTGCCAAGTGACCGATGCTCCGGAAATCCCAGTTATTGCAACTTGCAAGGTCTGAGAAGCAAAATTGCGCAATGGTCAGCTCAGTACCTCGGTCATACAGCACTGTAATGTACTTCTCAAGAAAACCTCCAGGGCTCCCCCCTGGTTGTGGTCTGGGGCACAATGGCAGGCATCTCGTTAGGGGTCCTCCTTGCAAGCCCACCAACCACGCTCTCGGTTCTCCAATCATGCGAGTTTCCCACAAAGTATTAACTCTGCAGCGACAGGCAATGTTGTCAAACAAGACAGCAATAAGCAGATGCGCGCTGCGTGGAGGGGCTCATGACAAATCTGCTTCAGCCATCTCAACACCATTCCATACCTGGAAGAGTGGGCGCTTGATTGTAGGTTTTTGGTCTCCCTGTACACAGTTCCGCCCTCAGGAGCTACAGAGACACGACGTCGGGCTCTGGAGCTCGTTCAAGAACCATAGATTTGATACAATGGACTGTGGCGTAGTTATTGCTGGGGTGTCTTTATGGAAACACTCGCGCAGGCCGCTGCGACCACGTGAGGGAGCGGTTGGCAGCAGGCTACCACGCTGGCTATCCAGGTTCAACATTACCAATAGATACAGGGGCCCTCCGTCAATGCAACGTCTGGTGTCGTCAGCCCAGATGGCGAACTCTTCACCTGAGCCGTCATATTGGATTGAGATTGCCAGGAAGCCATCATAACCCGGGGATTGCATCATCAGAGAAGCTCAAAGCGTGTTGCGGCCAATGCTTTCTGCATCTTCTCGATCGGACCCGTCGGGCTTGCGCCTGCGGCTAGCTGTTCACTTCAAACTTGCATGCATGGAGGTCCGTGGCAGGCGTGGCAGTCGTTTTCTTCGTTAGCGTTCTGTCTCGGCGCTGGGACGCGGCAGGGAAACATCGGCACAGGCACAACGTAGCGTATTTTGGGCTCTGCAGCATGGGACATGGTTCTCGTTGACTTGCATATCTCGTCTCCAGCGTAGACAGAACTGCAGGGTTTCGCGCAGCACGGGGGGGGCCAAAGACCATGCGAGAGGGCATCGGCATGAACGTCTTTTGAATGCCATCGATTTGTGAATTGCCCGATGTAGGTTGACCTCGACCTCGACCTCAACTATACGTAGTGTTGTCGGGGAGAGCAGAAATTCGGGACAGTGTGGACATTGAGCTGGGTTGTGCACGCCGGCTCTTCGGCATAGCCTTTGCCGAGACGGTTCTTCGTCGGATTACTCAAATAGGTTCTGTTCGTCCGCAGAGTATGGATCGGCGCCGGTACATAGTACTGCAACATTCCGGCTCTGGGGCATGCCACACCGCCTACGCTCGCTTTTCGTGTGTTTTCTCGCAACACGTAACGGTGTATGACTTGCACGATTCTCTGCATGGCTACTGATCATGTGTGTGTCTCTGCCAACAGAAACCCCACCCAATTGAGGAGTACGCGCCTAAGTACTTCGTAGTGTCGATACTGCGGTACAAGCAGCGCTCATGTGGGTCACGCAGGACCTCGGGAGTCTCTGATAGCTTCTGCGTCCAGGCAAACAGACCAGTGGCGGTGTTGCTTCCGCTCTAATTCACAGCAGGCAAGGTAATATCGTGACGTTTAATATGGGTATCCGCAGTTATCTTGATGCTCTGCCGGCACCTAGAACCACTGGAGTCTTTCTAGAAGTCTGGCTTGTCTGGAGCCTCCGTGTCCGTCCACGCCACGTGGAACCGTGGTCTAGTTTAGTCTGCCACTCAGCAGCAAAGACGTCCATAGTCCGACAGCTGAGCAGAAATCCTTGTCCGGCCACGGGTAGAGATGGCGCCCCAATTCACGTTGCGAAATGAAATCTGCGGAGAGAAGCGTGCAATCGGTCTAGCCCTCGCTCAGCTGGTATTCGATCATGGAGATAAGTAACTTGGAAGTGACAAAACAGCACACAGGCTTCCATACTGTTTACTCCGAATATGTCACAAGTGAGCTATGTGATATAGACTGCCCCATCATAATTCGTTCTACGCATTGCTAGGTACTTTATACGTACTGTGCAGCAACTTGCGGTGATCTGATAACCAAATTGAGCCCGTCTGATGTGTACTGTACCTGCGTGCTTATCATGTCGGCGCTGCCACCTCAAGGGGAAACCGGTGAGGCGCACGTTGCGACGAGCTGGGTGCAGCCTGTTTGAGGACATGGCAAAGAGCTATCCCAGTCATTACACCGCTCGTTTAGCTGCTTTCGTCTAAGCTTCACGCAAGCCAGCTGGTCGCAAAGACAAACTCTAATGCTTCTTAGACGACTGATGTCTTTTTTTCCCGACGGTCTGGCGAACCGATCGAAATTGGAGCGCGTGCACAGTACAGCTGGATATCCTTTAGTGGTTAACGACATGTCTGCAAGCCAATAAGGGACGCCTTTCCCGCTCAGCTTCCGAAGCTTCGGTTTGCTGTACCGAAGCTCGAAGCAGGGGAGTTACCGCCTACCACACAAGTATTGCTTGGGGGCTTGGTGTTTTTGAGGCTGTTCTATTACTCGACTTGCGAGATCCATACCTCTATCATCTATATTACTAGCAGCTTAATACGGTGCCGAAACCTTCCGATCCTACTGCAACGCCCAGCGCTATCAGGCTCGTAATCCGATATAACCATTAGCGAACACCTTCGCCAACGGCTTGCAGAAGCCGAACCCTGGAGTATCATAACAAATCCTGTCGCCGTATGTTCGGTCTGGCCCTGAGTGCAATTGCACAATCAGACAGTAGCAGCTCATACCAGATGTTACTTCTCCATGGCGCGAGCAAACCCTACCAAATAATTTCGAGTTTTGGTTTCCCTTTCCACGCCGTGTAATTGGGGATTTCGAGATGTTTAACTAGTATTCTTGAATCTGCGTTAGCATCACTGGTGAGTATCTTTAACTGTCTGATGTCCGAATGCTCTCTCTGCAGGGGCTAAATACGAACCCTTGTCGCCTGCTAATCATTTGGGACGTTGAACAATTGCGACAGGCCCCTACCTAGCTAGGTTGTTCGTTACTATGTGCAAGCGACGCCGAGAGGGACTGACTTGCTACCATGATCTAGGCAGTATTGTCTTCGCCTTGTGGACAAGCTTCTACCTAGCTCACTGAGAAACTACTGACGTAGATGCAAGCCAAGCTATAGGCGTCGGAGAATTCGAGTTTCAGTCACTGCAAACGGCCAGGCAGCATGCGGTTGCTGCAGATGATCAACTGCAGGCCGGGGGCTCTGAGGGGTCAGACGGTCGTACGGTAGGGTCGTTCTGGAACAGTTCTGATAGGATTCTCTGTTCTGCAACTTATTTCCGCACTGACCTTACTGTGAGCATCTCCACAACTTCCATGTCTGTCGACTACCAAGGTGCCCAGCCTATGAGTTCATTGCAACGTCAGATCTCGTCGCCCATCCAAATTTGCTAAGCAAGTCTCTCAGGGGACACGACCGCATGACTAACAAGAAACAGGAAATCTTTAGAGAGACTAAAGTTCCAACTACGTGAAGCCGTTTTCCAATATCAATGGCATTTTGTTAAGGGGGTACCTTGCGACTCTACCAGGCACAACCAGCTTCTGCAAGAGCGGCCCATCCAAAGGTACCTTGTAGGAGGATCCATTCATCGATCTGAACATGACACCGAAACGCCCTTCGGAAGGTAGCTTTCGATAGCGGTACATGGGCCCCTGTTGGCGATCAAAGCCAACCATGCTCGCCCGTCGCAGGTGACGACCTTTGATAGGCCTGAATCCCGGTCCATAAATGCTCCTGTCAGCCTCGCTACGAACTCAGTGCTGAACATCAGAACTGGGCCTTGTTCCTGATTGACCAGAGATCACATGGAGGCGACCGTTGGCCCCGAAACCAAACCTGCGTCTTTTTTGGGTCAGGCGGGAGACATGATACCTAAGAGTGCACTTCTCCAGGTATGTGACGGCCAGGACTGCCCCTTCATTGGGTTGCATCATTCGGTAATGCTCTATTGGGCGGGTTACTGGTTTCAAATCGGGAACATTATGGGCTTCCCTTATCTAAATGGGCATCATGGGACCAGATTGGAGATTACGTGGAGGGCCCAAGCAAATAAAGACCTGGGACGAAGTATACCTATCATGTAGATCGTTCCGTGCCCAGCTCCGGTCGTCATTCACGAGACTGGACAAATTCGTGGCGTTTCGCGGCAATGGGCAGACTGAAAGTTCATCTCTGGAAAAGAAATCCATTGACCGTACCGCATCTGAAGAGCGGTCTAAGTGGTCTAAGGTTTGTCATAAATCATCCTAGGAGACTTGCATACGGTGATACTATAACTTACCCCCTCATATCGTCAAACTATAAAAAGGGCTCCAACATTTAGTTGCCTTGCCTGGTGCATTAGTGCATCCTCAGATATGCCTACCACAGTATATTCCCGCCTAACTCCTCGCAGCGGCTGCCACACGGGCCAGACATCCAGACACGCGTAAGCAGGTAAGATGTCTGTTGCCGTGGTCAGATAACCGCCGGCTGCCGCATACGAGAGCAATAAGTGGCGGTCTTTTTGTTGGCTTGGGCAAGCTTCTTGATGCGGCCAGAGCATAGAAAAAGGACCGACAGAGCTCATATGACCTCGCTCGCGATTACCAACCCCAGCTGCGTGGGGAGATAGCGGGGCCCCCAGAAGGCACGGACAGCTCACCTCACACCCATTGGGAAAAAGCAACAAGAATGAGACGCTTTTACCCGGTTCATGGGTCAACGGCTTTCTCTGGAACAGCCTCGGGTGACCTGTCAGCTGCGAGCGCCCAGCCAGCCAGCCCGCCCTCCCTTACAAGATTCTTATGTCCTGCATGGGGGCTGGGATAACTGAGGAAGTTGAACCCGAGAAGCAATGTTGCCAACCATCCACTCCTGACCGTCTGGGCCAATGGTTGAGACCAGGTTCGCCCCGCGCCTCAGTAACGATGAGTATCAGGCCCCTGAAGATCGGCCATACTATTGGCACACGCGCAGAGCAGCTGCGGCCTTCAAGTACCATCCAATCGAGCGCCACCCCAGCCACTGGCGGGGGGAGAGATCTGACATTCTGAATCTTCGTAGGCCCTTGGCCCACAGGTCACTTGGTCAAGTCGCCGTCAGGCCATGGGTAGCACGTTCCACAAGAGTGGTGCGGTAGTCGCGCTGCACTTTCAGCCTCGGCCACTGGTGGGTCAATGCATTTGCCAGTTTGAACACCAGCCCGCTTGCTCGATTCAATGTATTATGCTCGTAGTGATGCAAAAACCCGTTCTTTCCGTAGCACTTAGTGGCTACGCCTGGATAAACCCGTAGGACAGCATCTGCAGCTATCCATCAACAAGGATATGGGCCGACGACGGTTTCTGACGACTGACGAGCATCAGCGCAGCACGATTATTGTTGATCAAGTCCGACGCCACCATCGTAGAGGGTTACATGGGTGTACTTGTTGTCTATTTTCCGTCCACAATAGCAGAGCCTCAACCATGCTGTTCCATTTCTGTTGTTGCGCTGCGCTCCGCCACTGGCGTTGGTAGTGTGTCAAGGAAGCTAAATGGTCCGTCACATCTGCTCTTCAACTGTCCGTCGTCTCCCGAAGGCATTCCCTCTGTGAAGACCAGGTCGCCCCTTTTCCCAAGGGCCTCCCGACCGGCCTCTTCAAGCAGGATCCCGAGGGCTAGGAGCGCCGTCTCGTCCATGCTCTGCTCATCCACAATTTCATGACTCTTTGCGCCTCCATTGCCCAGTCGGTTATGTCCCGTGGCGAGAGCCCAGTAGAAATGACTCGAATAGTGATGAATAGCCTTCAACATGTCGCTGTCTGGTAATGTCCTGTGCCCTGCGCCTGGCAGCTGCTCCTGGGCAAAGTATATGTCCTTTTCCGCATACCGGACGGGAGCCCCAGCTCTCCGGAACAGGACTTCTTCTGGTGCCAACGTTGGATCCCGAAGTGAGGCGCGTTGGTACCGCGGATGTGCTTCTTCTAGGCCAGGCCCATCATCCAGGGCCGAGGTGGTTGTCACACGGCCTTGTGTCGTTAGTGGGGATTGAGAGAGGCATCGGGTGGGTTGTCAAAGTACCTGCTACAGCATCATAAACGTTGGCATCTCGCTTGCGCTTTTTACTTATGGATTTGCGGGGGGTTTGTGCTAGAAACTCGCCGCTCGTCGAGGATGACGGTGACCGTATCAGCTTGTCACGGCTCCCGGACCTTGATGCCATCTGTATTGCGTTGTGGGTTTAGTGCGGCCGCCTTAAATGCCACACGCTTCACGGTGAATTCTTCAATCAACGATGCCAAAAATGAGCAGCGAATACCATCGAGAATCACGTGTTGATGTTTTGCGAAATCGAGTAGTAGTAGCAATGTGGCGAGTCTTGTCCTATCAGGTGCTCGAACGCCTCGATGCAAGTTGCGAGTGAGGATAGAAATGTGGGGCAGTCGTACAAATTTCAAAGTTCAGCCGGGACGCCCTTCCAGTAGTTGACATGCTGGGCGGCGAGCTTGATTCAACCGACCCACAGTTCACATCAGAGCACTGCAAGCTTCGTCTTTCATCTCACTTACCGGTCAGGCTCGGAATTCGTGCGCGAATCCCCTTTTCATCCGTCGAGCGTCTTCGGACTCCTCCCCATGAATGAATCAACTTCTCTTTGAGCGGTCGACCGGCAACCTCGGGCCGAACGTCTTTGCAAGGCTGCAGACGACGAGGCTGCTGAGCTCTCTCCAAGCCGCACCTCAGCTACGTTTTGATGGAGGTGAGCGCGGAACAGCCATCCAGCAAGATGAGGCTGGTTCGTCTGAGGCACCCACGTTGAAAAGGGGCATCTGGGCACACCAGGCTGGGGTGAATGCTATCGCTATTGAGCGGTTTGATGGTCGCATGCAAGTTTGCAGTCCAGAAAATGAGATATAGGATGTGCCTCTGACCTCCCTTCAGCTTGGTATCTGGCGGATCCGATGCTTCTGTGAAGCTATGGGACTTGGAAAGCTGTGGCAATCCCTCTACGAGCCATGTGTACCAACCTCTTGCTTCCGTAATGCGCGGCGATAGGGGTCACAAGTATGGCATCACTCACATGTCATTCTATCCGTTTGATGCAGCTGCGTTTCTGTCTACTTCATACGACCAGACGCTGAAGCTATGGTCAACCGAAACGTTGAGCATCTCCGGATCTTTCACTCTGGGGTCGAAAATCTACACCCACTCAATGTCCCCTATCGCGGACCACCTACTCGTTGCCTGCGGAACACAGCACCCAACAGTCAGACTGGTAGACCTGCGTTCGGGGGCCAATGTACAGTCATTAGCCGGCCATACCAATGCGGTTCTAGCTACGGCTTGGTCGCCCCGGCATGAGTACATCCTCGCTTCCGGCAGTGTGGATGGTACCGTGCGGGTATGGGATATCCGTCGGGCCGGGGGCACTATCGGGATGCTAGACAAGGAAGACAGCCTTGGTTTGCACTACAACGGCCTCCTCGGGACTGACGGTCGTCCGCGGACGCGTCTAGCTGCCAAAGCCCACTCGGGACCTGTGAATGGGCTGGCTTGGACGGATGATGGCAACTTTGTCATATCGGGTGGCCATGATCGCCGTATTCGGGTATGGGATGCTGCAACAGGAGCTAACACACTTGCCAGCTTCGGTCCTAGTATCAAGAACTGGCAGCTTGGTAGCGTGACAATGTTCACATCACCAACAGGAGTCACACATCCCAGGAAGGAACTCCTTTTCTGGCCTAACGAGACAGAGATCCTCGTCTTTGATCTACATGAAGGCCGACTCGTGACAAAGTTGCGTAACACTGGACCTGCAGTAGCAGGTGTTCGGTCTGCCAATGGTTCTGAGAGAACTGCACAGAACAGGATCACTGCGCTAGCTTGGCGAGGAGCTGGAGGAGGTGGTATGTCGAGTGGAGTTGCCATGGGCGGCAGTAATATGGCAGGGGCTATATTTAGTGCGCACCTTGATGGCCAGATCAGAGCGTGGATCCCGCGGCTAGAAGGGCCAGAAGATGAAGACGAGGCCGAAGAGACTTCAGAGACTAAGGAAGACAAGCTCAAGAAACGCAAGGCCTTGGATGACGCTTTCAACAGTCTCATGGGAAAGCAGGTCACATTTTCCTGAGGTTGACATATTTACCTACGCCTAATACCTGCAAGGCCTATGATGGCTGCCTACTTGTCACCAATCCTCTGATATTCCATCTATCTCTATCAATTTAACAACTTTTCAAGTCGTTGAAGTTACGTAAATCCAAAGAGGACATTGATAGCGGCACCTTTTCATTGATAGGTGCAATCATGATAACGTCAATATGCTCCCCGTATCAGATTGCTCTGAAGCTTTCGCTAATCAGACGCGCGAGTCATTTATCGTACGTTTTCAGGGTCCAGCAAGGGTTGAGAAATAGAGTTCGCAGGCCGCAAGGATCTGAGCTTCCAGATCGCTGTGACATGTACGGTCGATCAAGGATCATAGCTTCGAGATTGACAATAGCCTACCCCATGGTGACGAAGATCTGGAAACCGGTAAGACCGTCAAGCTCTATGAGCACGGACAATTGATGCCCAACAAGATACATACTAGTCAACCCCATTGTGTCGATCACAAATCCGCCGTTAGAAGTCCAGCTAATTGCTTTTATTATACACGAGTTGTTATGTTCGGCACAGACAGATCCCGAATGCATTCCTTGCTTGCGAGGTGCCTAGAGTTGCTGCGTTACAGAGATCAACGGCTAGCAAAGGCACCAACCAATACTCATTGCGCGATGTACCCAGTGCTCATGTGCTAATGACATATCCCCGACGAAGATCATTCTCAATCTACACCCCCCCTCGGATTCCCTACCTGGGGTAGATGGGTGTTCATCAATTCCCGTCACGTGCATAGACCAGCATAATCTCAGCTGTGTGGTCCAACGATTGCTGCCAAGGCCGCAAGCCAAATGAGCGTGTCGTGTGAGCTGAGCACATCGGATCGTCACAATCGTCAACAATATGAGAGAAGTAAACACTAGCATAGCAGTCAATCTGCTGACGAAAGACAGCTGCAAGGGGGCACGCGTCGGCGGCTATGGCGCAATCCTCCACATGAGCAGAATCGTAGGGCACGGGCGGGTGCCAAGCTCGTAGTTACTGTGCGGAACGCGCACCATTCCGCTTCGATTTGACGAAGTGGCTGTTCTTCTGTCTACATACTGTGCACTACGCAGGTAGGGCAACATGGCTGTGGATAATTTCACCGCTTTTGGTCCTAATAAAACATGGCTGCAAGTTCGGACGCAGCTCCGAAGCTCTGTTCCCCCAAGTCTACCACACTTCTTCCCGCCGCTCCAGCCCTCGCGTACGCCTGGGGCGCCTCTCTGCAGCACCGGAGCCATGTGGACGCTAGCGGCCACCTGAGTGTACTCCCTTGCTGCATTAGTTTACACAGTAGGCCGCCGTCAGTTCCGCACCGCTGGAACCGAAAACGAGGTCGCCGAAATGCGGGTTTGTGTTGACTCGGTGTTGATTACGCAGCCATAGGAAAATTCTCATATTGTCAATTTGCGCAAATGACATCGGTAGCTGTGTTGAGTCATGTTCCCTACACATTCTCGAGGAACGATTGAGGTTGTGTCCGTAGGGGAGGTGTGTGGCCGTATCATCGTTGCAAGAGCCAAAGAAAAGCAATGACATAAGCATGCAAGCTAGGGCGAAAATACATAACTGGATCTTCAGCCCTCGGTACAAGATGCTATACTTGGACGTATACATGCAGGCAGGTCGCTACTAGATTTGAGTTTTGGCTAGCAGTTCTCGGCAGTCCCAGAAACGTGCAAGTTGCTTTCCAAGTGGTTGGCACTGCGCTGGACCATGCGAGTCAGGGGCCCGACACGCGGTCTTCAGTGCTATAGGACGTTGTGCTTGGTCTGCGGAGGATTTTTGGGTGGCGTCGATGTGCCGACGATGAGGAGAGTCGTAGTAGAGAGACCTCGCGCCTTCGGGCTCCAAGTACCTCTGTTCAACAGTACATGAAGTTCAAATGAGTCAGATAAGCTTCAGTTTCGCCAGGACGAGCATTGTTGCTTAATGATATGTCATTTTCGACAATTACCGATCAATAGGTTCGGTGTTTCGGCTGTGGCCGCCCTCGCCATCGTGCATCTCTATCAAGCTATGATGAACTAACAAATATTAAAGTGAGACACGCGACTGAGTCAGATCGTAGCGTGTAATGAGTGAAGGTGTCCTATCACATTTCAAGGACATTCACATACTTACTCGTGTTTCTTGGGTTCTTACCCCTATTTGACTTTTCACGACTAATAGTATTGATGCCATGTTGAGATCCGGGTGATTGCAGCCTTTGTCAATGCGGACTCATCCATCACGATATTCATGAGATAGTAATATTGAGTGTGCAAATGTGTGAAAGGTGACATAATGCCAAACAGGCAATGATAGTGTGTTTGAATGGTGAATACTGAGACATAACATCGTGATACATTATCTCATACACGTGACAACTTTCCACATATCCCGTCATCGTCCAGGAATTCTTTCTCCAACTGTCTCATCTCATAAATCATGAAATGCTCAGTTGAAAATCTTCTTAATCACGGCCTTAAGGCCGGAGGGGGCATGCTTCTTCTTCGCCTCGGCATCACGGGCCTTTTGTCGTTCTTCGCGTCTGTGATGCCTCTCTTCCTTGCTTTCCTTGGCTTCCTTGGTTGACTTTGAGCGGCTTGGCGAAGGTATCTCTTCCACTCCAGTGGCGGGCTTCGTATGCGCCTTGACAGGGTCTGTGGCTGACCGGTCCCGATGGTCACGGTGCTTGTGGTGGTGGTCTTTCGAAGTCCTGTGTTCTTTGGTCTGAGGAACATCGGTAGGTCTGCCAGGGATATCCTTTGAAGTACGGGATCGCCTCGTAGTGTCCGGCCTTGGAACATCGTTGGAGACCACAGGCACAGCAGAGTCTGTCGCCCTCTTGGTGAGCTTAGGTGCCACAGCACTTTCTGCGTTCTTCAAATCGAAGAATTTCTTGTCGGATACTGGAGAGTCATTCGAATGTGAGGTCTTCTCTGGACGAGAAGAATTGCTATGTTCACTATACCGCCTTGAACTGCGGTGTGAATGACGGTCGCTCCGTGGTGTGTCTGGGGCTTTCCCCTTGGCTTCTCTCTCCCGCTCCTTCTCCTGGATGGCGCGACGTTCTTCCTTGCGCTTGTCATGAGCAGCTTGCTCCTCGGGCGTCCTCTCTGTGCGGCGTTCAGCTCTGCGTTCCTCCTTGCGTCTGTCATGGGCCGCCTGCTCCTCCGGCGTGCGCTCAGCACGACGTTCGGCTCTGCGCTTGTCGTGTTCGGCCTGCTCCTCTGGAGTCCGCTGTCGCCTTGAAGAATGCGAACTATCGGCAGAGAAACCACTATCTGTGCGCTTTGCAGACCTGGAACCAATAAACAGATCAGATGTAGCTGACTTGGCTGATGCGTCGCTCTTTCTCCTGCTCCTGTGAGCGGTCTCTCTTTCACTCTCCCCGGATTTGGAAGAGCGATGTCGATGCCTGCGGTGCCGATCACTGCTTGATGTCTTGCCTTCATCGTCTGTTGAAAGGTCAGTCACAGAGTCAGAAACGTCACTCAAGTCAACGCCACGATCCCCCGCTGCCCCTGGTGTCATGACGCTCTCAAAGTCTGCATCCGCCACCATAGTTTCCACAATGCCTTTTTCTACCTGGGAACTACCCAATCGTGGACCAGGGGAAGGACTGATCTCTCTTGCCGCAGCGTAGATAATCACAGCAGCCGCAACCGTTTCCTCATTTCTCCTGATTGTCCTCCTACGTGACCTCCTCAAACTCCTGGCTCGACCTAACGACTTAGCCGTTGGGTCTGCGAGATCAGGAAGGACAATGCCCGGTGTTGCTGATCTCGTGTCCAACAATCCATTCAGATCGTATGGCACAGTGCTCACTTTTGGCCTAAACTCGGAGTCGTCTCCTGTTTGCATGCCAGAACGGGCCAAAGTCCGATTGGTATCTGAACCTCTGATAATCTCTTCTGCTGCGGTCTGTTTTGAATGAGTAAAATGCTCCGCTAACGACACATTGGCTGCATTGTTCCGAAGGGGTTCTTTCGATGGAGGTGACTGACCCATTATGCTATCTGTGTCCCTCTCTCGTGACACATTAGAGAGGAGTCGAGACTGTGATCTCTCCATGATCTCATCGGCGAAATTAGGAGTAACTCTGTCTGCAACTGCAGCGGGACTCGGTCCACGCTCGGGTGACTTGGGTGGGACATCTGGAGCCTGCCGTGGTGATACTGACACAACAGGCTCCGACACACCGATGACAGAGTCTGGTGCGCTTGGAATGGCCTTTGACTTGGTTTCTAGCTCCTCTGAAGATGTTTTCTTTGTCTCATCAGGCTCATTGTTGGTGGAGAGCTTGTGCGCAAGAACTCCTGCTCCGGCCGTAATGGCAGCGGCACCAGCGGCGATCCCAGCTAGGAGGCCACCTCGACTGTCACCTATGGGTGGTTGCGCATCGGCGACTGGTGTCTTTTCCTCGAGCATGGGTTCCAGGCCACTTCCTGGGTGCACTTGACCTCGCGGGAGCTGCTCACCAGCCTCGGTTTCGGCTGCTTCAGGAACCGCTTCCTCCGTGTTCTTAGCTTGGTCTTGAGAACTGAGCGTATCTGATGCTTCCGCATGACTATCATCTTGAGTATGCAGCAGATCAGCTGCAGGGCTATCAGCTGCTTGCACTGCCTCCGAGAGGTCCTCCTCGGGGCTCTTTGCATTGGACTGTTGTGTACTCAATAAGGCGGATTCGTTTTCTAAGTGTGACTCTGGATTTGTCTCCGGTGGGATGATAGAAACCACATCGGTATGTTGCGCAGGTGAAACAGCGCTCTGCGAACCATCTGATACAACCAACAGATCTTCTGATGAACAGGTCTCTTCAATTGGCTTCTCTTCAAGTCTTGCAGGCAGATCAAGTACAGCGGTTGGCTGGTCACCTTCAAGGTTTGGCTCAGCGCCATGAAGATCGCTCTCGAGCACTCCCAGGTCCGCGGAAACCACGGCAGAATCTTCGTTGCGTAGTTCAACATTTGCCTGTGTTTCTTTCGGAGACGTTTGATCCTCAGTCGACAAAGTCTCAGCAGCCTGGTCATTGGGAAGTTCTGGTCGATGAAGATTGTCTCCTGAGACTGTATCATCATGTGCTTGTGGGGTTAACCCATTGTCTGTAGCCCCGAGCTCAGGGTCGCCGGATGGCAAAGCTGGATCGTCTGGAATATTAACAGCCTTCGTGGCTAGATCTTCCGAGATATGCACGTCTTCGGTGGCTCCGAGTGTTTCAGAATGTACAGGTTTAGTTTCCGATTCGAGTAAGCTCGCCTTGCCGCCAGTAACGACCTTGTGGGTACTGTTGTTTTCGGGTGGCGATCTGTCGGCTGCTACTGCCTCAATTTTGCTCCCTGCGGCGTCTTGAATGCTTTCACCAGCTACAGATAGAGCTTCAGGCACGGTCTCGGTCACCACTGTAGGCTCTTGGGCTGATGAGACAGCTGCGTCGTGCTCGAAGGAATTCGACGTCTCCTCTTGATCAGCGGTCAAACATTCCGGATCGATGTCGCCCAGGCGGGTGAGTTGTGGCTCATCTGCGCTTTGTTCATTTGTATCATCGACATGTCCTTTAAGGCCATACAAATGGTCATCTGAGTCACCGTGAAGTGTCTCAGCTTCACGTTTTGTGACCTCTGGATCCATATCGTGGGGCGTCTGTACAGTCTCGGAGGAGCTGTGGTCCGAAGCATCACCAAATGCGACACTCGAAACGGCTGCCTGATGCTGATTCTCTTCAGCAGTTTCTGGTTGTTCGGTATTGAGAGGAGTCAGCTCAGCGTCTGTAGGGGCTGTCTCCAGGAACTCAGGTCCGGCTGTCGATGTTGGCTTTGAGATCTTCTCAGCATCTTCACTAGTGGCAGTTTCTTGTCGAGTAGATGTGATTTCGTGGATCTTGGGCTCTGAAGAATGATGCAGAACGCTCTCCCCCAAAGAAACAAGTTCAGGGCCTTGCTCTTGTGTCGCCTCGTCAGCTTCAATTTCAGCGCCCAACAATTTGGCTGACGGAATTTGCTCGACAGGTGTGACAGAGCTAAGCGATGGCTCATCTGCTACATTTGACTGGCCATTACCCTCAACACCTGTCTGCGGGACAAGTGTCCTTGCCTCTACCACTGGCTCATCGAGTACATCATCAGCGGTGGTTGAAACTGCTTGCTCCACCTCGGGAAGCTGTACAGGTTCTCTGTCAATCTCTGCCTGCAGTGCTGGAACTTCCTCAGAGAACAATTGGGCGGGAGCAGAACCATCTTTGGCCTCTCGGTTCGAATCGATGTCTTCGAAGGGTATTGCTGCAGATGATGGGATTTCCGGCGCTTCTGTATCTTTCTCGAAAGCATCGCGATGGGAGTCAACTTTCTCAGCTTGATGAGCGACGGCAATGCCATCTGCTTCGGGTTTCTGATGTACAATCTCAGACGGGATCTGGTGTGCTAATTCGGCCACTGGAGGGAGGCCTTGAGAGTTCTCGACCATCGGATCCAGTGCGATTACATCTTGTCCCTGTTCAGACACTGATGCTTCAGACGATGCCTCAGTAGCAACAGCTGGCGGTTCTCTAGCATGGAGCTGCGAATCTTCAGAAGTGTCGCCCAAGGCTTCCCCAGCGTAGTCCGCTGGCTGACTTGGCTCTTTGGGGGTGTCATGAGAATCTGCCAATTGAGACACGGCATCGTTTTGGGAATCAAGTCCAGCATCCTGGACTACGGTCGGAGACGTAGCATCGTGAGGTGGCTGGGCTAGCTCATTCGTTGAATGATCGATCTCAGCATCTTGTACCGATGACTGCTCTGGGAATTGATCTTGGGCGCTTAAAACATCATCCTCAACAGGGACAGCGGTCGGGTCCGAAGGTGGATCAATAGACTCAGGCAACTTGTCTTCCAGAGCTTGGTCATGTTGCTGCTCCATGGTTTGGCTCATAGCGCCTTGTTCATCGACCTCTTGTGATAGAGTCAATTCCTTAACCGGCGGTGAACTTGGAAGCTCTTGTTGTTCTTGTTGGTCCAAGTTTCGCGACATTTGATCGACAGTTTCGGTATGCTGTTCTGGAATGGGGAGGTGTTCACTGCTACCCTTGTCGACTGGGTTGCTGCTTTCATGCACCTTTACCTTAGCGACTGACAGAGGTTCGCTCGCTTCTTCCAATTTGCCGCCGACAGGTATGCCATCCGAAACCGGAGCTTCCACTTCCTGGATGCTACCATCGTCTTGCGCCGACAGATTTTCGACGATCGCATGATGGAGTTGTTCAGCTCCAACTGGTTCTGAAGCTGGCTCCTCCAGATGATCGGAATCGGTAGAGATGGCTTCTGCAGTGCTGGTCAAAGGCTGACCATCGCCCTGGCTAGGCACGCCCAAGGCATCCGGCTGGATAGCATTGTGCTCCAGTTTGGAGTCGTCTTCAATGCTATCAGGAGCCCGAGAGACATCCAATGGCTCTGAGTCCACAACAGCCATATTTGGAACTTTCTGAGCATCTGAACCTTGAACTGGATCCGTTCCAGTTTCAGCGCCAAGTTGTTGGGCATTGGCTCCAGTGGACAATGAGCTGTCTGTGATAATCATCTGATCCCCCAAAGAACCTTCCTGTTCCTCTTCTTCCACCACACTTTCCAATTGGGGTATATCTTCCTCTAAATTACTCTCAGGCATGCTCCCTCCAGACTGGTGCGTCACAACGCCAGGGGTAACACCGTGGGAAGGGCAATGGAAATGATGCTTACCTGGACGGGTCTTGGATGATTTTTCACCACTTGGGATGGGACCAACGGTATCCTTGGCCTCCTCTTCCTCTTGCGCCGTGGTGTCAGGCAATGCTTTCTCCTCACTAGATTCGGCCTTGACAGAGTCAACTGTCTCCGGGTTTGGCGTGGCTTTGACATCGACAGGCTTAGCTTCTCTATAGGAACGCGTTAGGGTTTTGTTCTTGATGAGATAGATCTCAGGTAAATCGCCGGGCCATTTGATGGTGAGAAGACGGCCCATATCGCTAGAATTACTCGTGGTGCTCAATGTGGCATGGTACTTACAGTTCAGGTTCGGCAGCAGGTTCGGTTTCCGCAGGATCCTCCGCTTCCGGCTCGACAACAGGTTCAGGTTCAGGCTCGGCAGCAGGTTCTGGCTCAGGTTCGGCAGCAGGTTCTGGTTCAGGCTCGGCAGCAGGCTCTGGCTCAGGTTCGGCAGCAGGCTCTGGTTCTGGTTCGGCAACAGACTCAGATGCAGGCGCCGCGGCAGGCTCGGGCGCTAGCTCAACCTGCTCATGTTCCTCTGCGCCTTCTTGAGCCGCGGGCTCTTCAACGACAGCCTGCGTTTCACTAGCGGAAGTGAGATTAGTATGATGACCAACACAGCTGCTAGATTTCCTTACGATTCAGGTTCCGCGACAGGAGTGCCATCTGCTGCCTCATCCTCTGCAGGGCCAGGTGCTCTGATCAATCTAGTTAGCTTGCATCTCATGCATTGCGTTGCGCTGTCTTTGGATGAGAAGATCACTTACACCTCGACTTCCTGCTTGGTGGCATCCTCTGCCACCTGCTCGACCGCTGACGCAGCCTCTCTAGGGTACACCTTTAGTATAAAGCCTTCTAGGAATTGGCTGGTATTGCCGCAACAGAACTTACGCTTCTTGGGCAGTAGAATCTGGCTCAACTGCGTCGGCGTTCTCGCCTGAGGCATCCTCAGTAGCAGGGCTCGCCTCACTGTATATCATATTAGATTGCGTTCGAAGTGAACAGAGGAAGAGTACAGCATACGTTTCTGGTTCCGCGGCTGCTGGTACGTCGGCACCCTTGTCTCCTTCCACCGAGTCCACGTCGACCTCGGGCTCTGGCTCTCTGCGTGTTTCTGTTAGTTACCTATAAGTGTAGCGTGAAGAAGTGTAGACTTACGCCTCGGCGGCGGCAGTAGCATGCGGCTCATCTTTTGACAGTGATGCCTCATCTTCTGCCGGCTCTGCTGGTGCACTGAAGTCTATATCAGTAAGATGTCCTACATATCAAGACTGCCGCGTGCTGGATGTAGGCCTGGGTGGCGCTGTACAAACGCATTTAGAGAGGGCGACACTTACGGTTCGTCCACAGCGACTGGAGTTTCTTCTGGAGACTCAGCAACTTCTGCGGCGACGGACTCTAGCTCCCTGAAATTGAAGTTAGTACAGCTCTCAAATCAAAAGTGGCCCCTCGGCATTCTCATGAAGCTGTGAGAAGAATTGGATAGCTCACTCTTGAGGAACAGCAACCTCAGCGGCAGGTGCTGAGTCCACGGTACTTCCTTGGTTCTCTTCAGCCGCCGGATTTTCAAGCTCGCTATAGGGTGCACGTCAGTACTATCACATGGAGTAAGGACTTAGAGTGAAGCATAGAAGCTACTAACGCTGTTGCTTCTGGGGCCTGAGACTCTGTCTCCGGTTCTCTGCAGATGTTATTAGTACCTCATAGCGCACCACTTGATGGTGGAATCCTGTGAGGGGAATACTCACTCCACAGTCTCTTGCTTTGGTGCCTCCTCAGCGGGCTCTTCAGCGGGCTCCTCTGTGGACGTCTCGGCGAGACTGCCAAACTGCATTAGCGGCCGCTATGACGAAGTCTTCTTCGGATGCTCCTCCGGGAGCTCTACGATTTTGCATTATTGGGATTAAACTCACGCTTCTGATTCAACGACCGGTGTGTCTTCAACCGCGTCTGCACTTTGAGTAGCATCACTGTAATATGTTAATCATGTTTCCAAGGATATTCCCTGCTGCGAGACATAAAAAAGCGCTTGCTCTCGACTTCTCGCCTGTAATGGATAAACATAGACCACTTACGGCTCCTCATGTTTCTCCTCATCAGCAGGCTCCGAGGCCCTGAAGCATCGAGGTGTTAGTACCTGCTTGGGGTGCGAACTAGGCGGATTGACTTACCCTTCCTTCGGGGCATCAACGACTCCGGGTTCGAGATCAGCTGCTAGCTGCGTATCATCGTTGGCGTCGTTCGAGCTTGCATCAACTTCCTTGGAGTCCTCCTGGACCTCTCCGGTTGCAGTATCTTCTGAGATGGGTGCTGGTGCAGGCTCCTCGGAAGACTGCGGAGCAAGTTCCTCGGCAGGCTCCTCAGGCGCAGGCTCAGTAGGAGGCTCAGTAGCAGGCTCTGACTCCTCAACTTCCTCCTTGAGATCTGACTCCTCATCCTTGGAAGCCTCTGGTGCCGGTGAGTCCTCTGGGATCGCAGCAGCAGCAGCCTCCGGAGTCGACTCAGCCATGGGCTCTTGCTGTTCATCTAGCGTCTCCGAGGCTGGCTGCTGGCTATCCACACTAGTATCTACCGCTGCCTCCGCGCCTTCAGTCTCGTCGGGAACTGGCTTCTCGTCATCAACCGAGCCTGTTGTGGGAGCGTCAGGCGCTGCCGATTCTGCTTCAGCAGAAGCGTCGACAGTAGGCGCTGGGCCCTCTGTGCAGGGGTGAAGGTTAGCACTGATCTGCGCGTACACTTCTTTTTGAGGGCGAAGACCCATTTCGCACATCAAATCGAGCCGAGATACCAGGGCAAATCGCAAGAGGCAATAAAACTAACCTTGTTCAGGTGCATCCACAGAAGACTCCGCGGCTTTCTCGGCTTCAGCAACAGGAACCTCAGTCGGCAGCTCTTCATCAGCTTCAGGCTCTTTGGGAGCCTCAGATTCCTTCTCAGCCTCACCCTCCTCCGACTTGTCAGGATCTTGCTCATCTTCGAGCTCCTCAAGCAGATCATCGGGCACTTCTGAAGTCTCTTGTGTCTCAGAAGCAGTGGCCTCTTCTGCCGGGGCGCTATTGCATCTTGAGTGTTAATTACATGACACTTGTGGGGTAATGAAGTAGCAAAATTCTGAGATACTCACGTGGTGCTTTCTGCGGCGACTTCGTTTGATTGAGCTTCGTCTTGAGGGGGAGCATTGTCACTGAGGTCTTCTTCCGGAGCGTCGTTCTCCTGTTCATTTGTCTCAATTCCCTTCTCAACCGGATCAGGAGTCAAGTCCTCTTGGTTATCAGATGCTGGTGCAGTGGTCTCGGTGGCTCCGGCTTTTTCATCGGGAACCTACCGAGAAAGTCAGCTTTTCTAATCCACCCAAGTCTGGTGCTCTGCCATAAGCTTACCTCGCTCACACTTTGCTCGTCACCTTGCGGTGAGTCTTCACCCTTGTCCTGAGTTTCAGCATCGCTGCTATGCTCTGGCTCGGGTGCATCGTCCACAGTCTTGTCTTGTTCCACTTCGGGGGTTGGAGCAGCATCTTCTTGCGCAACAGTGCTTTCTGCGGCCTCGGGCTCCGCGATAGATCCCTCTTCTTTGACTTCAGGCTCTTCCGTAGTGGCTATCACTTCCATTAGTACTTCTTGCAGAGTTGATTACTTCGGGATGGTATCGAGATCTTGGGTCAGGCAATGGGCACACGGAAATGTGAAAAAGTATACTTACTAGGTGCCTCCTTACTTTCCTCACCAGACGGCTCTGAGGTAGATTCCACCGCAGGAGTCTCATCAGCAGCTTCAGCATCCTACGGAGTCGGTTAGCATGGATCTTATAGCCAAAATGCAACGCGTTTATCAGGATTGATTCCGAAAGCGTGCAGATACTGGTTTGCGTTGTGAATGAAGACATGAAAGAAGAAAGACTTACCACTGGCGTGGCTTGGTCTATCTCGTCACCATCGTCTTCAGCCACAGGAGCCGGAGCACTCTCTTCACTCTTCTCTTGCGACTCCTTAGTGTCAGCGTCGGATGGGGGCGACAAATCTTCAGGTGGAGCCGGGCTGTCGTCGGCATGTTCGTCCGCCGAGGTCTCAACCTGCTCATGAGCTGGGGCTGCGGAGCGAAGGGTCAGCTTGTATGTTCTTCGTACTTTCCGAATAAAGCAGAATGAATAAGGTTTGCGTGTGCATATAGTTCGAAGGCTTCTAGCTTCGTCGATGCTCATCCCACGCAGGAACACTTTAGAGCACATGTAAAGGTTACAACGTATGGACAGTCACTTACACTCGACTTCACCGTCACCATCGACAGAGGCACTTTGTTCTCCCTCAGTTGCGGTGGTGTCCTCTGACGCCGGTGCCTCGACGATGTCCTCCCCAGCTGCCGCAACAGCTTCAGGTTCCTTATCTTGAGCGTCGGGCACGACGACTTCGGTGTCAGCTGCTGGCTTAGCCTCGGTTTCGGTGGACGGAGATTCCTCTGCAGCGTCCTGAACGATTGCGTCTGCTGGCTCCTCTTTGTCTTCCGAGTTTGTTTGAGGCGCAGGCGATGCCGCCTTTTCGGCGACTTCGTCACTTGTATCGGCCACAGGTGGCTCGGGAGCGTCACTACGTCGCCAATGGTTGTTAGCATACACATCATCTGGAAACAAATCCTGAGCAGCCACAAAAACCTTGCCTGCCAATTCGGCCCTTATATTATGGCAAAGAAATGCATGCCAGGGGAAAATAACTGACCTGCTTCCCGCTGGCTCCTCTTCCTTCGTCTGGACGACTTCCGCAGCTGCGGGTTCTGCTACCTTAGGAGCGTCCTCAGGTGGACTTTGTTCACTGTGCAAAATGGTCAGCAACTATTTTTCTGGATATAGGTAGAAACCGGGTCGCTGGTTCCCGACTCATAGCGAGGAGGGCCAACACTTACTCAGAAGCTTTGTCTGCAGCACTGTCATCGCCTGCAGGTTGTGGTGAGCTGTCGGCAGACTCCTCTTCGCCAGGAGTTTCTTGCTGCGCCTCAGCAGCAGGAGCTTCAGGTGTCGTCTCTACTGGGTCCTGTTCTTCTGCAGGGGCCTCAGGAACGGAGGCTTCGACCTGCTCGGCCGGCTGGTCAATGGGTTCGGCTTGGCTTTGCTCATCCGCTTGCGCCGACTCGGTCGAGCCACTCTCTGTGCTACCTTCGCTGTGTTCGACCACAGTTTCTGCCTGAGTTGGTTCATCAGCCTCAGCAGAGGCAGGATCCTCGGCTTCTGCCTCCTGTGGTGCATCGCCAGACTCGGCAATATCTTCAGCAGGTTGAGCTGCCGATTCCTCTGGCTCACTGACTGCGGCGTCGGGCTGGGTCTCTCCAGCGACTTCGGTTTTGGCCTCCTCTTCGGAAGCCGGTTCCGGCTGTGAGTCCTCCATCTCTGCCGCTTTATCTTCCTCGGGGCCGGTTTCTACCGCATCACTGGACGGAGCAGCCTCGGGGCTGGAGTCTTGGTCGGCAATGGGTGGTTCTGGCGTTGCCTCGTCATCAGCTTGCTCACTCTGCTTGTCTTGTTCAGGGCTCTCCTGTTCAGACTCAGCGTTCGTAGCAGCAACCTCTGGGACCGATTCTGAGGCCGGCTCAGGAGTGGGTTCTGGCTCCTCTGGAGCTGGAGGATCGCTCGATGCTGCGGTTTCGGCCTCCTGTTCTGCTTCGGGCTCAGATGGCTTCTCCTCAGCAGTGGCAGCTTCATCCTGTGTCTCTGGAGCAGCCTGCTTCTCCTCGCCGACCTCATGTGGAGGATCGCCAGTGGCCTCTGCGGTGTCACTGGGCTTCTCCTCGGAGGCCTGTTCTTCGCTCGCGGCAGGTTCGGCAGGTGATGGCTCGGCAAATGAAACCGTCTTGCCTTTCTTTCCATTACTGCCGGACTTGGCCTTCTCCTTCTCCGTTTTCTTCTTGGCCTTTTGCTTTGCCTTGCGGGCCTTCTTCTTGCCCGCAGCGTTCACCTCCTCGGGCCATTCGTCGTCAGCGTTGGGGTTTTCACCTTTGCTGGGCTCGACGGGGGCTTCCTTGGGAGAGGCATCCTCCTCCGGGGGACCAGAGGGAGGCGCCGATGGATCCTCTTCTAAGTCCTCGGCTGTTATGGGTTAGTATAGTTTCCCCCATCAATAAGTCAAATGCCACTTACCATTCTGTTGAGCCTCGTCGTCGGAGTCCACAATGGTGAGATATTGGACCTGGGAGAAGTCGGCGACCTGGACATGTGAGAATGGGTCGTACCGAGCAGGGCAGTAGGTGATTCCTGTTGGATCGTTCATACTTTCTTGTCCTCTACCAAGGGCTCGTCCGAGGGTTGCTCGCGAGGGGTGGCCTGAGGTTTGTTTTTATTCTTTCTGGCCATACAGGGTGGTTGTCAACCGGATTCCGGGAGGTTGCCGTAAATGCCCGAGACAATTGGGCAAGCTCTATAGGTTCACGTGGGAGGGTATCAGAATAACGCTTGCCGAGACCTAAGCAAACGCCGTAACAGTATACAACAACGCAAAAAGTAGATCTTCCGATGAGTCGTTCTGCAGTAGTTTTGGGTATCGATGGAGTCAAAGTTGATTGAGTGAGTGCACAATGGCAGCACGGAGACGAAATACTCTTCTGTTTTGAAAGCAAGGGTCTATTGAGATGACGTCCTGAAGACTCAAGACGGTCTCCACTGCTAAGTCAGATCTCTAGACAATGCAGTGAAGATGGCCTCCACCCGGCTACCCCATGGTGTGGATCGTTCGCCTTGACAAGTCTGAAGCACTTGTGATCAATATCGTGCTCAAGCATAATTGGGCATGCACGACGACACTGGCGCCACGTTGCAATGGGGTTGGGCTAGCAATGAGCCGAACCGACATCGCAAAGCTGCGAGAGGGAAACACGACAAGACCATTGACAGGGTTAGCTGCCAGATAGCGGCCCAACCGGTGCAGCGACTGCAGGCAGACGGAACGGGGCATATCCATGCATTGAGTCGGCCGCAACGGGGGAGCCGCTGGGGTTTGGCAGCAGCATGCGAGGCTGGCGTGACCGGCGTGAAGCTCCGTTTGATGACTACTATGGTATGGCCCAGCACGATGCCTCGATGCCTCGATGCCTCAATGCCGTGACTCGAGACGAGAAGGGACACTGTCCGGTCAATCACAGGGTATTGGGCCTCAATCAACCCCCCCTCCTCATCACGACGAGCTCTCCTGCCCTTTCGGAGTCTGTCGGGTGTTCCTGAATTGGCCGCCTCGTGGGATATCCCGCACAACGTGCTCCCGCATTGGCAACTTGCATGCGCCGGTGCTGTCGTTGTCTGCTACGTGGTCGCGTCTGTCTGCTTCGCTTGGGGCCCGATCCTTGCAGTGGATGCGGCGGGCCAACCACCGGTGCATGGCCATGTGGGGCGCCCGTCGCGGGAAAGATCACTGCTTAATTGGACTGACAGCTGGCCCTGGATTTTGAAATGAGTTATTATTATTTTTTCTTGCCTCCCATATGTTATCGTCGAGGATGGTCATATATGAGGGAAATGAGGACGTTATGCTGATGAACTTCCCTCGTTTTCGCCCCTCTGTGCCAGGGCACAAATTTGAATCCTGAAAACAACACCACCCGGGCGGGTGATGGTGCATACAAAGCTCGGGGAGTCTTGCCCGGAAGCGCCATGTCTCACTCAGGGCCCGTGGCTCCGTTGTCAAACGCTTCCAGAGGTCTGAGTCAGCGAGTCAAGTAGAAGAGAAGCGGTCGAGAGGTACAGGAAAAAGATCCTCTCTACAAAGGACGGTGTTCATGCGGATGAGCTCTGCCTAGCCCGCAAAGCTACCAGACCGCTCGTCCACGTGCCGCCCTTGTGTCCACTTTGTGCACCAAGGTGTCTGTCATAAATTGTTCACAGACCGCAAGTCACAAGGACCTTGTACTCTCTTGACCGACGCTTCGAGGTGAGCTATCTCGGTCACCCTACCTGGACTCGCCATGATCCTGCCGAGGCGAGTGTTCAAGTAGCCCACGTGACCTCGCGCATGCTCTCAGTCTCAACCCACCTCAATATATCTACGGTATGATATAGTCTTATCTTGAGTGACCTGGCACACCGCTGGACTTCCTAGCCAGTGGCCTTTCGGCACCACAACGTGTATGCTATTGCCACAGAGTCGAGGACATGAAAGGTACGTACAGCCGGTCCAAGATTTTCGAAATTCCCAGCCATCGTCTGCTTCGTCGGCTCCACTTTTGTCACAACCTTGGTAGAAGTCAAATTAACGCTCCCTGATACAACCTCGCGGCCTCACGGGGTCTGTAAATATTGGAGAACTTGGTTATGGGCTTCTGAGGCGAATGTCTTGTTTGACAACAGGGTTGTATGATCTAGACTAAAGATTCCTTGTAAAAACCAGAACAGTGGGTACTCGAAGGTGTGTATGCCTTCCGATGCTGCAGCGAAACGAGCCAACTCCTACGCCCAGGCAAAAAAAAATTATGCAAAAATCGCAAGACGTAAATTTGATCAAGCGAAACCTCAGCCACCATACCCATCACTTCTTTAGTGTCGGCGCGGTCGCATCTCCGATAGGGGTTACTCATGCTGGCATTCGATGGGCCGCGTTCCACGCTGAGCAAGAACCCGGCATGTCGTGAAATGCAGAGTGACCGAGGCGATGTTAAAAGGGATGATACTGGCCCAGTATCTTACATGGCCATCTCGGCCTGCAGCTTCCTGAGTTCGGCCTCCTCGTCGTCCTCCTCGGCAACTGGTGTCTTGCCCTTGACTGCAGTGGCACATGTTAGTCTTCTGTAGCCAGTGAGGTTTTTGCCTGACTTGGACTTACTCTCGCCATTTGCCACGGCCGGCATCCTGTTCAGCGAATCCGCCACCGGGACTGTGCCTGTCTTGAGCATCTGCTCGTCCAACTGCTCCTGTTGCATAGCCTCCAGCTCCTCGTCCAATTCCTCTTCGTCGATGGGCTCGCCGATTTGGTTGCTGGTAATGGCGTTGACGATCTCTTCGCTCAGCGCGTTCTGCTCCTGGAGTTGTGCCCTGTGCGCAATGATCAGTACGTGCGTGCGGCGAGCAGCAAAGAAAGCGTGGGGAGGGGGTAGGGGCATACATGGTCTCATCCACCTTGTCCACAGTCAGCTTGCCGTGGATCTGCTTCATGGCCTCGCCGGCCCTCTGCATTGCGGCCAAGGTCTCGCGGTTGATGTTGGCGGACTCGATAGCGTTGATCTGCTGCTCCAACGTCCCGATCTGAGCGGCCGTCTGCTCTAGACTGTGCTCGTGTGCCTTCTTGCGCTTCAGAGCAGCCTTCGCGGCTGTCAGTGGCATCAGTGTCCGCGCTGCAGCTGGAGCCTGGGGGATAGAGACGTACCGTTCTTATTCGTATTGACGTTCTTGCGCGCGATGGCATCCTGCTCGTTCATCTGGGTCGTGAGATGTTTCTCGCGCTTCTGCAGCATGTCGAGCTGCGAGCGCAGATCCAGGATGGCATTTTTGGGGCTGTCCTTCTTCTGCGCCGCCCCGCCTCCAAACCATCCCCAGACGCCGGACATGGTGGTCGAAATGTGAAATAGGAGGGAGTCGGGGTAGAGAGCGTGGCAGGCCGGTCTGCGATGGCGGGGGAGAAGCGTTATCGGGGTGATGCTATCGCAAGATGCGCCGCCTGGCCGGGTGCGATGTGGATGGCGGGGTATCTGCAAATCCGCTGAGGGGCGCGACAGGAGAAGCCGACCCGCGATGTGAGTATGACGGCCGGCTGTCGGAAGGTGCTGGTTCGTGTGGGATCCGCGAGAAGAGGATCAGGTCGCCGTGGTCGTCGAGATCGGTGCCTTGATGGGCTGGGGTCGGAGAGTGAAGCCTGGCGAGATAGCCGTGAGTCGGTTATGTAAGGAGGGTATGATGCAAGGCAAGACAAGACATTTGACATGGCCGAGCACGCATCGTTGCCACCGTCAGCTGCCCGCCGCACCGCCCCGGAGGTCTGCCAATTGGCGCCATCCCCCCGCCGTCCCGCGGGGGCCATGAGCCACTGGGCCGCCAAACCCTCCAGTGAGGTAACTAGATAGATACCTGGTAGCCTCGATAACTGAGGTAGCTTAGCTTACAGTAGATGGATGCCTTTGGAAGGAGGGAAGTCCAGGTCAGGTGCTCTTCCTGTCCAGCTGCTCCTGTTCGGGGCACTGGACCTAAGTAAGGTACAATACTTACCGTAGCCATTTGGTGTGCACTGACTCTGTTGCTGCGAAAAGACCTCTCTCTTCTGACATTCCCGGTCATGTGGGCGCAACTTGCGAGTGGAATGCCCTGGCCTCTGCCATAGCCATCTCAAAACCACCACCGTGAGGAGGGGTCGATGTGCCAACCTAGCCACGCGTGACAAGCCTGATCATGTCAAACGGGCCCTTGCCGTCTACACGCTGCCTGCTCTCTGCGCTTCCGACACGCCAGATCGGGAGCAAAGTTCGGTTTCTAGCATGGTACGTCCCTCGTCATGCGTTGCACGTGGCCAGCTTGGGCATTTCTCTTTACTATACGCCAACATGCTCCTTTCCAATGCCTTGCAAATGAATACGCTTGCAGTGACATCGCTCTCATATTCACAAGAACTGCCTGCTAATTGACGCCCAGCGTTGACGCTTATTCCGTCAAATCCGCGGTTTTGACCCTGCATCATGCCTTTCCTCAGTCCTGCAAAGTACAGGCCTCTGTGGACGTCAAGCTTCTCCTGCAGAGCCTCAAAAGCAACCAGACCGACGCCGGCCAATGGGTCCATGTCATAGGCTATATCACGTCTATCACACGTTCCTCCGCCAGCAACGAGCGCTCTTCCGATGTCACAGATGTCGGAGTGCAAGCGCTTGTGCTTTGGGTAGCAGAGGATCTAGACCTTCCCGCATATGAGATGTCGTTCGGCAACAACGCCAAGTGAGCGTTCAACGCTGCGACATACGAGCTCTGAGCCGAAGCAGCTACCGACTCTGGACCGACGCAATCTGGTAGCGCTTGGTTGGTGCTGAGGGTTCAGACCAATTGCGATCTCATCTCTTGCGTGGCGACAAAAGCGACGGCAAGCTGCTGTAGGGACTGCAGTATCAAGGCGGTATGGGTGGCCGGGATCATTCTCCGGGCCTGAACAAGCGACGCATTACTACGGCCGGATGCGGTCAGCGTGCTGAGTTGTAAAGGTCACGAAGGGATTGCGCATGATCCATTAAACGGTCGACACCAACCATCAGTATTGCGGAGCGTCCAGTCGTGGCTGCTGAGGTGTTTTGGGACAGGTCCATCGGATAGCGTTGGCATGCTCGCCATTGCCCCATTGGCTCTTCTTATGAAATCCCGGCGAGAACCGTCAACCGGAATACCCAGTCGAGAATGCCTTATCAACAGCGCAGTTCCGTCAAGATTACCCAATGATACGTGTTTCCAATTTTGTTTTGGCACGGTTGCAGCTGAAGCGCTCAACAGCATGAAACTTAATTCGAACGACGAGAGCTGTCTCCATCCTACCGCCAAGGAAACCACACGACAGTTTGACCTCAAAGTGCAGCTGCGTGGCGTAGCAGTTCAGCAATGGCACGAATGCATTACAAGACATCATGCAGGCCATCTGGGTCCAGGTACACTCAAAATTGCCTAACTTAGTGGGCTTGTTGCTGTTGTGCAGAATGGAGCGCTTCCATGGAAGCACCCAGCCATTCAATTCGTGCATTTGGCAACTATGTACCCACAGACAATCAGCAGTGCCAGATGGCAACCTCTCGCTGGACGCTCTCCATCCATTGCAGATTTCAAGTCCGAAACAACAGTCCCAGCCAGCGCGTCAGAGCCTTTGGCTCTTCATTTGATACCACAATCCAAATCCCGGACGGCTGCGCGTTACCTTGCCCTACGTTTCCAAGGTAATCTCACCCCACCAAGAGGAGCCCAAGCTCGCACAGGTCATCTTCGCGGCCCCTCACTCCTACGTCTATCTTCGTAGGGCTTTCGAGATTCTTGTTTCCTGCGTTCGCCGCTCCTTCTCGTGGATGTTTCACCAGATGATATCAAGATTGGCTGGTGCAAAGGTCGTTTCAGTTGCTTATCAGGGTTCGAAGCCGCCTTGGCTGCCGCCTGCTTGTCCCATATCTCTTTCGACTTCAGACAGATGTCGTCTATCTGTTCCTGGAATAATCTGTCAACATCGCGGGCTTCCACAGCCTTGAAACGTGTCGCCGCACATCTGTCAAGCACGCCCCTGGGGTCGTGATGAGAAACCCATCTTCACCCTATGGACACGTAAGCAAACCTTCATGATACATGTCGATAATCATCATACTTCTCGCGTGTATGGCCTTACCGTTGCCTCGGGCCCAAGAAAGTACTGAAGCTCGTGAGTAATCACCTTCTTATGAATCTCAAGGTGCGGGATCCAATATCTGTTCAGAGGCGGCGACGACATGGTTAGCAACGTTGCCAGACCCGAGTGGAGGAGGATCGACGGAAAATCGACTCGGATCAAGAGGAGGGTTGACAGGGAACTGGCCCTCAAAGTTATATATAGTTCCACATTTCTGTCAGCAATACTCAATTCTGGTTATCAAAAGAACGTGTCGAGAGTAAATTGACGGATTCGGCATGATATTCACCGCCGAACGCTCTGGATAGACGAATCCCATGCATGCGTCCATTTTAGTTGCATGCTGCATTAATCTTAGCTTAGTATTGATAGGTGGCCAGACAGATGACTTTTGCTCGCCTCACTTAGGCGCCCTACATTTGCGTAGACGAATGACATGTCTCTCCCCCGAGACTCAAAACGCGAACGTCTCACCCGGCGCTTTTTCTTATGATGGCTACATGGAGCTCACTGGAGCGTATCACTGCCACCAATAGGGCGTGTGAAACATGAGTCTATGGTGGTGGGATTGCGCGCAGCGGCTCGCTCCGCTGCTTGCATCGCCAACTGAGCCCGAGTCAGCATTTTTGTGAACCCGACGCGTGGACTATGATATCGAGTGTACCAGGAATTTATCATTGCTGATGCATGTGTATATTATTCACGGACAGTGAGCATATAGTCTTCGGAGCGAGGACGGTGAAGATTGAGCGATCGCATTAGCGCGCACGAAGATGCAGTCTGGTATAGCCTCGAAGCTAGTAGATGGCAACAAAGATTACAGGTTACCAACGTCTTTCAACCCGCCTCAATACACTAACTCGTGCCTTAAGGCGTGGTTGGGTTGTTTTCATGCTTCTGCTCTGCAAGTGCATCCGGAGGAAGAGTCATGCGAGGCCTTCATTCACTATACATGGGTTTCGTAAGCGTGATGTATTACTTCACTCTTCCACAGCCAACAACCAAATTGTAGTCAGGTTGCAGGACATATAGGATTTGTTAGGAGCTAAATGGATCGGCGTTCATGTACGGCATGGACCGAGGAACACTCTACTGACGCACATTACCACGTGCGACGAACGGTTAGAGCTGACCTAGTCTATACTTGCTCGTCCGCACGAGGTACGAATAAGGTTTTTGTCCAAGCTTTTGATGGACTGCTTCGACTAATTTAGTCTGTCCCAGCGATCTGGTATAATCGAGGTTGCCGCGCATAAATAACAATCGCCTGTGGAGCCGTGGAGAGTATCCATCCATGGAAACCAAGAAGTAGGTACTACACTACTGCGGTAATCTCGTCGGCTGGTCCACGAGACTATTCGACCTGCAGGTAGGCTATCCGAGAACCTTACCCGCTGCCCATGTCCGATGATCGATTTCGGCAGCCACATTTGTGTTCCTTCGGGTGATCTTGTCCATTGGATGCTTCCGAGGGTCGCCGGGGTCCTTGCTGTCCTCGATATTGATTGGTCTAAGCATTGCCGTGGCTGCCTGGTAAACAAGACTATCGATTGGCGTAAACTTGGTTCTGGGATATACTGTATGTCGACTAATGGTATGGCCCCCAACCATAGTGGAGTGGTGTAAGCCGCTCGAGTCACTTGGGCTTTGTTGCTCATCCTCGCCGGAACGGTCGGTGCCAAGCTTATGGAATCAGGAGCCGAACGATAACCACGGCCTCCCAACTGGAGGGTACGACTGAGCCCATTGATCAAGGATCAAAGACATAGTTCTTTTCAGCTCACGGCCACAAAACTCGGCCAACTTTCCACATTCCCATTGCTAGGCATACGGTCCGGCATCAGGCGACTGGAGCTCACTAAGGCAGTATGGCATTTCTGCCTCTTCCGCCGGATTGCTCCATCCCTCTCGTCCAATAGTAATGCCTTCGGTATTGGTTGCACGGATCCTATGGGTACTGAGCTTTCTGTGCTACCGTAAGCGGGTGACTTACGCGGCTCAGCTCAGCCCTATCACTCGCGGCTACGAGGGTTCGACTTCCTATGGTTCCGTCATATTACTCTCTCGTGTCCTCCGGTTGTCCCACTTTACTCAGCTGTATTTGACTCTATTTGTCGGATTCTCAACATCTCGCTGACCACCATGGTCCATGATACCAAATTTCGCCGAGCCGCCGGCGTTCATCGGGAGAAAGCTTGGCCTGTACGACTTGGTTCGGAATGCCAAGGATGAGCATTACTCTGTGAGAAGTAGAAGGAGATAGACATACTAGGACTCGCATATGCGAATTAAATCGGTCTTCTACAGAGCGGACCTTGCACGATTGCAAGTCATCGAAGGGGGACGTCCGAGACTCAGGGTTGACCACCTATTCAAGAGTTCAGCTTTCTCCCCAGATTCAGCCACTTGAACCTTGAGACCTGTAATAGACTAGATTCACTCTATCGATGGGGGAAAGGAATCTAAGGGTAGTGCGACTACGCCGTATCGGGATCTTATGAGGCTTAGCAAAGGTAAGGGATGGGCACACCATGTGAGAATGTGAGAATGTAAGTACACAGGCAAGTAGCTAAGGGCGAAGTACTGGTGTTGGTCTCCCATTAGGTCCCACCGGGTAGGACTCATAACAGCGAACAGGGCCAACCATGACTTATAAGAAAGACACCCAAGCTCACTTTGTGGCTTACTGCCCATGTGGTTCTATCCGGCTCTCTTTGTCCATAAACAAACCAAAACCATGGGTTGGCTTAGAGAGTGCGTTGACTTTGCCCTGCAAATTGTGGCATTGAATCCTTTCTCCCCTTTTCTGCTTGACGGCAATACACAGAGGCCTCTTGACTTGCCACATCAGCCGGAGCTACCATCTGAGCTTGCTGATGGGAGCTGCCCTGGCATCCAATGCCCAACTCCACAGCCGTTCAAATGCAGTTATCCCACTCTGGAAAAGGAGGGCTGGGAGTTTTGTAATACTGAGGACTCACGAGACTGTTGGATCCGAGACCCAAAGGCTACGAATCCCATCTTCTCTCAGTATGATGTGTTATCAGATTGTACGCTCTTGAGCCGTCACCCAATTCGGAACCATATGCTAATGCCACATCACCCTCATAGACGAGAATCTTGACCAAGTTCCCCCAGGCATAACTCGAGAAGTTTGTAGTTATCGCAGCCAAATCATACACAAGTAGCTAATCATCGTGCAGTACTGGCTAGAAGTAACAACAAACGAGACGGTATGTTGCCGCCCGACTGAAGACTCAATAAAACATGCTAACTCTTGGGACCTAGGTTAAACCCGACGGCGTACAGAAGATCCTCGGAAATTATTTCAATGGCACGTACCCAGGTCCTACGCTTGAGGCATGCTGGGGCGACCAGCTCGTGATCCACGTCACCAACAGGGTTTCTGCTAATGGAACCACCATACACTGGCATGGCATTCGACAGCTGTACTCGAATGAGATGGATGGTGTCAATGGCATCACTCAGTGTCCTATATCAGACAATGACCACTTTACATACAACTTCACTGCAACTCAGTACGGGCATACATGTGAGTGTGATACACCATCTCCCTTGGGTCGTCTAACCGCTACTCATTGCTACTAGGGTATCATAGCCACTATTCACTTCAGGTAGGCCCTCCTAAGTTGAACACACGCTGTAGCTATGCTCATGTACTTCTGAAGTATCCCGATGGCGTCGCTGCACCGCTCATTATCCACGGACCGACCAGCGCCAACTGGGACATCGATCTAGGACCCATACTCATCTCGGACTGGGTACACGAGACAGCCTACATAGCCTATGATGTCGAGATGTCGGGGGGTGCGGTGAGTACAGATAGCATTGTTGTTAACGGTCACGGTCATTATCAAGATGCACCTGGAGGCTCTTATTTCCAGACATGCTTCACACCGGGCAAGAAGCATTTGCTCAAGTTGATCAACGGCGCTTCAACTACTAGCTTCAAGTTCTCCATCGACGACCACAATATGACCGTAGTAGCGAATGACTTGGTCGCCATTGAACCTTTTGAGGTCGACTCGCTGTTCATTGGCATTGGTAAGAAATATAGCAACATCACATGCTTAGATAAGAGAATTAACGCATGCATTTTAGGGCAGAGGTATACCGTCATTGTGCAAGCCAAGGACGATGCGAGTACTGACTACTGGATGCGGACTGTGCCTACAACTGGCTGCGGCGGCTTCAGCACAACGCCTGATAACAACACCGCCGTCGTCAAGTATAACAGGTAAGTAAACATCGCTCCCTACGGAATCCGTATGGACCTCCCCTATCTCTACGCTCGGTGCAAACCTACACCGAGAGGATTTGTACTCTTATAGCCTTAAAACTTTCCAGCATCCAGTTTCTAGCATCTTGTTCCTAGCAGTCTTTGAATAATCAATGCGACTGATTGCTAACGAGTGACCAGCGCGAGCACGACCTGCCCAACCAGCCCCCCGAACGCGCAAAACACCTCCTGCGAGGATGTCCATACCGACCTGCTCAATCCTATAGTCCCCTGGCGCGTAGATCACCACCCGAGGAACAATGTTACAAAGGACACGTTCTTTGCGCGGCTTCAAGACAGCCCTGACACGACATTGGGGCCACCGGGCTTCCCATACGTCCACTGGCTACTCCAGGAGCACCCGCTATGGATCAACTTCAGTCGTCCGACTATTCTGGACGTTGATGCAGCAATCGCTGACCCCAATTACGTCGTCATCGAAGGTGAGTCTGATATTCGCGTTATCGCCCCATTGATGTACGCTAACACGAACCAGAGGAATACGATACTGGCTTCGTCTATCTCGTGCTTGACGCCAGCCACCTCCAGTTCAACGTGTAAGTCGCAACCGGGTCCCCAACTCATCCGCGCGAAAGCTGACCATCGAAACCCACGAAAAGCACACACCCGATCCACCTGCACGGCAGCGACTTCGTGGTCCTGGCACAGAGCGCGCAGCCGTGGAACGAGACGACGGGGCCGGAGCTGTTCCGGTACGACAACCCGCCGCGGCGCGACGTGGCCATGCTGCCGGGCGGCGGGTTCCTGGCGCTGGCGTTCAAGCCCGACAACCCGGGCGCCTGGCTGCTGCACTGCCACATCGCCTGGCACGCGAGCTCCGGGCTGGCGCTGCAGATCCTCATCCGGCCCCGGGACGTGCCCGGCTACCTGGGCGACCTGGCCGAGACGCGCCGGGTCTGCGAGACGTGGGCGCAGTTCCCGCTGACGGCCGAGATCATGGCGAACCAGGAGGATTCGGGCGTCTAGGGCTCTGGTATGAGTTTTCGGGTGCCGAGTTCATATATATATATATATATATATATGTGTGTGTGTGTGTGTGTGTAGGTCGCCTCTCTGAGGACTGTCTTTACTGGTACTTGCGATTCTTGTTTGACTGGATTATAAAGAGGCTAGTTGGCTGCGTCAGTGCACTTACATGGGAGACTGTCATTTTCGATCATAAAGAACATTGAGGCTGGATGGAATGTAGCGGGATTAAGCAATCTTGATCAGACTATAGCACGAGGAAGCCGACGAGTCATCAATAACTACACGAAAGCCACGCTCATAGAGATGTTCAAGGCACGGACTACGGCTTTATCCGTATATTGACAGTATCTGTAGCCCGGCAGCCATCAAGTGATTAGTTCAATGTAGTATTCCCCTATTCACTAGTCCTACTTTATAGTCAAGCCTACCCCCTCAACATGGATCGCTCATCGATGACGTTTTGGCGTGTCTTTGATCCTTCAATGATACCGAATGGCTTTGCCACAACCTACGTGGATTCCAGCTGAACGTAGCTTGCCGGAACGCTCTTCGTGACTCCTCCCTTTTCGACCTCGGCCCAACCATCTCCCGGATCTTCCTTCACCAACACGAACCGATCGCCTTCCGACATGCTATGTTCCGCATCGCTCTGAGCCGAGTATTCATATAGAGCCACGACATACTTGAGTTTCTTGGCTCCCCTACGCGGTGCAACAGCGGGGCCCTTTTTCTTTACGGTCGGGCCCCCGATAGAAGAGCCCGAATTCGAATACGTGGACCCTGGACGGTTGACTGAACCGCCCGTATCCTGAGGTACAATTGGCGCAGGGGCTGCTGGGAAGACCTCGATATAACTTGAGGGTACAATACCTTCTTTGTAGCCAGCGCGTACCTTGACCCAGCCTGAGCCATCTGCAGTCCCCGTTAGCATCCTGTTTGATAAGGAAACTTCCCAACTTCTGCAGGTAAAGGACAAAAAATGACGATGACGAAAAGAGGAAGGAATGCATACCGTCAGTTTCTAGAATTACGACCTCACGCCCATCAGGAACGGACAGCTCGCCCTCTCCGTTCGCTTCGAAAGTGTACAGCATCTTGCCTTTCTGCTCAGGTTTGCTGGAACCATTGAGCGATGAGCCAGGCAGTTCACTGATATAGGCAGTCGGGGGCGGAGCAACCAAGCGCGTCTTTCGAGCAGCAGAAGACACCGACGGCCTTGGGCCGGGCTCTGGTGGCGTGTCTTCAACGGGTGACTTGGGTCCGGATGCCGGTCCAGTGACGGATCTGTGAGCACTCGCTGCGTAGCCCGAGCTCAGAGAGTTCATGGTATTAGAACGACTGAGGTCAGGTAGCTCGGCTACATGATCCGGCGCTCCTGCGGCAGGCTTCAAGAGCGTACCTGACGCAGCCTGTCTATCCGATTTATACTTCTTGCGCTCCTCCTTCGACAACTCACCGGGACACTCGGCCGGCACCTTCATTTCACACTTACTATGGCAAGTATAGCCGCAGTCTCGGCAGTCGAACCCCTTTGCTGACAAGCCCCATATCCTCTCACCACACAAGTCACAATTGGTAGGGATCTTGAAGGTCTGCGACTTGAAGTTGTGATTCTTGGCCCCCAGGGTAACATCTCCCACTTTGGATGTGATTGTGGATGTCTCGACCTCGGCGGTCAGGCGTTTTCGGTCCACCTGGTGGAGGTCTTCCTGCATGGCGAACAGTTGGGTCACGACCTGAACTTCGTCCTTGTTCTCCGTGCCCTCACGTATCCGCTGCTTTATTCTCCTGACGCCTTCCACCTCCCTTCTCTTCTTGTCGACCTCTCGCCGTAGCTCTCCCAGCTGGCCCTTGGACTTGTTCAGGACATTGCGCAGGAAAACCTTGGCTGGCTCATCTGTGACCATGACATCATCGTCGTGCCAGACCGGGCTGGGCTCGAAGATCTTATCCGCGGGCTCCTGCCACGAGCCCAGATTATGCCGTATATACATCATAGAGTCAAGATGCGGCTGGTTGCGCTGGATCTCCTGCGAGAGGGTTTCCACCAGGCCATTGCTCTGCTGCAGCATGCCGGACTCGAGCGAACTCGCCATCGTCCACAAGGCGTTGAGCTTCAAGGTCTTGAACTCGGAGAGGTCCTGCAGACTGTCCATGAGCTCGGGGACGTATTCATGGTAGTACTTCTCCTTCTGCTTGTTCGTGACGTTGATTGATATGAGGTAGGTGTTCTTGACGTTGTTCATCTCCTGGACCTGCTGCTGATAGTTGCTCTGGGCCTTTGCCTTGTCGAAAGACGACTCGGACTTCTTGCGCTTGCTCTCGACCTCGGAGCACACCGTGTCGTACTTGCCCTTGGTCTTGCGCAAGGCGGCGTACGAAGCATCCCTCTCGGCCTCGAGCTTGTCGGCGTATTCGACGTGGCGCTTGCGCAGCTCCTCGAACTTGGCGCCGAAGAACTTGAGAGGGTCGGCGACCTTGTTGACCAAGTCGTTCGCATATCGCTCGTGCTCGCCGGCCCTCGACTCCAACGTGGTGAGCTGTGTAGTCCAGGTCGTGAGCGAGGCGCTCTCGAGAGAGCCAGGGGTCATGGACGGAGTGTCGCCGACGCTGAGGCTTGAGGATTTCTTGTTCTTCTTTTCGAAGTATTTCTTGGCGAGGGCGTTCAGCTTGGCGCTGTACTCCTTCTCGATTGCGCTCCGTTCGCGGTAATATTGCTGTATGTCGTCCAGCCAGGCGATGCCGTTGGCAACCCATGCGCTGGCGGGCCGAAAGCCATCCTGTGCGGGCAAGGTGAGCGGCAGTGCTCACGGAACACGGTTGCATAAAGCTACGTCGGCTACAGGAGCAGAAGAAAGGGGGGGTTCAGTCAGAGTCGTACCTTCAACTCGGCGCCGAAGGTCGGCGCAACATCCACCTCGGCCATTGATGGTTCGGTCTACGTGGGAGAGATGGGGGGCGGAGGTGTAAGCATACGAGCGAGCGACGCAGCAGGCAGGCGGGAAGGCAGGCAGACAGTCAGTCGATGGACAATATGACCGGCAGAGCGAATAGGAAATGGTGCTTATAGGCGGTCCCCGGCGCGATTCACGGACGCTTCGAGCCACGCAGCCATGACAAGGAGCGCATTGGCATCCAGAGAAGATCCGACGACGTCGGGTTTTCCCAGTGAGTTAGGCCGAGAAGCGACGAGGCACAGCCCACCTTTGTTTTAGGCCTTCCAGACTGCCTCTCATCAGCGAGCAGTGCGCCAGGACCCCGCCTGGGGTAACGCCTGCGTCACTGGCGACCCAGCGGGTTGGCACCCCGGACCGCTGGGCCTTGGGCTTGACCCCGCCTTTGGGTATGAACAGCTGGGCCTGGCCTTGCTTTGCGTTGCCGGCTGCTGGCTGTCTACTCGCCGCAAAACCCAAGGTGGCACAAACAAACCTGAACAGTAACTCGACACAATAGAGAGTTGGCCTAAGCGGTGCGTGGAATCGAAGGATTCTTGACCGGGCCTCGCTCGTCGCAAAGGCCATTCATCTTCTGAGCCTATTCTTCAAAAGGTGAAAAAAA